AGTAATTAAGAAAAATATAGCAAATGCATCGATTAACTATTTTAGCTCGTACTTTATCAACTATTCACAAAAGGCTTTCGTTTTATTCATATTGACTCTAAGTCCGACTCTCGCTATAGTTGATGTTGATTATTTATATTTCGTCAACTACCAGCAAAAAGAACAACATTACCAACGTGTTCAAGGTTTGTAATAATATGCGCTAGACTGTACACCTTTTGAATGCTGACGAGAGGTGTTATCCAGTCTATCGCATAGTTGAATACCGGCACAACCTTAACACCAGTTCTTATTTCGAAGTTCCCCATATACGCGTACCTGCACCGCATGCTGATAAAATGCCTGGGTCGAATGATCTTCTCTGGAACACCGTCATAAAGTACCGCTCAATTGAATCAAAGGCAGCCGCGAAGTCGATGAAACACGTAACGATGGGTTGCAAATATTTAAAGCGATGTCCAACACCCTACTTAACATGATATTTGATCAGCACAACCGCACCCCTGTCTGAATCCAGCTTGATTAGGGCGCATTCTTCCGTTCAGTACTTCCATAAATCTACTGAGTTAAAGGGAAGCAAAAATTTACGTCTAGTAGGCTAATTCCTTGATAATTGTCGCAGTATATCCTATCACCTTTCTTGAGAATCGGGAGCAGAATTGCTTTGTTCCCATCACCTGGTAATATATCCTTTTTCTATACCAGAGAGTAGGTGCGTTATGAAGGACGATGGACAACATTTGAAAAGCTCATCCCGAAGACCATCTTTTCCCAGATTCTTATTAGCCATAGGATTCCACGTATCAGCTATATTCGGGACAACAGATGGCGCATCATGGTTAAGTGAGCGCTAACCATATTATTTTATATTCAAAAATAATAAAAAATTTTTTATTTAATGTTTGCATCTTTTGTGATTTAATCTATCAAATATTTTTATCATTAAAAAAAAAGCCGATAAGAAGCTTAGAGCAATTTGATTTGAGTGCCTCGTAAAGATACTTTCATTGATTTCACCTACAAGTGAAAAATTGTGCATACACACTTAATAATTTAACTTACTGTACTTTTTTTATCTTTCAGTTTTTATTTCACAGAACCTCGAAATACTATTTAAAAAACGATTTATCCAAAGATCCAAATCCAATCTAAAATCCAAAGAATGTAATTAATCGTCAAAGACGATCTGTGCAAAACGACATTTATTACTATAACTAAAAGAGATAAATTAACCGCTGAAACGGCGATTTCGGCTGTTTTGCAAGACTTCCCTCTTCATTCCGTTTTTATTTCCTTTTTATTTATACTATTGGTAATTTCATCTTTTTTTATCAAATCCAAGTAATATTCCACTCAATAAACTCATTTAACTCAATGCAACGGGCACAAGTAAAGGAAGTGGTACTATTTCTAATTAGATTATGCCAAGGACGGTCAAGAAGGGTCAAGAGGACTACTCGGATTTTTTAGCGGCGATTCAGTCAGGAAACTGCACTTCTGCTGGTCAATGCGGATCGAAGCACCATACCAGCCATCCCTCCTCACTATGCAACTGCTGGCAGTGGCGTTTGATTTATTGTATCTGCACTGTTTCGTGTAAAAGAACTGAATGAATGAAATAACCATATGGAATTTATGCAGACAATTTTTGCGTCCAACTTGCTTAATTTTGCAATAACGTACTTCTCGCACCGAAGAAAATGAGATTGTCAGAGTCAGAACTGAACTTTACTGAGATACGAACTATAGTGATATGAGCCTTTATTGGCCGATTATTTCCGCGCAATAAAAATCAGCAGTTCAGATGTGTATTGGCCGCAGTATCGGTTGAGAAGACAAGGAGGGGGTTAGGTGATGCCGAAGGTGTGGAAGATTGGTGAGTTCTCGCAAAAGTGCTTTAATGAAGAAGTGTAATAGAATGGTCTGCTGAAAAACAGTGCTGTCTATTTCTTAAAGGACAACAATCGGATAATTTCAGGCTAGTGATTAATGGTCGGAAATTAATGGTCAAAAGGGGGATTTTTTAAGATTTCCGAGTAAGATTTTCAGAATCTCTGAGGGACTGGCAATAAAGAGAAGCCTAAATCAAATTTGGGGAAAATGAGGGAGACAAGAAAGATTTAAAAGTATAAAAGAAAAATTTATATCGATGGGAAAGATGCATGATGAAAGAGCGAAGTATGCAGAAGCCATAGATCGCGAAGGAATTGAGGCGAGATATGTAAAGGAAAAGTTGGCGCGAGATTTATGAGGTTAGATCTGTGAAGAACTTAAACAAAATGCAAAGAGTGAACGCGACGTATATGAAAGGTGTACATAAGGGCGAAGAGGAGGAAAGCTGCCGAAAAAGCTGACGATGATTTATCTCAACGTTATTCGCGTATTTTTCGACGTCTTTCACGTGTTTCTTCGACTATATTTTTCCTAATCTTCAATTTATTTTCTTTTAAACTTATTTAAATTACTTTATAAAGTTAGCTCCACCGGTTCTTAGCGCGTTAAGAAATTTCTAGCAACAGGTTGTACGAGGATAGAAGGTTCTTCCTTTTTAACCAGGCAGTGACCTGGCAACAACCAGTCCACTTTCTCATCTACCTAATCAATTACTTTTTACTTTTACTTTTTTTAAGTACTATTGATTATTTTTTTCTAAGTGCTTTCATTTTCTGGTTAGGACTGCCTCCATCGGGCTAGATATTTTGCCAGTCATGTGGCGAGATAAGTGCAGGTGAATTGCCAGCACCGCAGTCTCGTCAACCCTACTTAGTCATTCTACCCTTGTTAATTTAATTAATTATTTTACCTAAATAATCATTCCTATTGTTCACTAATTTATTTTCTTGTTAAATGCTTAACATTGTAAGTTTTTTTATCGTTTGCGGATAACAGTGGTAAGAAAAAATGAGTCGTGCAATAATATAATTCTAACAAATAATTTCCTCGAATTTTAGCAAATAATTTTCTCGAATTCCTTTATAAAATATTCTCAAACAAACAAAAATCCGTGTGTAATAAATATCATATCGCGCTGAGCTGTCGCAGAATTTCATAATGGTTCAAGATGATTTGGAAACGACAGTGTCTTCATGTTATCGTAACAATTCTTCATTAATTCGTAGCGAAACAGAAGCGTCAGTCGAATCATCGTCGCATTTTGCCTTCTTACAACAAAATAAAAACGCTCTTGCAAATAATGTATTATGGAAAAGGAAGGTTTGTCTTCACATGTTCTCAATTTATTTCAGTTATATTGAGCAAAATTTGTTGAACTTCATGCTGAACTTTGGTATTTGATATATTCATTGCTTCTTTTCTAAACATCTCTTCTTGTAATAATAAAAATTAAGATTTTCTGGTTTAGCTTGCTTTACTGGCTTTTAGAATGAATGAAATTCCTTCACCGTAGATTGTATTTTGTGAGGGAAATGTAGGTGGATACCCAGTATTATATCTGGATTTTATTTTTAGTTTGGCAGATTATTTCTATTAAGAGACAGAAATACCTATTGATGGCTTGATGAAAAAAACCTGCTACTTGTTCTCATATTTTTTTTAAAAGAAATTTTTTAGTTATTTAGATAGTTTCATACAACCAGACATTTATTATATTAAAATGCAAATTACAATAATATAACAAAATTTTTAAATATTGTAAGTATTCTCTTTTATTTTATTAAAACTAGAACTGAAAGTTTGGATTAATTTTATTTTATATTTTTAATCGTTCATCATAATTTTCATAATCATAATTTTAAATAAATTTTATATCATAAGCCTAATTGAACGTTTTCTTTTTTGCTTACTTTGAAACAACTTTCTAATTGCAAATAGTTTTTTTATGATTCTTAAAATTTAAGCAGTTGCTTTATTTTCAGATTTTCAAATTTTGACTATTCTTTTTTTGATTTTACATCATTTGACATTTATTTCATATTTATTTCATTTGAAACTTCTTTTTTTAAATAAATTTTTATTTTAATCTTATTTTTATATTTGAGTTTTATCATAAATCATATTTAATTATGATGAGTTTTACAATTATTGAAATTTTGTATCAGCATATTTGGCCTTAAGCTTTTGATAATTGAAAATGACTAAGTTTCTTCTAGTAAAAGATTCTAGGAGAATAGGAGTAGAATCAGATGCTGGAGCACATAATGTCGACAAAAATCGTTTGGCTGTGCTATAAAAGTATAGTCAAAATTTAAATTTTCAACAAACCAGCACATATGTTCTTCAGCAGTTGAATAAGTTATCTCGCTAATTGTTAGAATATTTTCTAAAATTTATCTGAGTAAATATCTATCTTTGGGAAAATTTCTATCAGATGTAAGTTTTTTATCGTAAAATTTCTTAAAAAATGTTTGTTATGGTCATATTTTTGGTGGCTTTCTTTTGTTAGTCATTTTGCAGAAATTTTATTTATTTACTTTAATAGATTATTTGAGTTGTTGTTGTAGTCATAAGATCTTTACTTGTAATTAATATTAATATTATTCTTAACAGTTTTGTCATTTAAAAATAAAAATCGTTTCACCATTTTTTGAATAGATGGCTTAATTGAAAAATAGGTCATAATTATTTAATTTGATTAGTGTTTTTAGTGAAAAATATTATTTTGATAATTGAATCCTAAAAATTGGATATTAATATGAAATAAACTTTCGAAATTCTGGGAATAGTTTTTGTCTTGTACCTACTGTAATTTTTTTCTGCTAAAATCTGTTTTGTTCTATAATCGGCTCATCAGATAGAATTTGATCCTTTCTCAAATATTGGATTGATATTGATGAAACATATTCGTATCAAAAATTTTTAAAAAATAATGCTAAAATATAATGGAAAGGAAATATTAAAATAAATTTTGTCGATGGGAGTTGGGGAAAAATATAAAAAAAAATGCTGAAATATTGAAATAAAATGTATTTTATAAGTGAGGCGTGGAAAATGGGGAGATGGAGGAGAAAGGAAGCATTATTATACTAAACAAATGAATAAAAATGCATTTTTTATATAAAATCATAAATGCCAATAAAAATTTTCAGGAACAGTTAGCTAGGTGGGAAACGTCGGAAACAAATCGGTTACCTTCGATACGACGCGAAGTAAAAGATTCGAAAGTTAAATTCACTGTTAGTTTTTTTCGTTATTTTTTTTAGATTGAAATAAGTCAATGTTTTAAGTTAGATTAGACTTTTTTTCGCATATTTTTGTCCAGAAACTTCATAAAATGGAAGTTAATTCGTTTCGTTTAAATAATGTATAGTTTTAGGAAACGGATATATTTCTTAGTGCTTGCTTAGCGAGTGATTTTGATGAAGTTCAGTCATTATTGGATAATGGTGCTGATATTAATACATGTACAGTGGATGGACTAACCGCCCTTCATCAGGTTTTTTCTTATTTATTCTTTTATGGATTCTTTTGAAATTTCAGCAGATTTATTTGATTCTAATTCAATGTTTCTCCTCCATTTTTATTTACTGCTTTAATTTAGGCAGTAATCGATGGAAAACCAGAAATGGTACAATTTCTTTGCGAACAAGGTTCAAATTTGAACGCTCAGGATAACGAAGGTATATTGCTGAAAAATTCGTTTGTTTTTCAAAATGTCTTTTCTTCAAAAACATTTTTGGTGATTGGGTTGTTTTATCATTCTCTAATATCAGTTCGTTTTATCATTATAATACATTGGTAGGATGGACGCCGCTTCATGCAGCCGCATGCTGTGGCAATGTTGATCTGGTAGAATATTTATGTAGTGAAGGTGCTGATATATCGGTGATCAACAGTGATAAAGAATTGGCAATTGATCTTGCTGAAGAGGATGATTGTCGCATGTTTTTAGAAAAAGAGCATCGTAGACGTGGAATCGAACCCGAGGATTGTCGAAACAAGTTTGTTATTTTTAGTATATTTTTAGTATTTTTTAGTATATTTTAGTATTTTTAGTAAAAGTTTTGGTAAATTTTTGTACCGGAAAAAAGGTAGAAGAAACAAATTTTTTTCTGATTTTTCTAATTTTACTGACAGTTATTCGTAGCAGTTATTTGCAATTTAGGGAGGTGATTTTGATGAAGCATGATGCTGAAGAATGGCTTCGCTCAGGCCAGTTTTGCGATCGACCACATTCACGTACTGGTGCATCCGCGCTACATGTTGCTGCTGCCAAAGGGTATTTATTTTTCTAACGTAGAAAACTTGTTCCATTTGTTCATATTCGAATTTTACTGCATCTTTTAATATTCTATCAAAAATATTATTGGTAGTTATAATATTATTGGTAGTTTAAATGAGTTTTTTATTTTTTCTCCACTTCTTTATATTTAGTCAGTTCGTTTTTTCACTTTTAGTTATGTGGATGTTGTAAAACTCTTATTGCGCGCAGGTGCTGATATAAACTGTCGTGATCGTGATGGATGGACTCCCTTACATGCAGCTGCACATTGGGGTGAAATGGAAACAGCTGCAGTTTTAATTCAAAATGGAGCATCACTCAGTGAATTAACAAATAGCGTCTGTTATTCATGAAAAATCGGATCAAAATTTTCAGCAATATGAAAAAAATGAATGAAAAATATATCATTTTTTAGGGAGAAAGTGTATTAAATGTTGCAGACAAGTGTGTAGTAGAATATTTAGAAAGTTGTGCTCAAAAAGAGCTATCAAAGGTGATGAACAACAATAATGCACTCAATATAATGGTGCACTCAAATGTGCAGCTAAAGAGGTTCTTGCATTTAATTTTTAAAATGATTTATGACTTTTTATATTTCTTTTTCTTTATTTTTTTTTCATGTATTTAAGTTCCTTGTTTTACTGGTAGTAGAGAGAATATCTCTGAAATAGTTTTTAGAGCTGGTTCTACAACATCAGTACTTCGAATGTCAACTGAAGAAAAAATTAAGAAAACAAAATTAGATGAACAAGAAGAAAATAAAAATTTGGGCGATGGCAGATATTCGCTTATCATCGAGGAAAAAACTCCATCACCATCAGTGGAAGCTCGATTACCGTGTCCATCAAGTTTTCGAGATCATTCCAAATCGCCTTCTGAAGATGAGAGGTTTAATTTTTTTCGATACTATGGTTGTTTTTTGAATAAAAATGAATTTTATTTAGTTTATTTAGTTATTTAGTTATAGATCAACAAAATCATTGACTGTTACAAGTAACGAAGAAAAATCATCATGTGAATCAAGGAGTGCCTCAGAAAAAGATTTCGAATTAACTGGGTGTGAATTGGACAATGAAGTTCAGTCGAAGTCTCCTATAGATTCAGTTGGATTTTCAGCATCATCTAATTCATCAATTGTATCTAATTCATTTATCTCGAAATCACCATCGATTGTATCAATTTCACCATCTCTACCTATGGAGAAACCAGTAGATACAGATGTAATAATTTATTTTTCAAATAAAATTTTCACTAATAACGTCAATGTAATCGTCTTTTTTCAACTTTTCAACTTATTTTTTGAATGCAACAATATTTTTTACGAAATTTTCTTATGAAATAAAGAATGCAACGTTTTTTGTATATTTTTTGGTTTTTCTTTCCATTAATTTGTTTGAAAACATTTTTTTTGAAAAGTCTTTTGCCATAGATAACAAAATCGCAAAATTTAAGGAGAATACTTCGCGTTCGCCAAGTATCGAATCATCATCAGTAGCTCCTGCTCGACCAGTAAGAATGCGCGATGCATCAAAGACATCGTTATCGGAGAAGGAGCCATCTGCTACTGTTTCTTCTTTAACTCTTCCTGAAGCATTCCTCAAGAAAAGGTTTTTTTTTATCCTTTAATTAGAATATTATCATCGTGAATTGTAAAGTTTTGAGAATGTTCTTAATATTAGATTTCGTATTGATTGTGGAGAATGATTTGGCTAATGTTTTGTTCGAAATCGTTCATTTCTTACATTTTTTAAAAAACATTTTTCGTTATCCAGTCTTTAGAGATTTTTGCATTATTTTATTTTTGGTTTTTATTATTTCGGTTAGTTGGTTTTTTTCCCAAACTTTCCTCGTGTTATTCTCTAATGAAATCGTAATCTCTGATGAAATAGTCCGCAGTTTGGATAGTGTTTATTTTCTATGCAGCAAATATATAAGTTTTTATCATTTCCTTTCTTTCCTCAAAGCTTATCCTATTTTTCAACCTATTTTATTTTTATTTTTCGTATCGCTTCTTTGCAGTTCATTTATAGTTGAAATTGTTTGGCATTTTCATGTTTTTCTTTAGTTCGAACTCACATTTGTCTCCATTATCCAATTCAAATCTTCCTTGGAAAGCTTTATACCGGAATTCGTCGAATCGAAGTCCTATGCATCCAGCTTTTGCTCAGTTCCAGTCGGCAATTCGCCACTCTTTAGGAAACAAGAATGGTGCTGCTTTATTTGCAGCTCCTGTCATTCTGACACCAACTTTAACTCCATCCATGAAAAACACAAGGTGCTTTTGTGTGTGTTAATGAAATTTTCATGTCAGTTTCTAAAGACTGTTTTGTCTATTTATGCGTTATAATATCATTTTATATATGAAGCTGATTGTTTTTTAGTGATAGTTTTATTTTAATTTTCTAAAATTATGTTCATATATTTTGCATTTTTTCTGTTTGATATTTTTCGAAAAAATTTTTTTTTCAAAAAATATCCGTGTTTTTTTATGACCTCATGTACGTAACTCATAGGACTCTGTCGACGCCACCGACTGAACCAAATTTACCCAAAGAAAGCGAAGCTGAAAGAAGAAGTAAGGCAAAGCGACAACGGGATTCTCGCAGGTTTCCATTGCTTATTATTATTTTCAGACTTTATTTAAAACAGTATCAGTTTGGTAAGGTAATATTCATTAACCCAAGTTAAAAAATTCGGTCCCAAGGAAAATAATTTATTATGTATGCAATTACGATTTTATGATTATCATATGAAATAATTTTTCATTTTCTCATTATATTGTAATTTGTAGAATAGAAGATTAAGAAGAGAAGGTTAAGATAAAATATTTTCTTTCATTTTCTCATTTTAAAATAAGTATTCATCCCATCGCACTTATTTTTATTTTTATTTTTTCATTTTCTCGGTAATATATGATTCATTATTTAATTTTTGGAATATATTAATACCCCTTTCGGTTTTTAAAAGGTTTCATATTATTAAAGGAACTATGCTGGACATAATTTTCAGATCGACTCAGGGTGTAACCCGAGAACAATTACGAGTAGCATGTGGTCGACGCGAAGAGAAAGAAAATGATGCAACATGGAATGATACGGCCGAAAGTTCACCTTCATTTAACCAGGTCTGTATTGCTTATATACAAATAAGATGCGCTAATATACCGCTAATTTATAAGATTTTTATCTTTTATCAATTTTTTTGCGCTAGAAATGGGGATTCCTTTCGAAATTTGTTGTTGGCATCATATTCGTTTTTTCTACCGGAGATTACTAAATTTATTTTTTGTTAACAATATTTATTGTTCAAATAGACTTCTTTAATTTTCCTTTGGCATTTGCAATAAATTATCAGCCGCTTCTCTCAAGGGGTGTCCAAATCAGTTCGTATCACAAATCTTGAATACGCTGATGATTTATGATGATTCTTTTTTGCTAACAGTTATGCAAGTAAATAATGTGTCAGAAACTGCAGCAAAAATAGGACTCAGGATCAATATATACAAAATGAAAGTTTTTTCGTCTTATGTATAAGAAACTGATAAAATGCCTCTTTTTGTAAATTCATTGTCGATCGAGGAAGTGCCCGATTTTAAATACCTTGGATCCACTCTAATACCAAATGGCCAGGCAAAAGACGATATTATAGCCCAGATCACAGCTAGAAATGCGGTATACCTTTATGAAGCCGTCGTGAAATTACCATTAAAACAAAGGTCCGCATCTATATAGCCGTGATTCGTTCGATCTTGCTGTTTGGTTCTGAGACATGGTCAATGAGAGTGGAAGATATTAAGAAGCTATCTACCTTTGACCACTCTTCTAAGGTACATATTACGGATCCGTCGAGCGGATAAGTTATGATAAGACATAATCGCATCCATTTTCGTTCAAGTACCACTTGCATAAATAATATTATCAAAAAGCTCCGTCTTCGCTGGTTATGGCCCTTCCTCCGTCGTCAACACCACAGGAGTTGACGCATATTTCGTTATTTGCTAAACCGTGTGACGGTTGGCGTCAAAAGCGAGCCAATCAAAACCTGGGCTGATACGGTGAGAAAAGATTTTGAACGTATTAGATGTACCAGCAATATATGGACTTAGACGATGAAAAAAGGAATGGCTTCTATTACTGTCGACGATGGCGTCAGACCGCGCCGTTTGGAAGCGTCTTACCCTTGTATTCGTTGGAGCCAATAATGGTGAAAGCTGTTAAAAAAAGAAGAATCTACTGCATCTGTTGTGAAAAAATTGTGGAAAAATCTGCAAAATTATGATGTAAACAGTGTGCTAATGCAAAAGAAAGAGTGGAAATTAGCGGAAAGTCAGTCTTACTGAAATATATTTATATTTTTTATGTGTGTACTGATGAGGGTCATTCTATCTATAATGACTCGATTATATCCCCCCCTTCTCATCGTTATCATCAATCATTGGTTTGGTTGCTCCCAAAAAATTTTAGCCTTTAGCTACATTTTTTACTGAAAAAAAAATTTGCCGAAAGAAAAAATTAGTAAATAGATATAATAAAATATAAATATATAATAAAATAAGTAAATTAGTTTTATTTACTAATTTGAAATAAGTAATGACGATAAATTAAATAAATAATTTTAACATATAAGCGCTGTATTTATCTTTTTTAACTTCTTACGAATCGCTTTTTGTTGAGATTGTTGACATTTTCTATTTGCTGTAGTTTGGTGTAAAGTTTGCATTACGTCAATTCGTTGATGATGTGTAGTAGTTGAGCGATCATGTAAAAAAAATGAAGAAAAACTATCGAGCGAAGATCGAGTTAATTTATTTAAGTTAAATTGATTCTGGAATGTGCTAATAGTGAGGGAAGTTATTTTTTGATGACGAATCAGTTCTTAAGTTTCTCCTTAAATTTTTTGAAACGTAATCCGAAGTTTTTAAGAAATATGATATTTGATTGATGATATTTTATGTTTAATATAATATTTGTATTAATTTATATTATATTATATTATTATTTATATTATATTTATAATAATATAAAATTTAAAATACTTAAAATTTTCGTAAAACTATAGTTTTTTGAAGAAAAATCGCTGATCTAAATTATATTTTTTTTCTAAGAGTGCTGATCATTTCTGGTTAGACTCTTTATGTTTTTTGAAAGTTTTACCAGGTTTATGCCGGAATTATTTTCCAGTATCGGCATTTTAGCGCTCAAGTTCCATTAAGAACTGTAAAAAAATCATTAAAATGAATGAATTCGCCTTATAAATTTAAGATTTATTGTTTTTTGATGTTATAATTTAGCCATTTTAATATTTTACAATGACGATAAAAGTTCTAGGATTCCACCCCATCTGGAGATTCGGTGAACAGCATTGACATTTCTACGAAGACAGATAATGATGATAGCCAGTCTGCCACTTCTAATTCGGCTTCTTCATTACCCAGTATACGAAGGCGATCTCAGGTTTTTTTTTGCTGTTTCATTTATTTTCTATGGTAATTAATTTTTAGTTTTTATGAAAATTGTTTCATAAATGGGAATGAAAATTATTAATTGTTAATTTTAATTAAAAGTTATTTAGTTAAATTGTATAGAGAAAAAGAGTCAAAGTTGAAATAATGGGAAAGTAAAGAAAGGCATGAATTTTTTGCATTTCGTTTATTTTGTTTATAGGCTAATCGTAATACTCGTCGCGGAACAGGTCCAATCTCTTTTGACGAAATGCATACCATATCGGATATTGATAATAAACAGTGCGAATTCGAGGCTGCTCTATCCTGTTCATCATCCATTTTGTCTGGGCCCACACCGTCAACTTTAAATACAATACAAAGTAATTCGGTAGAAAACACTGGAGTACGAAAGGCAACATCTAATCCTTCTCATGTATTGTTTCTATCAGTTATTTTTTATTAGTTTGTGACGTTTGTGGTGTTTTCTAATTTGGCAAATAAAATCCAAATTTCGAAATTAGATTTTTTTTTAATGATTTTGATATTTTTATATTGAATATATTTGACATATATTTTTGTCTCTCTAAATATATTTTTAGAGAGAGCAACTTCTAAGCAAAAAGCTAATGATATGAATTCAGGCTTTAATTTGCATTTATATCTTTTTCTTAGATTTAAAATGTACTAAAATAAAAAAGTGATTTTTTAAAAAAAGCATTTTATATAGTTGAACCTTTTTTATAGCAAGCATCACCTACGACGACTACATTCTCATTTTTCACTGTCCAAAAGGCACCACTAAAATCAGCAGTTGCTCCGACCATTCATAAAATTTCTACCCATCTTCAAGAAATTGATTATAAATCACTTTATGAAGTTGAAAAATTAGAAAATGAGCGATTAAAGAAGAAAATTAATGAGCTTTCTTCCAAAGAAGTTTGTTTTTTTCATATTATCATCTTGCTATGGTTTTAACTATGTTATATTATGGTGATCGTGGTTCACTACTTTGTTTTAGAATACTAAAATAACTATACCTTCGGTGTATCAGAATTCTGAATTCCCTAGTTCAGCAAGTAAATCCACTTCAACATCTTCAATTAGTGATCAAGAAAGGAGGCTGCTAGAACGAAGAATCGTCGAATTAGAATATGAAGTAAAGGTTGGTTCAGTTGGATCTATATTTAAGACAAAAATATGGCCAAAAATTTTTTTCAAATGTTACTGAATGTTAGCGGGCTATAATTGTATAGATCAGCGTTTCCTATATTATGCTTCGCAAAAATTTTCCCAATTTTAATCATATTCCTTAAATTATTATTTAGATTATTAGATTAGATTTATAATTATTATTGTTTACTTAAATTTATCAAAATTTTAGTTTGCTTTCTAATTTTGATTAACGATATATGAGTTCAAATAATCTGGAATTAAGGTTAATTGTTGGGTTCAATTTTAAATTTAATTTACGATGATAGCTAAAGTAAACATTACTGCAAGAGAATATGAAAGCTTAACTGATATCTGATTTAATTAATGATTTTAATTCGAAACAGAATTATGGAAAATTTTGTTAAAAAATTTTTATTTATTTAAATGAAAGTCCTAGTGTTTTAAATCGAGTAGATGGATTATTATATTTTTTTGTAACGACCTATTTGTGCAAGACGGAATAATTTTTATATTAAGCTGCAACAAAAATAAAACGTAGGAAATACGCTTGGTGCGATAGCTGTCATGAGGATTCGGCTAAAGTCATATATGTTATTAAAAAGTTTTGATATTGATTTTATTGATATATTTTATTTAATTTGAATGCCCAGAAATTTCAATCTTAGTAAAATTTTACTTTTGCTTTTCAAAGATATGATTGGTTTTTATTACATTATTCTATTATCTATCATATCCAATTGGTTACAAATTTAATGTTTTTAACCTAACAGTTTGATCTAATTTTATTATTTTAGCAACTTGAGCATCTCCGGATAGATATTCAAAAGCTGAAAGAAGAAAATGGCGCTCTTATTCGTGTAATTTCCAAATTATCGAAATGATTCAAGCATACCAATCAAGTTTGCTGTAATGATGTGTTTTAAAATTGTGATCTTTATGACTATTTTTATTTAAAACCAAAATAATAATTACGAGATTTTCTCAAGTTCTTTGCTTAAATATATAAATTATTCATTTTTAGAACTGTAAACTGTATAATTTTTATTTGTTAGAATTGTGATTTTTTTATGGTTATTTCACTATATCTTAATTTGTGTTACGAAAATCGGTTCTTTTAATTCATTTTAAATGAATAAAATAAATTCGATGAAAAATAATAAAATTGGATGAAAAAAGTCTTTAAAAAAAGTTGGATAGACGATGCCTTGATTTTTTATCCCTTTATCTTTTCAAGTTGTCCAAATTTTGCAATAAATTAGTTGATAAACACTAATCGATATCAAATATATCTGGATGATCACAGATAAAATACGCCGTTTTAATTACATCATCCCAATTTGTAGATTTATTTTTTGAGCTTATTTTTTTCCATGAATTTCTTGAATAATTTATATGCAGTCGTATTCATAACTTTGATTGTTTCATTTATCCTTCGAATTGAAGGATGAAACTGCACATACATATTTAATTATTGTATTTTCTGTTTTCTTGCTCATTTGTTTTGCCTTTTCGGTACATATTCGGTTAAAGCATCCTTATCATCTCGTTTTTCATTAATAAATCGAATATAGTTCGAATAGGTTTTGAACTAAACCAAAAAGTTTTTACTTTAACAATGACAAAAAATTCGTATTACATTACATTAGAAATATAATTACAAACAGTGCAATATTCTTGATACTTTGGTATTTTGCAAATTTTGCACCAAGTTTCGCCAGTTATGCCTTTAATTTTATGCTCTTTACGGTAGATGCCCTAATTCCCCGAGGCTCCCCACCGTACGGTGAGTACTGATCTCGGATATCAGGCCGCTGTGAACGTTTTTTAAGTAAAGCCTTCTTGAATTGTTTCCTTTTTTTGACTCGTGAGTGTTGTGTACCTTTCTTTCTGAATGTAGACAAACCGCGATTCTTTTGAATCTAAAATCCCCAACATAATCATCGGTCAAAGTTGATCAAACTATGAAGATCATTTCGTCGCTAACTAGCTGATGCGAAATTAATGGTGCAATTTTTCTGAACCAAAAGAACAAAGCGATTAATAAAACTAATATTTTCTCAGAAATCATTAAATCAAGAGAAGAAAGTCTACCTGAGATGTGATCCCACGTTTTCCGAAATTTTCTTCTTTAAGCAATATTTCTTTCTTCAATTCTTCGGGGTTATTTGATTCGTGCTGATATGAATCTTTCTTGCTGTGATTGCTAATATCATCAGAAAGTTCAAAAATGTGAATGAATGGCTGTTTTTTTTCCATTAATCGTTGTAGCTTCCCTAATGCTTTTTGATTGTTAGCCAAAAAATCACCAACTTTTTCTATCATCTAAAGTTGTCAGTTCTTGATTTAGTTTCTGAGAAAAACATTTAGTATAACAAAAAAAAAACAAGCGGGAAGAGCATTAGTTTAATTAAATAAAAGTTTTAATGAATAAAGTTATTAATAATCGTAATTAATAAAATACTCAGAAACGACAGTTAAAGACGATATATATGGTGAGAAGAAAAATTTTGATGAAAAATGGAAAAAAAACCTTTTTCTGCATCATAATATTGTCGAGAACAGGATGATCATCGAGGTAATTTTTTTTAACTGATAATTTTGTGGTGAGTTTTAAATGACAGTAGAAAAGAATATTTAAAAGATAGCTGAAAAACTATAAAGATAGCTGAAAAAAATATATTTTTTCGATCAAAATTTCAATTTCGTAAAGACAATATTTTTAATGGGTAATATGATTTTTAATATGATTTTTATATTTATTATAAATTTATGATATTTATGATATTATGATATGATATAAAATTTAAGAAATATTTATTGGAAATGATCTAGCAAAAAGTTCACCTTGAAAAAACAGATACAGCTATAAGCACTTGTTGTCCAAGAACAGTTTCCGTTCCATTATCTATTTCCTTGATGCCATTAAGTAATGGAATAAGAACTCGAATTAAAATCAATCTCTAGAATGTAACAAAAATAAATTTTTTGCATAAATTAAAAAATTAATCCAATAAATTTAATAAAAACAATGAAGAAATACAAATTTTTTGTATAATTTGAAAAATCAGTTAGATAAAAACTTTTAAAAAATTGGCAATAAATAAAACTAATAAGTTAATAAGTTTGTATCGTTAAACAGTAAACAAATATGATATTTTTTTTTGATATTTTATATAAATCCGAATAAAATATAAAATTCAGATGATTAATCAGAAACACCCAAACTTTACCGGAAGTAAAAACCGAGTTCTTGCCTCTCAATACAATAATCTGAACCATTATCCATAAATTAAAATATTAAAAATAAAATATTAAATAACAAATTAAAAAACGATACAAATATTAAAAACCTTTCGAGAATATTCTTCTAAAATTACATTGAATTCAGGATTATATTTTAGAAAATATTTAAATAATCCTTCCTCATTCATTTCATCCAAACTGATTGCGCTTGATAAATCTTTTTTCTCATCTTCATCTTCACTAACCTCAAAAAATTAACGCAAATGGTAAATCGCTGGATAAAAGAAAAAACTTCAAAATTTCTAATTAACCTGAAACTTCGACGAAACGAAAAAAAAAAAACCACGAAGTGGCTGTGAAGTGACTGTAGTTAGAAAGGAATAAAAACTAGAAAAAACTTTCCTCATTTTGTATATTATTAAAAGGCATCTATAAAAATCAACCGCAGCAGAGAAATTCTAAGATATAACAATTCGCACTTCAACTTACGCACTTTTGGTAATTTGATTTTCAGATAATGACAAATTAACCTGGAAATAACTACATAACTGCAGTGCAGTATCCATCTTTTTCTGCCTCATTATTGCATCTTGTTCTTCTAATTCAGCCACTTCTATCTCATTTTCATTCATTCCTCCCCAGTCATCATCAACGTACGAAGTGCTATAATAGTTTTTACGATTCGCTCCCCATTCTTCAGTTGAAGGCAAAAATCCTGAATGCAGCATAGAAATGAAAATAAAGAGCATGTTGGTTTCTAGTTTAAACTTCACATATTTAAATAAATAAATAAAATATTTCGATAAATAAATTACTTTTTTCGACATCATTATCATCTGAATCGAATAATGAATCGTTTTCTTCGTCGAGTGTATCGTTTTCGGATAAATCTCCTTCTACGTTCAAAATTTCTTCTACTTTACTCTCTTTGAGTTTAGACTCGTTTAATCCATCATAAGACTGCATATGAAAGCGATCAATTTCATCATAAATTTCATCGCTATTTTCATCGCTGTCTTCATTTCTTTAAAAAAAAAGTTGAGAAAAATCTTTTCATTGAGATTTTCAACAGTTTTCGTTTGATTGAATAATTAATTAATTCATAATTATGCAACCAAATAATTTCTAATTTAATTCAAGTTTAACAAATAAAATAAAATTAAATTAAATAAATTAAATATTTAATTAATATCTATCATATAAGGATAAAGAGAGGAATAATTTGAGAGCCGAGTGACTTTTACTTTTACTCACCACTTTATTGATTATATTATATAAATAGCTCTACTTTAAACAAGAGCAAGCCTACTTAAAATCCTGATGATGCTAGGACCCATTTTTCGTACCCACGCAATCGCTTGGCAATGATTTCTCACTGTCCAATTATCAGAGTATTAGAGTAAGCCTAAAGCTAACCAGAAATGGTAACCATAAACCACTTATTTCTGCTGATGTTAAATTTTTTCTTTGTGATTAAACTTTTAATTGACTATTTTTTCGTGGAATAAAATAAGATTTTTAAAATTTTTCATATCTAAATATTAAAATTTTTGATAAATTAGCGACATATTTCAATGGCAAATGCAAAAACCTCGTATTTGTCGCATTTCTTCGTTTCATCATTTACTTTTAATGAAGAAAGAAAAGCAAATAAAACTGAAAAATTGAAATATTAACAAGCGCGAACAATTTGCAACAAGCAAATACACAACACTTTTCGTTTATATAGTCCTCTTTACTATTGGTGAGTGGAAATTAAATTTATTGAAGGAAAAAGGAAGTGAATGTGGAAATGAGTTAGCAAAGGAAAAAGGAAAGAATAAACAGAATAGACTTCTGCTGGCTTTGCTATCTATGCTATGTTTGCAGATCGGATAGTTGATTATTAACCAATTTCTTAAATCACTTTTAAGATGATCGATGAAATTTTAAAGGCTATTTACCATGTGCGAAAATTCCTTCGGCTAACATAGCTTCGCAATGCAAGTAAACGGGGAAGTCGAAGGACATGTGTTTTGAGAGGCTGCATTCTAGATTTGGGATTACATCGCATTATGCATTTTTTGATGAGACCATCGGTAGAAAGTCATCATGGAACCAATCGTTCCTCGCTTTAAATACTCGAAGATACCACTCTTAAATCGCTCGTAAATCGTACTACATTACCACGCAAATCAGAAACGTAGTGTTCGTCAGATCTCAGAATGAGCAATTAATATGAACTACAACGATGAAGTAACGCGACAATGGCGGACCTATAAATTGTCACCTCAGCACTAACAAATTTATAATGACAAGAAATAGAAGAAATGAAACGACTTATCCTCCGTTTGATTGCTCCCACTTCAAAATCTTTCTATCACAAATCAAGCAGACTTTAATCACTTTCACCTTAGCAACTATTCAACTTATTCAAATCTCATTTCAACAAAAGGGCTATTCTACGGAAATCTTTGCATACTGACTGCAAAATAGAAATTCTATTATGGTGCAGTTTTCCATGTTTTATTTATTTTGATAGTAAGTAAGACGCCACATTATTGGAATGGAAGGTATAGTCGAGAGATATGTACCGAGGATCGGTATAAAATCTTCGTAGGTTCGTAGATAACTGTACCATGAAGAGAGTAAGTGTGTCACTGAATGCAGATGATCCGCATGTGCACTTCTGTCGTCACGTCATACTACGCTCTAAAAAGAGAAACAAATGATAAAACCAAGTTGTAGTGAAAGATCCGACTCCGAACGACCGTAAACTGGAAGACTTGGGCTATCTAATTTGCGAAGCTCGCAACGGGTGTAGGCATGTTTTCCCTTGCCTTTTCCCTTTTTCTTTTTCTTTTCTTCCCTTTCCCTTTCCCTTCTTCCCTTTTTCTTTGTGCATTTTGTTCCCTGGAAAGCATTGCACCGTTTATTCGGCTTCCATAATGTTATTTCCTTGCGAATAGAAATATATTGAATGAACGAAAAAGTTCCACTGAAAACGATAAATTCGAACCCAAAGAGCGCTCACTTCTGGCTAGGCACGGTACGGTGATTTGTCGGATCGGACTGATTTTGCCACGAAGTCACTCGACTATTCAAGTGCATGTGAGTCGCTAGCACAGTCATCTAAATTTCTAGGAATAACCTTCATATTAATTTATGCATTATTTTATCTATTTACTTAGGTAATTGGGTACTTCTCGATTATGTGGTCCCCACCTGCACATAGGATTGTAAATTACAACGAGCTTACCAGCCGTTATGAAAAAGAATGAAGCAAGACTGAGCAGAATTGAAAAGAAAGAATATGCAAACACATCGCCTGTTCGCAGCATAAAAAGCAAAAAGGGGATAGGAACGTCAAGAAACTGGCCGCATAGTTACCACGGCCGCATTAACTTTTCAATTATTCATAACCCGCCATAGCAATTACTAATAGTCGAATAGCCTTGTCCAAATCAAGTTGTTTCGATTTTCTGGATTTGTTTTTAATATTTTAATATCTTTTACTCTTTTTGTCTTATTGATGATAATCTTTTGCACTCCACTGTCTTATTGGTATTTTTTCCAAAGTTGGCTATTTGCTGGAAATTCGGAATGCTAGAGGTGTTTTTATTCGTTGGCCGGCGTGAGCCTCTTACTAAAAGTAAAGTCGGTGGTACTAGAGTCTGTGAATCTGGTCTGTGACTATTCCATATCTTCGGCTTAGGTTGCTGGCCAAACTGGAAATTGCTTCTGTTGTGGCAAAGAGTTTTGGCGACCTTTCCAGCATCTTTATAGGATTTTTTAAAAATTTTTATTTATTCGAGCTTAAATTTAAAAATTTAGAATTTATTTGCATTCATTTCATAATATTCATAATATTTCATAATATTTTGATTATAATACTTCAATATTTTTTCAAGTAAGATCACGCAGAATGTTCTGGCAGTGTGATTTTTCAAATAACTCCTCGCACTTGAATGAATTGTTAAACAGTGAAACAGTCACATTAGATGATGTTATCAACGATGAATACAGCATGCAGGAAATTCGCGATGGCAATGAAAAACTCATTAAATTGTATGTTTTTTCAAGGCTTTAAAATATCGTTTGAAATACCTTTCTTCCACAAAAGTTTTTTTCAGAAAAAACAAAAGAAAAATACAGAAATTTTTGTAATTTAAACGAGTTTTAAAGGGATTCTTCTGGAAAAAAGGAGTTGAGATATTTGAATTTTAAATTTTCAAATTTATTTTGTTAGTAAGGATATATTTAATTTTGTTAAATATTTGTGATATGTGATTAATTTAATGATTAGTTTAATAATATTAATTCATTTTTTCATTAATTCATTTTTTATTTAAAAAGAAAAGAGGCTGAAAAATTGTTATTGAATTGTTATTATTTCAATAAAATTGTTATTATTATGATAAAATGATGGATTTTAAGTTTGACTCAATCATCCGTTATCAACAATTTGTTATCAAATGCACTTAGACCAGAAATTGACCTTAAAGAACCACAAAATCAGCAATATAAGTTAGTTTTTTTGATCTTCAGTCAATTTTTACCAATTTTAAATATTTTAAGTGCCCATTTTTAAATTTTAATTTTTGATTTAAAAAAAAACGAAAATTATTTTATTTCTTTTTATGATATTTAATGAATCAATTAAGATTTAATTAATTTATAATTCGATTCAATAATTTAATATTTAATTTAATTTAATTAAATGATAATTCGATTTTAATTAATTTAATTAAGACGTGCTCATATATGTACTGAAATTCTTTCATTAAATTGTGATGCAATTTGTGCCGCGTTGCTTAATGATCATTCTGCTTGTACGCTGCTTGTCAATTTCCTCAATTTATCGGATATTAACTCTCTTTTAGCCAGTTTTTATATGAAAATTATGACGCAACTCTTCAGCAAATGTACAGAAATGGTAAATAATATTGCTTCATCCAAAGCCCCTTGAACGACTTCTGTTCTTTAAAAAATGCTTATTTTGGAAATTTTCATATTGAAAAATAAGTTAATTTAATTGCGTTTGACTAATGAAAGAATTAAAATTATTTCACTTATGGTTTTATTATGGTTTTAATGGAAATTTTCAGCTATTAAATGAACTGAAGAAAACAGATTTTTTAAAATATTGCTTAAATAATCTGTTCTGTTCAGCAGTAGCGGAGTTGTTGTATCGGATGGTTAATTTACCGAGTGAATTTGAGCTTCAAAATGTTGTCAAACAGGTCATTGTATTTTTTTTGGTTTTGCATTTTTATCATCAATAAATTTTTAGTTATTAAAAAAAAAGCAAATTTGGCCCTATATACAAAAAGTTCTTAAGATCTTTATTTCTTCTAAGAATGCTTAGCACATTTTTATGGATTTCTACTTATTTATTTAACAAGAAGTAATATAACAAGGATCAAATAGCAAGACATCCTGTGCTTGTTTACTTGTTTAGCAAATTATCAAATAACCAAAAATATAAAACAAAAGCAAAGATAAAATAAACACAGTAAAATATAGAAAAATATAAAAAAATCATAAAATGTAGGATGAGTTATAGATTAGCAAAGCATAATAACCAAAAATATAAAACAAAAACAATGATAAAATAAACACAGTAAAATATAGAAAAATATAAAAATATCATAAAATGTAGGATGAGTTATACATTAGCAAAGCATAATTATAATTCATGTTGTGAATGGTACCATCTCTTTTTTAAAAGTTAAAAATATGGAGGAGAGAGGAGAGGAAAAATTAATGTCAGTAAATAACTTTTTTCAATATTTAATGCTTCTGAAACAATTGTTGGGCAAGATTTTGGACTTGCGGACAAGCTTACTTAACTTCAGTTCATTACTAGTGATGCTGACATTTATGCTTAACTTATAATAATTTAGATTGATAAATCAAATGAAATTTTTTAAAAATCAGATCTTGTTTGATTCTTCTGATTCTAAGCGAATCCAGATTGTATAACTTTATACTTAAATAGAAATTATTTCTATAAATTATCATTCAAACTGTGAAAAAAGCAACCAGTGTTCTAGGTGAGGATGAATAAATGTCAGCACCACTAGTAATTTTATATATATTAATTTTATATATATTATATATTAATAAGAAAGTTATCTGATTTGTTTTTGAAGGATGAAATTTAGAATTCTGGAAGTCTTTTTAATAGCATTTCGTGAATATAGCGGATGAAAGGATATATCAATAATTTATTTTGCTTGGTTCGATTTATGTAATTAAGTTATTTAAATCATTCTGAAGATCTACTGTTTTTTCTTTCGTCTGTCATATTCAGCTGTGCGATAATTTGAATATTGGACATCGTTTGTAGATATTCAAGAGGTGTACAAATCGGTCCAGAGTATAGTGTCAGATCTTACGCTGATGATTGTATATACGCTGATGATTTAGTCCTTTTTGCTAAGTTATGCAAATGGTCGATAACTTTAGCGAAAGTCGGATTATTGGTCAATCAGTATAAATAAAAGGCTTCGTTTTATATACCAGAATTTGGTAAAATATTTTTATCAATTTATTGTGAATTGAGGAAGTGCCAGACTTTAAATCTTTTATCCACTATATTCCCAAATAGTCAAGCAAAAGAGGAAATTATTACAACTCTGGTAATGGTAGCTAGAAATGTGTTCTTTCGGTTGGCGAAACCTTAGAATCGTGAGAAATCGCTATAAAAACGAAAATTCTTGTCTGTATAGTTATAGCTATATAGATAGCTATAATTCGCTCGATTTTGTTGTATGGCCAGTTGCAAGATATGACCAGTGAGAGTGGAAAAAGATGTCTGCTTTTACCACTTATGTCTAAGGTACTTTATAGATTCGCAGAGCGGATAAAATCTCACGTAATTGCACCCATTTTCGCTGAAATACCTGTGTTAGCATCACATAGCATCGCCTTCGCTGGTTTTTTCATCGCCCATCACAAGAATTGACGATACTTTTCGTTGCCCTGTGATGGTTAGCGTCAAAAGCGAGGAGAATCAATCAAGACCTGGACTGATATAGTCAGGAAAGATATATAGGTGAACTAACAACAATGATGAACTTAGATGATGGAAAAAGGCATTGCTTTTGTTACTGTTAGAAATAGGAACGGTTCGAATAGCTTGGGTTTGAATTTTCTGATCCATGATGTGAAAAATAAAGGCTACAGCAATTAGTATTAAACAAATAAATATGTGAGTTAGAAATGATTTTTGTAAAATTATAAATAATATATTAAAAAGAAACGATGCGCTAATGTCTTGAGGCATATCTGATCTAATTAGGACAGAATTCGATAGAGTTTTATTTATGCCTGCAACCTTATAAACGACCAGTCAAAAAATAAAGGCTCAACCTAGCAGATTCTCGCACATTAAAATATTGAAAAATTGATTTTGTGAAAACAGCATCAAAAGTAAATCCAAGTTAAGCAACTGAAATCATGTGACCAGTAGGTAGAGACCAATCACCGGAGATTGACTAAAAACTGGGAGTTAGTAAATTTTTTACAAAGCAAACCGTGCTGAAATTCAGAAATTGGTCTGTTGGCAAGACATTGGTCGATCTTGTCGCACAGAAGTTTTTCGAATAAAACAAAATTTAATTATATGATCGGCCTATATTTAGATAATTTATTCTTTTCTCTAATTTAGGTCGTTTGTTCATTTTTAAAAGTAGTAGTCATATATGAAGGCTTCCAAATTTCAGGATTAATGTCAGAATATGTGTCTTTATAGACTGTATAAAAAGCTAGGAAAACTGCACATAAAAAAATTTGTGATATATTATCTGAGCCAGTAAATAAAGATAGTTTTAAATTTGAAACATTAATTAAAAAGATTTCAATATCAACTTCATTTAAACAAATAGAACAATTGGAGCAGTTAATTCGGTTCAAAAAACTTGGGAAAGGATTTTCATTTTTAACCAATATCATCAAAGGCTACAGTATCATTCAATTTGTTTCCTAGACTCATAAATTTTTTTACATAACTTCAAAATATGGTTTCATTAGCAGAATCCGCTATTCCTTCCTTTCATATAATTATTCTGTATCTCACGGTGGAATTTATATAAAGAAATTTTATAGAAGGGTCATCGTGGGAATCATCTATATTTTATCTTTATTTGATAGTTATTTTTATTTTTATAGTTATTTATATTTTATTTTTCTATTTCTCGGTTATCGTTTCTCGATTTTTTGCCTATTATTTGTTCATTTTTTTGTATATTTATATTTTGTTAAAGCATTAAAATTAAATTTCAGTGGTATGTCGATTATCATTTAATAGAAAATCTTAGCAGTCTTTTGGTCGATGAACAGCCTCCCGAGGTGCCACTTCTTTAGCTTCTGAAATGTGTTTTCGTGAGAGAAAGTATTGTTTTCCGATGAAAAAAATAGCATTTATATAATATTTTTCAATCTAACCACAGTTTTATTTCGCTTTTATTAAATTTTCGGTTTTTATTAATCTTTACGCGTAAATTCCAGGTCCACTGCAATGTTTCGCATCTTTGGTGCGAATTAGTGCGTACTCTTCGTGATGTGCAATATACATCAGATGAAAAACGATGTGATCCGCTTCTAGAAAGTCTACAGTCAGAAAGAAATATTCAAATTATAGCCAACAAAACTTTACCGAAAAATCCATCTCATCAAAATGATTCGGTCATTATAAACTGTGCTTCAATACTTATTACTCTTCTGGAAACGAATTTTGTTCCCAATTGGTTATTTTTTTTGCAAATTTTTGCAAATTTCTATTCGTCAGTTCTTACTATTCGCATTTTGATTTTTATTTTTATTGATAATAAGGGTTATTATAGCCCAAGTCATATACTTGGAGTTGAGGAGAGGGGTGAAATTATTCATTGGGATGATTCTGCAGCAGATGATGAAAATAAACTTTCTGGCGTTGTAGTATGGCAACCAGATGCGGGTCGTATTGTAGAAACTATAATTGCCGCTTATGCAGATCGATTAATCTCTGGTATCTGTCATTCATTTCAGGTGAATTGATTCATTTTACGCCTTTCAGTTATGGTTAAAATGATTAATAATTTGATTGATAATTAATAATTAACCAGAATGATAGTGTCATTGAGATTTTAGAAAATTACGGAAAATGATGCAGTATTACCCAGTGATTCCTGGCTATATTTGATGAGGCTCTTTGTTCAGTTACTCAATACTAATCATCTAGAAACGCATCAAACAATACTTACCGCATTTTCGTCTTTCACAATTAATCCTTTCAAATTTTTGTTTGCCATTGTTTTGGCCCAACCATCGATCTCAATATTCCAACAACTTTTAGCTCGATGTGTTTCATTTATATTATATACTAAATCATCTTCGTCATCTCCTCTCATTTCATATTTATTTAAGGTTATTTTTTTTACCAATATTCTTTATAATCAGATATTCGCATTGAAGAAAAGCACAAATGGAGTTTCATTTATTCGCATACATTAAAATCAATCATGTTTTTAATTGGAAATGTTTTTTTCAGGACTTTGATCTAATTGGTAGCATACTGGATTTAACTGAGAAATCGAAATCCTCCTCACCATTGATTCGCAAATTATTGAATAGTTTTTGCTTTACATTGGCTATTTGTATTCGTTCAGCTCGATCTTCGCCAAATTCTGCTATCATTGAGGAGTTTATAAACGGTTTTGCTTCATTTCTTCTTTTTTGGAATTTTTTGGTACATGACAGTGAAAAATATTTTTTATTATTTAGAAAGTTTCAAAAAAGTATGAAAGGTCAAAAAAATTTTTAAAGTGATATTTTTGTTTATTTAGGATTTCTTAACCAAGAATTTAAGGAGTTTGTGATCTTTTATAATTTTAGATAACCCAGAATAAAATTTTCAGAATCAAGTAGACTTGACGACTGGAACGAGTTTTTAAGGTCTTTAGTAGCTCAATATGAGAAAGAAAATCAATGTGATGAAATCGAAAAATCTCTCTCAAGCCTTAATTGCAGTTCACATTCGGCGAATGCATCATTTATTGAATATGAGTCAGTTAAAGAGCCTATGAGTAATAATGTAGATCATGTAAGTCTTCGGTCCCAGTTATGTATTTTAAAAAGCTTTTTATCATTTAATATTAGATTTTTTTTATCAGGTAAAAAGAATATATGAAGAGCATATGCCACCTGAGCCACTTCCTTCATATGATAAACTTCCATTTTCTCACGCGAAATTCGGCGATATCAAGTTGGATTTTTTGTCTTTTCATTTTCTTTCAATTTTTTGAATGAAATTCAGATTAAAATCTATTCTTGATAAAAGAAATCTGGTTCATTTTTTAGATATGCTTGTGATCTATCTATAGCAAAAATCATTGACATCAATTTGGAAGAGAAATTTAATGCTGTTGTATGTTTTATGATTTGTTTAAAATGGATCTTGTCAAACTCATAAGTAGCTTATATTTACACTTATTTATGTTGTTCGATGTATTACTGCTGGAAAATATTATATATTTTCTGCGAATTTTTTATTTTCATTTGTATTAATTTTTTGCAGATACGTCATTTTAGGTTGATGAACAGGCTTTTGAAGCGTTATGCTCTCTTCGCTTTAATATTGACAGTTTGATTGATGAGTCTTCAAAAAATGAAGTAAAATTTTTTTGCCGAAGAAGAACTTTATTTATTTAATAAACAAATTTATTATTTATTTTCGATGTTTTTATTCGAATTTCGACTTTTAGGAAAGCAAAGCTCAGTTTCTTCATAACGAATCGGTTTTCGAAAACAGAATGAATTCAACGCATAATCCTTCAAATTCAAAAGGTTTTGCTATTGACAGTGTGAATTTATTGTCTGAAGAAGTATTTTGTGCTAGAAATCCATGTTTTCTAGGTTTTGGTTCATATCTCTAATTCATTAAAATAATTCATTTTTGTATAAACAATCTAAAAGTAAGAAAAAGGATTGAAAAGAATTGCTAAATTGCGATCATTATTGATTTAAACCATTAAAACCTCTTTATTCATAGGGCATAAAGAAGAACATGCAAATGAATTATGGGCAACTCCAGTCGATCCCTTTGATCCATGGTCAAATTTTGTTTCTGTGAAGGATGAGTGGCCTTTGACATGTTCTGGCAATGAATTCTCGAAGACTGATAAGGTCAATCACTTCGTGGTGAAAGAATTTGTACATTCAGCGTCAGATGATTCAGCCGAACCGTATTTTTTATTTCACTTAAAGATTATTATTAATTGCAGTTTTTTCCATTTCCATTTTTCAAACAAAATTCTCATGTTAATATTAATTTCTTTATTAATTTTTTCGATTGAACTGCTTAATTTTTCAATTGAACTTTTTTAATCAATTTTAATTCAGCGTTTCTGATAAATCTTCTGATTCGTGGGCTGATTTTACGTCAGTGAAAGCGGATGATTGGCCGCCGTCTAAGGCAGTATCATCAGAAGATTGGCCGAATGTTAATTCTAGTATTAATGAGGAAACGGCTTCTCAACTTGCAAATAACACTGATATCACATTTGCATCTAATGCAATCGCTTCAGCCATTTTGACTGGTTCAGTTGAATCGTAAGTTTAAAATTTGTACGAAAGTTTGTGATCAGAATTATTAAATGAATGAATAAATGAATAAATAAATTATGGATAAGATTCTTAATATATTTACTTTATCATTTATTATTTTGTTAATTCCATCTAAAAATTACATTTAAGTTTCAGGCATATTAACAAATCAGAATCGAAATGTTAGTCTGAAGATAGAATGGATCTGAATTTTTTTTTGTTTGAATTTATTTGATTTTAGTATGTGGCATGAAGACATATAAATGTAAAACTTCAAATCAAATATTATCGTTTTTTTTTCTGGTGTAAGCGGTTGTTTTGCTTATTTTTTTAAATTATAACTTAATTTTTACTTAAAAAATCAATTTTATTCATTCATTCCTTTTTTTATTTCATTAAAAAAATTATCTATTTATTGCCAGTAGTTAACCAGTTGTCCATAAATTATTTTTTTCATTTTTTTCATTTTCATAATTTTCTCCATAGATTTCTTTTTCGACCTGAAAATCTGAAATAACATTTTATGTTATGTATTGTTGAATTATCCGTGCAAAATTGCTTTTAATTTTCAGATGATTTTTTCATGCAAAACTTTATTTGAAGGTTTCATTTATTCAAAGGGTTGATTTGTTTTTGAATTTTATTTACTGTAATTTAGTTTTCAATAACTAGATATTGCTATTGTTTAGTAGAAAAAATGATTTAAGAATAAGTAATTGATATTTCTGAAAGTAATTGTTGGCCTTTTTTCGTTTATATTTAATCTAACCTCAAATTATTTTTTCATTTATCTCACCGAAATTGCTTATAATTGTGAATAAAAATTTTTTTTATAGTGTTAACTTGGTATATTATGAAATTATGAGTATATATTACAGACTTAATTTTATATTTACCTTCATTTCGACAAATTTTATTCTGGCTGCAATTTTTAGTATTTATCGTTAAAAAAAATTTGATTTATTTTTTATTCAATCTGTCCCATAAGAATATGAAATATTGAGTGTTTTTTCACGGGAATGTTACGGTGATTTTTTAGAAATTAATTTAACTTAAAATGTCGAAGCGAAAAGTTTTATTGATGGGTAAGAGCGGATCTGGGAAAACGTCAATGCGTTCAATAATTTTTGCTAATTATATCGCTCGCGATACCAATCGGCTAGGACCCACAATGGAGGTTGAGCATGCCCATGTTCGGTGAGTTTAAATTTGCAGTTGATTATGAATTTGCTTTAAAAAAGTGAAATTATTTTGTATCCAATGAAGGAATTTTGAAATTCAAGGATCTTTTTTTTAAATAGTTATCTTTGATATAAATATAAAATAGGTTTTTGGGAAACTTGGTTCTTCATCTGTGGGACTGTGGTGGTCAAGAAGTTTTTATGGAAAATTATCTTGCGTCGCAAAAGGACCAAATTTTCAAAAATGTTCAGGTAAATGAAAAGGACTTTTTTCGGTAGCAATTAATGATAATCATTAGTACTATATAAAATATTAGATTATTTGCCATAGAATTGAATTTTAAACTATTCAGGTACTGATCTACGTCTTTGACGTTGAAAGTCGGGAAATAGAAAAGGATTATCGCTATTTTCAATCATGTCTAGAGGCTTTACTACAGAATTCTCCAAATGCTCATTTGTTTTGCCTTATACATAAAATGGATTTGGTTTCTGAAGAACATAGGGAGCAGGTGTTGTTTTTTTGTTCGCTATGTTCTTAAGCTATGAATTATGTTCTTCTCGAAGTTTTTTGTTAAGTTTGTAATTTTATTAAATATTGAACTGTGGAATTTTTGACTTTTATACGTTTTAAAGGATATGAGAAGAATAAGATAGAGGATATGATATTTTTGACCTTTAAGGATATGAGAGAGAATTTGTTTTGGTATTTTCTTAATCTATTATATATATTTTTATTATTTTATATTCTGAGGAGATAGAAGGAGTCGAGTGGTGAAGATTACCATGTTGAGATAAAGGTTTGGCTTCTGCTTCTTACTGGAGTAAGCCTTGGAAATCCGGTTGCTAATGGCGATCTATCTCCATTTCTGTTACCATATTAAAAAAATTGGCAAAAATTTATAACAGCGATTGTAGCCAGAGCGAGTTTAATGGGAAATGGTGAGCTAACCATTTATTTATGATTGCACTTATCATTTACTTTTTTTCGTCCTTAAAGGTTTTTATTGAAAAGGAACGTGATATTCTAACACGAGTGAAATCAGAATGTGAGAAATTAAATCGATCGGAAATTTCATGTCAGTGTTACCGTTCATCTATATGGGATGAAACTCTCTACAAGGTCCATATTTCACTGATTACCTTTTTTTCTCGTTAATCGTTATTATTTATTAGATTTTAGTACGAGGTCATTATTTCATTATTTATTTTTGAGTAATTTTAAGTGTAACATTTATAAATGGTTGCAAACTTCAGGCTTGGTCAGCTATTGTCTGTAAACTTGTGCCAAACGTTGCATCTATGGAGGCTAAGTTGCAGTTATTCGCATCAATTATCGATGCAGATGAGGTTGTTAGATATTATCATTCGTTTTCATGTTTTTTCTTCTTTTTTTGATTTTATAAGTTCTTATTTTTTGCAAAAAATTAATTCACTTTAAAACATGAGTTGATTTTTTTTTTTTGCTAATTTCAATTCCCTCTTATTTTTCCAATTATAAATTAGCAAAAAAAAATTATTGAAAATTCGAGGCATTTTTTGCATTTTTTAAAAATAGGACTATTGAAAATAAATATTCATTCAGGTAATGTTATTTGAAAAGGCAACGTTTCTCGTTATTGCTCAAGCCCAAATTGTTTCTCATTCAGATATTCATCGTTTCGAAAAGGTGTCAAACATAATTAAACAGTTCAAATTATCTTGCAGGTATCCCTTTTGTTGTAGTGCAATGTTGTACGATTTTTTGATTTTCAATACCATAATTTTATTATAATTTTATTTTTTTGCTTCAGCAAACTGGGCTCACAGTTTGAATCAATTTCCATAAGAAATAGTAATTTCTCAGCATTCGTCGACAGTTTCACGTGTAATACATTTATAATGGTTGTCTTATCGGATACGAGCGTATGTATGGTTTTTATTCTAAATTCACTTTCATTTTAATCTATTTGTCAGTTTTGTCAATTTTGCATTCCCTTATTTCTTTTTTTGGTTTTCTTTTTAATTTTGAGTCAATTTTTCATAAATTGGATATCTTAAAGAGAAATTGTCTTGATTAATATAATTGATCTTGTCCAAAGTAAAACTTTAGTTTAATTTTTTTCACATATCCATTCTTTTTGCAGCAAGTGCGACTACATTAATGAATATTCGAAATGCAAAAAAACATTTTGAAAAACTGGAAGTAAGGTAGAAAAGAATTTAATTGCTATCTTGGTTCGAATAATGTAATTATGCATTGGTTTTCTGTGTGTATTTTTCTACTCCATTATGATTAATCTATCGATATGTAAATGTTGATTTTTTTTGCATTAGAAAATTAAATTTTTGTGCATAAGTCGACATTCTTTTTAATTTATTCGTTTTCACTTTCAATTTAATGCGTAGCAGTTAAATACCAATCTAGTTTAATTTAAAAAATTAATTTTCATCTAAGAATACTAATAATTTATTATTTTCGCATGGAGAGATATATGAAAAATATCTACCAATTACTGCCATCCATTTTTCATATCGTTATTTTAATTTATTATTATAAGTGTTCATTTATTGTTGGATTGAAATTTTTTGTTATACGTGAGTTAGAATTTGGATGTATTTAATGTTTAAATGATTAAATAATAAATTTTTGATATTTGAATTTTTATTCATTGTTGTTATATGGTATTTGTTCACCAGCTGAATGATTTCTAACTATTTATTTGAAATTTTCTGTTGATTCGCATTTTTATTATTCGTTTATTAAGTATTCGTATATTCGATCATTTTTCAGAGAGATTATAGTAATATTGATAAACACTTGAAAGATTTATAATATTCGAAAAAGAGAAAATCGCAGTGTGGAAATTTCCTATTGTTATTGCCATTTATGTTTTGGTTACCACATCTGAGAGCTTGGCGTTGTTCAGAGGATCATTTATAGAATCAAAGGGCCATATTTGTAGGGAGATTATCACTTGGAAGAATTTTCGGAAGAACGGCATAGTTTTAAATAACAGCATTATTATTTCTAATGTTAATAACTCTCTTTCCTTTTAACGCTTTGTTCATAATCTTAACAGAAGAGATGAGGAAAGGGCATATCTTTTATCATGAGGAATGGTTAATAAGTAAGGGATGAGTGGATGCCTTTATGCGCATTTGTTTTTTCTTGTTTTTTTTATATTAAATATAAAGATATAGAATAGGGAATGATAATTGAATTTTTAAAGCCTATAATTATGTAAGTGCATTTCAGAACTCAACATTTGGGCTGTTTGTTCGGTTTTTTCTGCATGGAGGTCTATCTAACGTATGGAATTATTTTTTTTATTTCGTTTGTACTTTTATTTTGTGCGCCTTTAATTAAAAGGTAAGGCAATTTTTCGGATTTTCCTTCGTTTTCTGCTTGCTGGGATTCTTTTATGCGATTTACACTTAGCTGGATCTTAGCCATTTTTCAGGCATTTTTTCAAAGTTGAAGTAAACTGTTGGTTTTGCAATCGGAATTTTCCTGTTGAATATTCGATTCGAAAATCGTTCGTTTGTCCATTTTGTGACCAGTATAATGGTTTTACAAATAGCGGTGATTATGACAAAATTATTCGTGAACAAAGATATGAGTATCTTAATCCACCATCAAGTAGAAAGGTTGAAATTTGTTTATTCATTTTTATATAGATTTCGATTGCAATATTTGCTGATTTTCAGGCTGAACACTTAAATCGATTAAAACAGAAATTGGAACCGACAGATAATGGTATTTGTAATCGATGTAATGCTACACAAAATCTTATTCAAACTGAAATAAATAGTTTTGAACCGAAGAATGAGGTATTGGATATTTGGCTACAAATATTTCTGCTTCTAAAAATGATCGAGTCTAATTTCATCTAGAGCTTGGGATATGGTGGTAGATTAATATGTCTCTTCTATTTATGCAGATCTTTTTCTCTTGATGGGAATGAGCATCATCAGGATAATAGAAATCCCATTTATGTTTTTTTCCTAGTTGCTGTTAGGTGCAAAGGAGGATTCTTGTGGCATTATAGAAATGATAAGCAGTTTTTAATTTGCGAGATGAAGGAACTGTCTAGAATTTTCTAGTTTTTTTTGACGCTTCAAATTTTATTTAAAACTATGGAAATAATATAAACATTTTTAAATAAAAAAGTTTTTAATTTGCGAGATGAAGGAACTGTCTAGAATTTTCTAGTTTTTTTTGACGCTTCAAATTTTATTTAAAACTATGGAAATAATATAAACATTTTTAAATAAAAAAGGTTTATTATTTGAATATTAACATTTCTTACAATAGGATATTTTAAGCTTTTTGTTCCTTTGTTCTTAATTTTTAAATGATAACTTTTCTTATGTAATTTTTTAAAGAATTATGAACTGTTATAATTGTTATAAAGAAATTGTTTATTCATACTGGTTTTTTAAATGATATTAGGATATCATACGGCATATTAATGCGCTTCAAAGGTTGCTTAGACTTCAGTTTTCTTTATTACATATTTAAGGATAGTCATATAATAGCATCATTTTTTTTCTTAAATTATGCAGCTTAAATTAAATTATTTCTTCTGTATTTCTTTTTCAATAGAACAATTATGCGAATGAATTAAACGAATTTAAATCGCGTCTTCATCGAGCATATCCATTGTGTCGTGAATGCGAAGTATATCTGCAAAGAAAAATCCAACATGATAAAGTTTTTCTTTTCATATGATTTGAACTATTATTATTTTGTACTTTTATGAAGTGAGTTGATTTAGAAATAACGCGTAATGCGTAATCTCTCCTAGAAATTTAATATAATCTCTTAACTTCATGATCAATACGTGAGTTATTTATTGCTCAAAATGGATTTTCTATTATTTGGTGATTTTCAGCAGAAATATGGTCTTAGTGCTTATATCAATGGCTTCTCATTTAGCCGTTTACGTGATACTTGGTCACAATTTTCTGTGTCGTCTGGTCGCACTGGGAAATTGCTCATCCATGGAACTGAAATGGTCCAATTTCTTGCTTTTATCATTTCCACAATGAGTCCTCGTATAACAGTTTTATTTTATTATAAGTAGTTTATGTATATACCGACGTTATTTTCTTATAACGTTATAAATATACAAATAATATATTTAACATTGTTATGAAATGGTGAACTTCACATTGGTATTCTTAAGTTTCGTAAGATATTGTTATACGAGAGCGCATTGTTTTTCTTTTCAATTGTTTTAAAATTGTTTTTTCCTATATTGTTTTTTTTAAGAGCTTAAGACAGAATTTCAATAGGTTTTTAATAATTATTTATAATAATAAAACAATAATCATAATAATTATTATTGTTTTTATTAAAAATTTTTAATGTAGTCAGAATTATTTAGGCCAATTATATTCAGAATTTTTTAAAAATTTATAAAATTGGGGTCATGAATAGAAAGGGATCCTTGTTATTATTATTGTTGTTGTTATTGTTGATCTTTATTCTAAAGTTTCTTTCACTTTCGTATCTTTCTTTTACATTGATCCAGTATGAATAAATTTATTCTAATAATTTAATTTCACAGTTTATCAGTTTCAGAGTGCTGGTTTGAAACATATGAAAAATGAACAGTATCGGTCCCGATCTTCTTATTTTAATTGCGGCCTGTTCTCAAATACTATGAATGTATCCACTTTCATCTCGTCATTATTGCTGTTTGCAGTGCATTTTTTTCATCTTCAAGGTGAATCCGATGTTGTGGTTAGTTTTCACTTTGTTATTGGAATTTATTACTAGATTTTTATTAAAGTTTTTTCATTACGTATAGACTTTTTAAAATATAAATTAAGCTATAAACTTTTATTATTAAAATCTGACTGGAAATTTCTAGACAAAGCGGATAGCGGATCCGAAATTCCGGGATGCTTACCTTTTATCGCTAAGGAGCTTCTTGTTATCTTTGTCATTACCTAGTGCGACAAGCCAGAAGAGTTAGTCCATTAATGGTGATTGCTAATGGACTAACAAAATGGTGTTAAAAAAAAGAATGATTAATAGTATTAAAAAAAGAATAAGGTTTATAATTCAGTTTAAAATGATTGCAGCTACTTGATTTGTCATATTTAATCACATATCATGTCAATGAAGCAATTCTAATATTCGTTCAGCACTATTCTGTGCTAATTTCAATCATTAGTTTTATATTCCATTTGCTGTCGATTCGGTTTATGCGCACACGTCGATCGCTATCCGACCTTGTCGCTTTGATATTTTGGTTAGGACCTATTGTTTATCATATTTTTATTTTGTGCTTTCGAAGTCTTTTTTTAATCAATAAACAGAAAACCGAGATAATAGATTCTTTGGCCAACAATAAAATTCTTACTTCTAAATAGATAATATGGTCATTGTTATTACTTCAATATATCTACTTTTCTTCTTGTTTTGTTCCGCACTTGAATATAATTAAAATTAAGAGTTTATCCTAATTTTTTCCTACATTTTCTTATATTAATTCAGTCATTTTATTTTCATTTTGTCTTAAAAGGTTTTTAAAATTCCAATACAGTGATGGCCACTTCCACAAATCCTATTATTCGCTTCACTTCTGAGTCGCACTTTTCTAGCAAATTGTCGTTTATAAGTCCTATTTCTTTTGTCTTTTTTTCAGATATATTGTAATGTAAATTCTTCTTCGAATATTTCAGGATGGTACTGATATTTCTCGATTATTCAGAAGAAAGCAAGGATGTTTTGTTATCGCGATTAGGTTTTTCATCGATATTAACTGTTCTTTCATTTGCTGTGACTTTTCTGCCTCGAAAATTGTTACATCGCAAAAGGCAGAATAGTATTCTGAAAAGGTGAATTTTCCGTTCTCTTTGCAGTAATTTTTCATACAGTTTATTCATGCTCATGTCGATTCATGTATTTTCTTTCTCATAAGCATTGATCTAAAGCCTGCATTACTTAATGAGATTTACATTTCTTGTTGCATTTATTTAATGAATTCTGTTAAGTCACTTGTCATTTCAGTTTCCATTCATGAATTTACTAATTCTGATTTTTATTCCAAAAAAAGAGTATTAAAGTTTTGATTAAATCAGTTTACTGCTTTTTTAAGTGGCTTTAAGTCGTTTGTTTTATTCTATGATTTCAAAAAAGGAGTTCAGATTTCACTTAGAAAAATCTACCAGGAAGCATTTTGTAATTTGTCTTTCTTAATGCAAAATATAAATAAGAATTATTGCTCTTTTTTATGGCTTGTAATCCTTTATGTTTATCTCCATTTCTCGATTGGCTTGATACTTAGACTTTTCAGTACGATTTATTATACAGTTTTGCGACGTCTTTCAAATGTCCATTGTATTTATCAAACTTATTTTGATGCCTGGCCCATTACTTTTTGTCTTTTTGTTGTAATTTTTCCAGGTATTACTTTCTACATCAATTGATTCCTTATTTCCCACGAAAAATATTTCACTTGTTTCGTTTTATGCCTTATTACATGTTACAGCGCATTTTCGATCGCGAGTACTCCACAGTCTCAGTGTAGTACGATTTCTACTTCTTCTGCCTATGAAACGGCTTCAAATAATAAAAAAGGAATGTCAACATGTTCTATTTATAACGATAACAGTAAATCAATTCGAGATTCGACACCACGAGAATTGGGATTTTTATTAAGTGGACTTCGATTGGAGAGATCTGACATGGATGAGAATTCTGTGCTAAATAGGAAATCTCGAGGTTTTTTTACGAACAATTATTTCTCTATTTTTATTAAATCACTGTTTAAAATTAATTTTAATTAATTTCGTAAAAAAATCAACAACTATTTTACAGTATAGTGAACAAGGAAATAACAAAATATGAATTTGTGTTGTTTCAAAATATTTAAAATATTTTTGATGGAATAGAGAATTTCTCAACCCAAATCTAAAATGGGTTCTTGTACTAACATTGTTATTTTTGGACGAGCGTTTTCATTTAGAAGGACTTCCCGAATTCCTTTCCCTCCAAATTTGTTTCATTAAATTGCCTTCTTTGCCTTTAAACTTTGAAGCTGGCAGCAATAACGTTTAGCATTAATTGTTTCACCAGGTCTCAGTGGTTTACATATAGAGAATTTTTTTCCAAATAATATGGTTTCATCGTTGACATTTACTTTTAGTTCATGATTTTTGGCGTATAAGGTTGTTGCAGTGAACTTCTTGTCTCCATTGATATTTTTCTGCAAAAAATACTGTTTTGCTACAATACTATTAAATCTGGTCTTCATGCAACAGTGTACCACTATAATACTATTAAATCTTACCCTTACCCTTACTACCATTAACACTATAGTTCTATTAAATCTGGTCGCTATATAATAGTGTACTACTATTAATGCTTCTAATTCGCATATTACAGTATATCCGCCTGCCTTCTCCATACTTTTCTTATTCGCTGTTTTGCTTTTTTTGTGTCTAGTAAAAAGATTAACATTAAAGTTGTCTCATGCTTCACTCGGTTAATTCAGTTCATATAATACCCACTTTTGAATTTTTCCCATGCTTTGAAGTCTTCATATTGTTACAGAATGATTAATCCTAACTACCAACTCCAGTGTTTTATGGCATGGATTTTCATCAAGTAACGTTTGCAGTTAATCCGTTGCAAATCCATTTGGTTTTCCTTGAAGGTGTCATTTGTTGAACTTTGCGAACCATTCTCTGTACAGTAGTGATATTTCCAAGATGAAAAAGAAAGAGAAATATCACATTTATACCTTGTTAGCAGCCAACACAGTTTAGCATAGTGAAGTCCGACACTAAATGTGTGCAATTCAATTTTAAATCAAGTTAATTTCCATGTGACAGTTCATTTAGAATCAGCGTTGGGAATTTGTACATATAGCTTATAGATGTTCAAATTAATTAATATCTGAAATTAATATCTGATGTGAAGTTTTGCTGGTTCCTTTTTTTCCTTGTCTAATCCTTAAATTGAGCTGAATTAAGTCAAATAAATAACAAATATTTGTAATTTCAGGACCATTTAACTCCATTAGACGACCAGTTTTAACTCCATCACTCCTGGCATCATCGAATACTTTATTTCAGCCCGCTCAACATGGTCTTTCCTATTCTCCTTCATTAACTTCTATAAGTCAAGTCAGTGCATCACGATCCATTCCTTGGCTCCCCATATTTTGTCTTATCGCAACACTGGCCTCTTTGATGTTCAATTTCTTTATTTATTGCCATATTAAAAATAATTAATAAAATAATTAATCTTTGTTTTCATCTATGTTTTTTGGCCTTCTTTCAAAGTACTTTCTATATTTTTACAGTTATGTCGTATATTATGTATTTCCACTTGATTATAATCTGAATAATGAATTATTGTTGGATTTTATGGGTATCCTGCCTCGTTTTGCTTTCGGTATTGTTCGGTATTTTGATCTCAATGTGTGTTAAAATTTTACTGATTTTGTAAATTGTATATTAAAAATTTGAATGTTACTATATGTTCGTGTTTACCGAATAGCTGCTGCCTTTCCATTTATTCCGGTCATTGATAATTTTCATATGTTTCTTACATTGAATTGTTATAAATCTTGTCATTTCAGACTCATTTGAAAAAAGCTCAACTTTTTTATCGAACTTGCGAAATAAACTTTTATTTCCTCTTTTGAATTGTTTATCTATAAGGTGCATCGTTAAATATTTATTTTTTCTCATGAAAATTATACAACAAATATTTGAATACAGTATTTTTTATATTTGTTAAAGAAGTACATATACAATTAAAATATAGTTTTTAGATAGTTTAATCGTTGTTGGTGAACTTCGAATTTTTAAGGCATAAGGTTCTTTACAAATATAAAAATAAATAAAAAAGACCAAAATAGCGATGCGTTCACTGAACCCGAACATGGCGCATTTCTTTCCTAAAAATAAAATCCTTGAAAAGTCTTTATTTATGGTATGGTTTTAGCAATTTGGGTTCTGGCATATTCTTTACCTGTGGATGTCTGCGTGTATAATCGAGGTCGGGCCTTCTCCGTCGGTAAAGCGGTCGTATCCTCTCGCATTCGGATACTAAATGAAACATTTTTTAGTGGAAAGCTCGTTTATCAAGGTATGGATTTCCAAATGCTATAGCAGTTTAGCGTTTTCAACCCTGATTTTTTTCTTCTGTCGAATTAAACTGGATTTAATCATATACAAGAAAAAAAATGAGTCGAAATGAACCTCTTCGTGGTAAAAAAGTATGTGAGTGTTGTACACTCGAATCAAAATTATTGTTGCAAGGATTGTCGACGATGAACAAATATAATGATATATCTTGAAGTGGTTTAATAAGAATGTCTCTGCAAAGCCAATGCTAAAGCCTATCAATTTCATATTATTACCATTCTTTACTTAGGTTTTCATTTGTTATCAAATGAAATTTAGGTCATTTGGTATAATAAAGAAATGAGGCTAATTGATGCAAAGTTATCATTTAATTTATAAAAAATCAATTGAATAATAAATGATCTAAGGATCAAAAGGAAAAGCTTCAGGCAGATTTTTTTCTATTTTTTCTATTTATAAATTTATTTATTCAACAAGTTCGTACGAGTAGAATGTAATATTATGCACTAGTAAATCCCCTTAACAGCACTCACCATTTTTGGTTCGGCTGGTCCTAGAGAATACCAAGAGGCTTTCTTAATCTTTCTTCGACGTAGAAGAATATAGAAACACAGATGGTGTGCCATATGGATTTCATTTTTTACTGATAGAGGTTAGGGGACAGGGAACTGAACCTATGATATTCAACCTTAACTGAAGCAGTGCATCAAATTTTAAGTTATAATCACAAATCCAGAATTCACGAATAAACAACTAAATTTAACATTGAAAAAAATTGATAAAAATTGCAAAATCATGGAAAAACTTCTAATTTTAAATGGGTCGCTGTATTCAATGATTAATAATTTACAAGCCTCGAGCATATGCCATCGTTTAGGATGAATCTCTTCGTATGGTTCAATTCCATTTCATATACAGGATATTCTAATGAACATAATTCGCGATGTTTTATTCGAGAAAACTGACAAATTTTGCCAATCATTACAGGTTGCGAAACAATATTGCGCAATAAGGTTGATAGTACTATCCACAACTCAAACCTAAAAATTAGTTTCGTCGACTGCGGATGACTGAAGAAAATGAAAAGCACGAGAAAAATCTTATGAACCTTTAAGAAATGAGCAATAAACAGAGGAGAGATAAATATTAGAGGACTTGATTGGCAGGCTAGCACTTCTTTTTTATGAATTAACTTAGATAAAAAGGGTATAAAGGGAGTTTAAAGGATAAAAATGATTGAAAGGGCAAAAAAGCATAGAAAAATTTTGTTAGGATATCAATACTTTTTTAAAAGAACCAATACAAACATACCAGAATGCACTCGAAAAAATTTCCATAAATTTATGCAAAAGTGTAGAGATTTCATGAAAATTGGTGGTAGAAGCATCGCTCTTTGTTAATAAATAAGTTCGTAGTGGAGAACATTGAGCTTGATTATCACGACGATAAGATCTATGGAAAAATTTTAGTAATAATAATATTCAAAGACTTGAAAACCAAAGATAATCGCAAAAAAACCACTAAATGGAAATTCAATAAAGGGTTAAAAGCTATAAACTCAAATAAAAAGGCAAAACGAAAGACAAAATTTTCAGTTTGCAAAACGGCTGGGAGAGATGCACGATATAAGAGCAAATTTCTGCCAATACAGCAATGTTTTCACTGGATTTCAGCCATGACGACAGTAAGTGTGCATCATTCTACTTCGACCATTTTTAATTATAGGTTTGATTCCAGTCAAAGAACAAGGATCGAACCTATAGTGCTATATGTGCATAAACCTAAATAATTCAATGGTTAATTTAGATTTATTTTGAAATATTCTATATGAAATTGAGATATTTACTTCAGCACCACTGATTTTTTAATAAGATAATTGAATAAATAGGGATCAGACTGCGACAGATGTTGCTCAGCTTGTTTGCCCGCTACCACAAAACCATTCATTGTTACCAAATAGCACCTTTTTTTTCGCTGGAAAATTTTGGCTCATCCAAAAGTGTTTAAATTTAGAGTTAGAAAAATTTAAAGTTAGAAAAAAATTAATGTTAAATTAAATAAACTTACATGATAGCAAACCTTCCATTCATTAGAATGTATCGTCAAATTGGTGAATATCTGACCAATAAATGATACGGTCCATTGAACCCCACCAAGTGCGAGACGTCGGCCGAATTTTGAATCGAAGATTTGCTCGTATGCCGTCACAGTGTGAGTACGATTTTCGTTGAATACGAATATTTGCAACTTATTTGTGGGTTTTGGGTATCGATCTAGTTCAAGCAGATCAATTACAGAGCGCAATGACTCGAAACTACTGCAACAAATAAGATTTATAGGCACCAATAATAAACTGTGATTTCTTTTTTTATAATCTTTGACATTTGGCCGATTTATTACTCTTTGACATTCAATGAAAGAAACTTTTAAAGAAAGTCGATTTTTAATCGCAGAAAAACAGAAAATATAGAAAATCAGAGCAACAAAAAAGATTCCAAAATATTTACCATTCTGGATAAAAAGCCGTTATATGTGTCAACGTGCTGACAAATGAATTGATGTAAAAAAATGGATCAAAATTTATTGGCAGTGGGTTATTGACGCATGTTGCATTCCCTTCCAAGTCTGGCCAACTTTCAGTCCACTTATTTAAAGAGCTAGCCAAGGCATATGGCAACCGCTTATCCATTTCACATTTTTCTGATTCGAGAAATGCATTAAATCTTTCCAGCTTATTCTCATGATCAAGATTACCCCGACAAAGACCTCTGAAATAATGAAAAATTACGGTGTGCCACGTTCCAAATCCACTAAATAAATCAGCTCTTTTGTTTTTCGAGAGAACTGAGATATCTTGCCAGGAGTTGAACCTCAGCATAGGCATTCGCAACTGGGAGACAACCCACTGAGCCACTCCACCCTCCTTTGTTTTTCTCCGTTAGGCGACATTGCCGCCTGGCAATACGTCGGCCGGATTCAAACCCAAGCTTCGGTGGCAATTACCTTACTATCGAACCACCGAGGCATGAATCAACTTTAAACCAACTAAATAAATATCTAAATCACCCTATATTTTTCAAATAATTTTATAAAGATGACCTTTTTGGTACATAGTGGCCAACAAGTGCTTTGGTTGGAGCTGTAGGTCTGGGGATGTTTTTCGTTAAAATAGTTTCACCGCGATCTGAGAATACAACAAAACCAATCGTCCACGGCGTCCCACTGATACTTCTACAATAGTAATGTCGAGTGCCCTTAAAATTGTTAAATGAATAAACACGAGCCATAAAACTCAAAACAATGGAAATAATTCTTAACATTGAAATAATGAAACGCCCAGGGCATTTGACTCCGTTTCTAAAGTCAAAAAAGGTCTCTTAAAATGATATTAGAGTCCAATTCACAAGTTTTATGTTCAAAATCCCTGAACGAATTCTGGTCCGGAAATGAGTCAATAAACCTACCATTAAATTCGGGTTGTGTCGGGTTGAAGATTTATCAAATAGATAACGAAGAAACAAAAAAAATTTATGTAGAAACCAAAGAAGAGCAGAATTATTTATGAAAATTTAAATCATATTTTAAATTTTTCCTTACGATTTTTCCCATTTCACATCCAAAAATTAATAGCCAGAGGGTTAATGAGCCATTTAAATCATTTAAAGCGAATCGAATTGAAGTTGAGGCTATTTTTGAGTACAACAAAGAATTGAGATACTCCACACTTTATTGCAAAGCAAAAATCAGGGGGCTACATATGTATTCCTTTCTTTTCTTTATTTTAGAGTACCCACATATTTTGTGCTTAAAGATCGTCGAGGATTTCTTGCAAAGCATTTGTTTATATTTTGGGGTGAAAGACTCGTTTCGAAACATGGCTTAAGCAAGCTTACATCATAAGACGATGCCTGTGTTATCAAGAAAAGAAAAGCTAACGTAAAGCAACTGGACTGTGAAAGCATTTGAACTTGCGTTTGAACTATATAAAAACTTGAAATTGGTCTATACAATTATATGCAACAGGTTTTCAGTGAAACAAATGGGCAAATAAAAATGGGGTTCACTTATTCCTGCGAAATCATTGCTATCAAATAAATCCATCATACAAGCAGAAACATAGATAAAGGGAGGTCCTATGTTCCTAGAAGTACCATCATAGCTTCAGAAAGCGCAGAGGAAATTGTAGCAATATCAGATTTTAAAAAACTCACGTCAATGAATGGTAATTTATTGCAATTCTGGTCAATCATCGCCTTACGAAATTCCAAAAATTTCGACGAACTTAATTCCAATTCAGCCTGAAAGTGAATGAACTCCAATCGCGAATAAAATTTTTCCTACTTCCGAGAAATATTTACTTCATTTCTACAAAAATATTTTGATTAATTTTAATCTTATTGATTTTTTGAGAAATATTGCAATTAATTCAATTATTAACAACGACAGACAATATCAATAGTGGGTATCGAGTCGGTTAATCCCATTAATTTCAGAACCCTTTCATCAGCTTCGCCAAACTGAATACGGCCATTTCCTCGTGACTTTAGGCGTTTGTCGTAACAAGCTGTACGGCGGACTGAATAAATTTCTGTTTTCTGAAATATGAAAATCCATGTTTTCATGCCCAAGCCGAACGAAAAATTCTAAATAAATAAAGTCGCATTATCAGATTATCTGAAATTTTCCGTAATTTTCTTTTAAAAATTTACGATTATGGAAATAAAAATTCTAAATTTTTTATTAAAAATATATGTTTTATTTAAAAAAATATAAATAAAATAAAAATAAAAAAAATATATTTCTAATATTAATGTTGTTTTATCGTTATTTAACCCTTGCATAAAAGAAATTTAAATTAAGATAAATGTCGAGAAAAATTTTACGTGAATACATTAGTGTATTTACTCTTCGTTTATTCAATTTTTTTTCCTTCTTCTAACATCTTTAATCATTAGTGCTTAGGCTGGTCCCGCTAGCTGCAAGGCTAAGATATTTCTAAGCTTGGTCTAATGCATAAGACATCTAGAAGCCACCGTTCTCCTTTTCCCACCGTCTAAGTCCATACAGTCTTATACGTTCAAAATCTTTCCTGCTGTGATACTTTGAAGTAGAAGAGTTGCTTAACAACTAAGATATTGTGGGAATTTATGGATTAAGTCTGAAACGAAATAAGGTTTATAATGAATTTTCAAATCTAAATTTAATAAAAAGTGTAAAAGAACCAATAAACGAAAAAAAAACTCGAAGATTAGAAGATTTCATTTGTTATATAATCCGCAGCATTCAGAGCTTTCTCATAGAAACTGCTTGTTGTTTCGAAAATAACTCACCGGAATTTTTAATTGTGGGTGATAGATAGCAATTCCATTATTATCCACGATGAACGCATACATTTGTTCATTTTCCGGCAATATTTCTGCAAAATGTTTAAATGGCACATCGATCCCAGCAACACCAAGCAACGAACTACCATTTTCCATCGCATTTAAAATGGCCATTGACATTGTTACTGTTGGTCCACCTCCTTGTGTGTCCATGTAAGATGGGGTCCCGAAATAAAAATGGTATTTATGCTCTATCCTCAATTTTTTTGTTGTCTGTAAGTTCACATTTTGTTCCAAGAAATACATATGCAATATATATATATATATTGCTTTTAACTAGAATTTAATCAAGAAATACCATGTGACAGGTCGTGTTTCAGGCGGAATTTTGGAATACGCTAAAGATAATATTTCTGATAATTTTGAAATGTAAGCTATAGATTGGCGCTTGACATCAGCTATCGAATCTACAGTAGCGCAAGTCGCATGTGTATTGCACGCCAGATACTCTAGGATGGGTATTTTTCCTGTACCGTAACCCATCGCGAATCCAAAAATTCGGACCTTAAATTTACTTAAATGAATGTATGAAAATTTTAAGGTTCATTTTAAGGTTCGTTGTGCTACAATATTTCATAAACTAGTTGAACGATAAACTATGCGATTTCAATGAGACCTGGTTTCATTTTAAAAAGACTTCCACATTAAGATTTTAAAGATTACGGGATTATCTTGAAGAGACGATCGACGAAATTCTAGTATCGATGAAGGCCAATCTTCAACACCATCTGTGAATACCATTATTATTTTATGGCCACCACTCCCGATATTCAATCGTTCTTTCCACATTTCACTTATTACGTCTAATTCTCCCTAATTTTCGCACAAATAAAATAAATTGTACATAAGATCGTTGTTTGAATAGTCTATTAAATGACCCAAATTCTGATTCGGGATCTGTTGAAATCAGATTGTTCGAATATATAAATATCCCTCTCTGTGGTAGTATGGATTATCCTCAACCTCCCGCTCTTCTCCAGAGACCTCTGGGCTTGAAAGTTGTGCGCAGTGCCTTAGCTGTCCCTAGCAGTGCGATTTTATGGAATCTACTTAAGTCACTTTTTTAATTTAGAAATCATGGTTCCAATTATCAGTTGCATCACCTTGGCCTTCATTTTCCACATTTTCTCTAATTCATCTTTTAGTCTCTCTAACTTCTCAAATTCTTTCTAATATTCATATCACTTTGTCTATCACCAATGCTTATTCTTGCCTACCAGGATATCAGAACACTTCTACAATATAACATGGATTCTCTTTTAGTTCGTAGAATTAAACAAGATTTAATTTACACATATAAGATTCTGTATGGTTATGTTAAATTAGATTGCTCGAAATATTATAACTTTAGACTAAATTTGAATCCAACAAGAACTAATGGCTTAAAATTACTAAAACCTATATGCAAAACTAAACTAAGGACTCATGACTTCTTTATTCGTACTATTAACTACTGGAATAAATTATCGAACGATGTAGCTTGTGCTTCATCCTTAGCTGTCTTTAAAAAAAAAGAGAAGAATTTACACCAGGCAAGAACTGCAGGAAGTGAAAAATCTCGATTTTATCTTCAGGTTATATATGTTACTTCGAATTGTACTATATTATATTGATCTGTAATTTCCTCTTTAAATTGTTAATTTTTATCATATTGTTTTATAATTAATTTTGTTTGTGCTATTTTTTTTGTGTTTTCTTTTTCTGTTATTTTAACTGCTATTATTAATACAAGCACATGGCGTTGTCGCCCTGCTTGGCTGGTTATCAATAAATAAATATCAGGTTGACCACTTGCTTATCTAGATGGCGAAGTTCCACAATACTTTTCCCCATTATTTTCCATGATTTTCTGGAGATTTCCATCTGGTCATAGAATTTCATCCATATAGTAATCAGATATTCCTGTAGATTCTACTTTGTTATGCCTTTCGGTGTACACTGCCTGCATCTTACATCCTGCCACTGTATGATATAATATATATATCTTTGCTTCAATGGAGCTTAGTACACCCTCTTCCGCTGTTATGATCAACGCCTTGTTGCCTTTTAGTCTAGTTTTTCCAACAACTGATTATATAACTCATATGATCTTGTAGCTTGGTGCCTGATAGTACTTGATAGTACTTGATAGCGGGGAAGAAGGTTATTTTTGCTCAATAGTTCTCTCTCCTTCTTCTAACAGCTTCCACTATTACTGGTTAAGCTGGCTCTACTGGCTATAAAGGTAAAATGTTTCCAATCTGCGCATTGAAAGTAATAGAAACCATCTTTTTCTAGTGGTCAATAGCTGGTATTGTTTCCTTAGAATTCTTTCATGATCACTGCCATCAGTCAGTATAGTTGTTCTCTTTGTTGGTCAGTCTGGATAAGAATCTGCCGCAAGCTCATCAATGTTGCTGGTGTTGGTTTTCTTTAGCCAGTATATATGAACAATTTTTTTACGCTGACCTGTTGCGTTTTCAGTTAGGCTGTACCGACCGTTAGAGTCAGATCCTTTCATTCATTGGAGAGTCATTTGAGGGTGGGCATACAGGAAGGCCCTTACCCTTACCACCAGCCGAAAATAGTCATATATCCTTTATATTTGGAAGGAAAAAAATTAAACCTTATTAAAGAAAGAGAAACTAAGGTTGAGTGCTGCATTAAAATTCGCCTGATCCTTCTCTTCGATAAGATTCAGTTGCTCTCGCAGAATCTAAAAATGCTGTTCGAAGAAACGATCCACCTTATTTTACGCTTAAATTCAAAATAATTATGGCTAAGCGGATATTTATCTTTTTATGGGAAAACATTGCTAAAATTTTGAATTCTTTTCTCAACTTTGTCAATATTGATTTTAAGACTTCTATTCAGAATAAATGGTTTATTAAGAGCTTTGCAATTAAGAAGTTTTCGCAAAAAAAGAGCTTAAAAATAGAAACTTAAGTAATTTATTTCACGCAAACAGTTAATAGTTATGATTATATGTGGAAGTATGTCAGTTGTCCATTAAAGAAAAACCCGCTCATTAACCGATTATAACGGTGGTTCTTAAAGGATCCAGGATGAGTAAAACGACTAAAACCAAGAGATTGTTGCCTAGAGCGTCAGTTCGGCATTACCGTTCGGTCCGTATCGTCGGTAGGAGTAAATCTGCCATTAAATAATCCCATGCTGCTGGGGATTCATCGATTCTACCTCCAAAGATTGCTTGACCAAATGTATAGTATAGATTGGCTAGTACGTATATAGTTTTTAAGAATACTCCAGACTCTACTGATAATAGACAATATAAGTATCTTAATTTCGTTCAGAGTTTAGAAAAAATTAGGCATAAAAATGGCAACGTATTCTGTTAGAAGAATTCCTTTGCGAATTCATTAATTAACTCTCGAAAGGTAGTATTATTAATATTATATTTCTTTCCTCAAAGCATTGACCATTTCTGGCTTGGCTGGATCCATTGGTTGCTGATGGAATGTCACAAAAGATGGTAAGATGGGCTCCCAATAATACTCGGATTTAACTTTTACTGATAGATTTACTAGCGTTAAGGTAAGGAAATCGAATTTATCAAGGCTTGAATATAGTCGAAGCAACAAACTGGTCATCCATACTCCCTCTGATTTTGTTTTCAGATTTTCGTCTTAATATTAATATAAAGGAATCAAAATATTATTGCTCTAAAGTAGTTAAAGATTCTTCATAAACTGATTTAAAATTTGTTTTCTCATGGATAAATGTGGTGAAAACGAGGGAACATCGTGAAAGATTGAAAACTTACAAAGGCAAAATAAAGTAACCGAAAGCAAGCAACTGAATCTAAATTCAATTTTGGAAATAAAATTTTTTATCGAATTTTCGTCAATCAAATGTGACATTTCCGTCAATTGCATCAATTATAACATATTTTCATTTTGCCTTCAAATGCATTTAACTTATCTTTCAAGCAATTTCATCGATCAACGATAAAAATTCATTCTCATCAAATTGTTATCAATCGCAAACTTTTTTATTTCTTGTTGTAGCTGGAATAAAACCATCGAAACACGCTCTCAAAACTGATTCTTGTCGGCTATTGAACCATATTGCATTGATGTAATCATTCGGATTTAGAGTAGCCAGTATGTGCAAAACGGTCATTCGAATAAGATGCACAGTTTGACCTTTGACACTTCCACTCCTATAATCCATGTTCTCGCAATAAAAAAATTTCCGTTAGATAATATAATTATTAGTGTGATAATAGTTCGAAAAGGAAATTAGTAAAAACAAAATAAATTAGAAAAATTACAAATCAATAGGTTGAAAAAAATTGAAAAGTAAACATAAATATAAAGCCCTTTAGTATAAAAAAATTGACATATCAATAAGAAACAAAATATCCTTAGGCGCTGATTGTGCAGCGATAAACCATTGTCGAAATCTTGGGTCAAAGAGATCGATTGTTATGGGTTCGGGTTCAGTTATCCATTTTCGGACTAAAAATTTTTGTGTGAGAAGACGGATAGCGAATGAGCTCGTGAGATCTTTTATTTTAGTATTTCGGCTTATTTTATTTCGAATCTTTTTGGTTACTTGGAAATATTCTTGTTAATCCACTATTAGATCCAATAAATTGTGATTCAATAGTTGGGTCCCTTTTGAAATTCTCTCGAAATGTTTCTTCAATTCGTTCTGATGATGTCCAATCGAAATCGCGTCGTACAGCATTTTCTAGACATAACAAAGACTAATAGTAGTTATTAAGTTGTGAATAGATGAAAGTTTCCGGATTCCTATATTCTCAAAGTTCTTCTTTTGATAAACCTTTTTATAAAAACTTTTTTAATGAAATTTCATTAATAAAAAACCTTATTTTTCATGGATTTATACTTGTGAACTCTTTTGAAATATAAAAATCTTTTAATAATTTAAGAAAAATATAGTTGATTAAGATTTACCACACCGATACGATTCGACGGCAATATGAATTCCAGATTTTGGCGTTACTGATATCTTCTTCTTTTCATCAAAGAATTTAACATCTGCATTGTTCATTCCTTCAATCGTCTTATAACAGCTTTCATCATTCTTAAATTATTATGATTTCACTTAATATTGTTATTGCTGCGATGAGAAAAATATTAAAAAATTATTGGAAAAGCTTTTCAGGCTTACAATAATTTTTTTTGCAATAGGTCTTTTAATCTGAATGCCATAGAATCTAACTTTAGCACGATTATCCGCGATAAACAGTCAAGATTGCGGAATTTTAGAAAGCTATGGAAGATTCAAAAAGATCATAGAGTCTTAGTCTTGCCAATTTTTATACCAAACTGATATGGGGCATATTGTTGATATAAGTACACATATTCAGATTAATCACGGACCAGAAAATAGTTGGAGTTAACCGAAAAATTTTTTGAAAAACCGGATGACCCTCGAAGAGTTTACTTATTAATGATTAACATTTACTTAGTGCTTTAGCAGGAATAAGACCAGAAGTACCAATAAAGTAGGTCGAAAAAAAGGAATAAGAATAATAAATATTATGTTTTTGTTTGCTCGCCTGCCACGCGTTACTTATATTAGAATAATCTTGATCCGACTGCTTTCACAGGACAGTAGAATACTGATCACCGCATCACAGCACGTATTAATAAAAATCTTTATTCCGTTACCTCAAACTTGGGTAAATAAACCAATTAATATATAGTTATACGAAAAACAATATTCACACAAATTAAATCCGGAGACTAAAAGGATAACTATCGCAAAATAAATAAAGAATGATCAAACAATGTAAAGCATGTAAAATAATAAAGTAAATTGTATATTGAAATATTGAGACCCAATCACTCGGGTTCCTTGATGGCACCAAATAGTTTTATTGAAAAGGTTATCCTTTGTATACTTAAGTATTGACCTCTATTCTTTATTGACCTACGTAAAGATAAGGAATTAACGAATAAATTAAAGGTTTTGTTTGGCGAGTCGGGGCCATCATTTTGAAATAATAAATTTAAAATAATAGAAAGATCGCATTTCGCGACAGTGTTCGATGGTGAGCTAAATTAAAAATTTTTCTTCGTTTTTTTACATTTTTTATAAGCGAAAATGATGATTAGATAGTTTTTATGATTTTCATGAATTTTCTTGCAAGGATTAAGACTTTTTGAAATTTCTTAATAGCTGAAAAGTTCGAAAAAAAAACTTGCTTGATTGGTACTGAAAAAATTCTCAGAAATTCACTAAATCGGGAATTAAAAAATATTCTTTGAGAATCTTAAAATCTTCCTCATAAAAGTGATTCGTAATTTTACAGGCTCTATAGTCATGTATTATAATAATTCACTTAATTATCGAATTGCTCATGGAAAAAGCCTAAATTCATAATTCCGAAATTTCTTTTTTCCAATTTTATAAAGAAGAAATTTTTTTAGCCGCAAAAAATGGTAAATCTTACCTAAATATTTTTCCTAAATTCCGCATTTTTTCCGCATTATTAGAGTGATTTTCAATATTGCCTCCTTCTCAAAATCTTTTTTTTAACAAAAACTATCTTGTCTTTTTTTTAAAGTGAAATATTTTGAGAATTTTTAAATGAATATATTGAAGATCTGTGCCAAAAGATTTTGGGAACGGAGACTCATCATTTAGACCCACGATGAAATAAACAAAATATTCTTCTTATAACTGCATCTTAAATTAACCAAGAAATTTTAATCCATCTATTATTATGTTATGTGCAAAATTCAAGCCATTGTTTAGCCAACTAGACGAGGGATTGCGCGATATTTTTGCAATTAAGTTCTAATTCAAAACGGGCGCTATCAACGGTTGTTCTCACGAGAAAAAAATTTGTAAAGCTAAGATTACATATCAAACAATTGCTTGATATCTCATGTCCTTTCTTAAACTGTTTAAATCCATTTGCATATCTCTGCCTCTGCACGCAAATTGCACGGTAAAAGTGAATAAATCAGCTTGTTTTCGGTGTATATTTTCGAAAAAAAACCAAAAATAAAAATTCGAAGAAAATCTTATTCACAATGAACTTTTAATTTGAAAGGAAAAGCTAAAAGTTCTCTAGGACAGATGGAAAAATTATTGATCACCAAAACAAAACAACTATAATTATGGACGCGACTGGGGAATTGCTATGGAAGGTTGTTTGTTAGCGATTAATGAATGATTTATTTTGATTTGATAGAGGAGCAACTGACTGATAAAATAACAAGAAAAATAACAAATTTAGACTCGAAAAAATAAATCTTTTTTAAATCTAATCTAAATTAATTAAAAGCTAAACTTGAAATAAATTTAAATTTAAATTTAATCAAAATTTTAAAATAAATTTGCATTTTAGAATTTAGAAAATAAATTTACTGCATCATATATAACACTGTAGTCGAAAGATGCCGCTGCTAGTTCAGCGCTTTTTACAATTCTCTGAAATTAGACTTGAATTTCGAAACAAATTTCCGCAAAACTAGCTAAAATAAATTTCTTAAACCAGAATTTGCTATAGAAATTTCCACTTTGTTTTCTCCTAGCAGTTTCAATCAATCCTAACCAGAATCCTACCCCACAATTTTTTCAATAGAAGTATCGGTTATTAAAAAGTTATCATGCGATATCGTTTTCTTGCTCCACCAGCCTCCACTTTTAAAAGTGCAAAATGCATGCTATTTACATCTTCTAAAATGGATTTCCACATAATTTAATTAATGGTGCTCCTAAAGGAGATTTATCTCTAAAGGTTTCTTATTTTAATGATAGAATATTGGTTCCAGTATCAAGTCTATCATAAACAATTCATAATAGCTTTATCTTATCGATAAAGTATTTCCGAGCTGATAATTTTAGAGAAATTTTTTAAATAAAACATACCCATAAGGCAGAAATTCTTTTTGTGATCAACTCTTGCAATCGTTCATAAGAAAATTTAATTATTTCAACGACAGAAATCGATTTCGTTTCAAGGTTTCCATCAATTTTCATGAGAATTTCCTTTAAAAAAATTTGCGAAAAGTGTGAAAAATAACCTCAATTCCAGATTTCACTAACTTATATAGCAATCACAAATCTTTTAAACGATGTTTCTAAAAATTCTTGAAGATTCGTATAAATTGAGGTTGTAAAAGGATGCGTTCTAAATAGCAGTCGAGGTTCCACGTTTGGAAATCCTTTGGAAATTATTAAGAAATTCGATTGTTAGTTACTGAGCGAATGAATCAAATGTAATTCGTAGATGATAATAACCTTACCGAGTGGAGCTTTTGGTGAAAAAGTGAAAGAGGGGAAACCTTACCATTTCTGCTTAAGTTATTATTATGATAAATCACTATCGTCACTATCGTCAGAGAACAGTCATTTGGGCATAGAAATACAGGTGGGTTTCAGCATATAAGTTTTTTAATGCTTACTTTTGTCTTCAGCACGAACTGTGCCATGATATTTGAAATGATAGCCTGAGCAATACTCGGCTACACTATGCTACGATATTATATATAGCTAGCTGATTCATAAAAAAATTCCGACAATTTTTTAATTTTTTTTCGAATTCAGTATAATAAAAAAGATTGTAAAGTCGTTTATGCCATTGTGTGCCATCGGTCAAAATAAATGATTAGGTTGCAAAAAAAATCATGATTTTCATTTCATCTGTTCCTTTGATAAAAATTTAGAATGAGCTTTGAGACTTTACCATTTTTGCGTATCCATCATTCACATTCTACTTCGATAGGACGAAATATTACTGAAAGAACCAAAATTGCTGAGACCCGTCTATACTCTATCCTCAAGTGATTTTCTGAGCTTTGCGAACTTCCATACGGCAAAAAAGTTTCCAGTCCTTAGCCCGACCAAAAGAGATTGAAGCGCTATTAAAAGAAGGACAAAATAAAACTTATCGATAAAAATTTCAGTCTTTTAGTCAAAAGAAAATTAGTAAAATTAGCGATGACATAATTATTTATTCATTAGAACTTGCGTCTCAATAAAACGCTCTTTCAGCATCTAGTATTTTCCTATCAATATTTCTTCTTCATAATATTCCTATCACTTAATACATTAGTACATCTATCACCAGTGCTGATTTTTGGTTCATGTCCGCTATGGTTGATTGGCAAGCGCTTGTTTACCTGTCTGGATGAAGAAATCCCACAAGATCATATGTTTGTATGTTTGTATGTTATCATATGGCAAAGTTTATGAGAGGGAGACAGGTTTCTTAAAATTTTGAACAAATTGATAAAAAAAAAACCAATTTTCTAATCGAAATATAATTAATTATATAAATTAAAAATTGCAAATGATTAAAGTGGCCGAAATCCCAGCCATATTTCATTATTGTACCTTATTATTTTCTGGATCACATTAGAACATAAATTTCTTCCCTTAGGCAATACCTCTCTGAAAAATGTGGAAATGTTGCACTGCTTGTATTAGTTTTTTTGTCCAAATGATTTTATTAATTGTTTTGTACATTTATTGTAAACAATTGTTTATTTATTATTCTGTGTACTTTTTAAAATTCCCAGAAAAAATTTTCGATTAAATTTTTTATTAAATTTCAGTAAATCTAAGATTATTGTTGAGTCATTTTTCCTTGTTATGAATTTATTTCTAAGCTGATTTTCTTTCAAAAAATTAAATCATAATTGCGTTCTTCTCTAATTTTTGTTTTGTTTTATTTTAAATATATATATATATATATGAAGTGGAAAAAATTGTTTAAAAAAAGTACCTCACGGAGAAGATCGATTCGCGATTGTTCTTTGAAAATTTTCTGTAGATGAATCGAAAATTGATGAATGGAAGAAGAAAGGTCTCCATCCGAAGGATTTAATAAAAAAAGGAAAATAAATGAAATCCAAAAGCGCATCGAAGATTATGGATGGTTCCGAGGATGTAACGAGGAACACTTTAGAATTCTTATGCATAGGCGTGGTTATTGAGATTGATGGATTGAGCTATATAAAGTTTACCAACCAGTAAATCCTGCGGAATTCGTTATTTGATCGTTAGCAGTAAGGTGACTCTTAAGAAGTAAGAATGAATTAGCCGTTCTTATTTATTCCGATTCAAAATTCCTGTTTATGCAAATAATTTTCGAAATAATTTGGTTAAATCGTTTCGTTATGTTAGGACGAAGAAATTGAAAAAGAAATGAGAAAATTTTGCATACTTCGGCATCGAAAATCAAAATTTAACTCTCTTCATGGAAATTAATTTTTTCCACAGAAAAAAAATTTATAGCACTATTTTTAAAAAAAGGAGTGTTAAGTGTTAATTAGTTAAAAAAAATTGAATTATCCCGATAATTAGTTTAGAAAATTTTTTGGCACAGAATGAGAAATTTGAACGATTGATTATTAACTTAAGAGAATTTTAAATTGAACTAAAAAAAATCCAGATAAAGAAAATTTGGGTAAGCGAGACGCCAGCTGATATTGTGCACCTTAGCCCTGATCCATAGCTCTGCAGCTTAAGGCACTCATTCTCTAACTAAGGCACCCCACCTATTAAATGTCTTATAAACTAAATTCTGCTTGCATCAAATGACCATTTTTTCTATTGATAATACAATTATATTCAAAAAACAAATACAAATCCAATTCGAACATCGTTTAGAGAAGGAAAAAGTTAATAATTTTAGCTTAAAAATGCACTCAGCCAATTGCAATATTTAATTTTATAACAAATCGAATAGAAAAGAGGCGAAGAAATTCCTTTTTTTTCTATGCAGTCACCATTTTTGGCTTGGCTGGTTCCGATGGCATAAGGCCATTTCGACAGCGGATAGATCACAGGCAGCTTTCTAACGCGACCCGGCATATTCTGATGAGCGTCCTTTGCTAAATATACAATATACTTTCATATACAATACCTAAAAGTCTCTTTATCTCAACTAACATTAGATTTTACAACGAAGTCGTTATAAAAGTATGATAAATTAACTATAGGTATATAGTAGTTATAGACGAATTTCCTTTTTAGCAGGTGACGCATCGTAATTTACTTGCTCTGGTTTGCAGCACCAGCATGATATCAAGAAATTTGAAATTCCATTTTGTTAACATCATTTATAGAGAACAATTAGAATATTTTAATTTCACTTAGAAAATTTAACCAAAGCGGCCACAAATCTTACCCAAAATAATAATTACCAGCTTTGACTGATGAAGTCAGGGCAGATTTTGAACATATAGGTGCATCAACAATATATGCACTTAAACGATGGAAAAAGGAATGGTTTCTATTACTGTGAACGATGGCAGAAAACCGCGCCGCTTGGAAACGTCTTATCCTTATAGCCAGCAGAGTCAGCTGCCAGCCTGACCAGTGATGGTGAGGGCTGTTAGCAGAAAAAGAAGAATCCAGCTTTGAATATTGCCCTAGTATTAGTTTCCTTAAAGGAGAAGAAAAACTGCTTTTTTCTAATGGCCCTGTGGTAAATCATATATAAACTGTCTACAGGAAGCTATGTGAATCCATTATTATTTCCATGAGATAAATTTCTCAACACACAATAAACATTCATTTATCCACAAAATCCATATGAACTGACTAGATGTTATTTTAATAATTTTATTTTAATATTATTTATTTATTTATTATTATTTATAATATTATTTTAATAATAATAATATTATTATTAATATTATTATTAATATTATTTTTTTACTAGTCGAGGAAATTGATTAAAAATTTGAAGCAAATAAATAATTTAATTTTTTCAGTATGCACTAAGTAAATGAAGAAATAAGCGAAATTTTTACTCTTATTTCTAGCCGATTTCTGGCAATATACGATAAGGAGATAAAGGATAAGGAGATAATAATATTAGCTGTATTTATGAAAAAGTGAAGAATCATGGCGAGGGAGAGGCCATATTTGGTGAACTCTTAATGGAGCATTAACTGGGTAGCATAAGCACATCTATGTAATTATTAATTATAAAATTAACTCAGTTTTTTTTAAAAATTAATTTGACTTCGTCCTTTCCCCACTGCATGCACAATGCTCACAGTGCTCACCATTTTTGGTTTAATTGCTTCTGCCGAAGAATCCCTTGGGAGTATTGCGAATATAGGTGGGTGTCATGCAAATCCTTCTGCGACGGACAGCGACCAAATTATGATGCTTGAAAAAAAATGGCAAATTACATCTCTTAATTCTAATAATTATTAATCATATCAAATTATTGAATTGTAAGAGAAAAAATTAAAATAAAATAAGAAATGATTAGTAATAATAAAAATTGATTAAACTATTATCGAAATAGAGGAATTTATTGCGCCTTATCGATAATGCAAAATCACAATTTAATCAATTTTTTTTTCATTTTCTTGCTTTTTTTCTGTCGTAAATGCGATTCTCTTTAAAGAAATATTCTTTCGTAAATTAGATTACTGGACTAAAATTCATGCAAATTCCATATGACAAATCGCATGATTATTATTGATTATCATGACAATTGATAACGGATTACAATCAAGTTAAAAGGCATATTATGACGCACTATTTAATAATATTTAAAGCAATCAAGCAGCACTTGTTTCTCGAAGAAAGAAACCGCTGATTAAAAAATTTGGGTGGCTCCGTGCCCCGATCTATTTTTCTCTTCAAGTGACTTCCTATCGCATTAATAACCAGCAGATGGAGTAGATTCAGCAGTGCTAACCAGTGCTAATTAATTAAATGCTATTTGACTGATATAAAATAAATTTGCAAATGAATTTGCAAAACTTTTGAGCCACTGAAGCGCTTTAAATCGACATTCTGCTCGTATAAAAGCTCATATAAAAACACATTAGACCAGAGAGCCAGCTCAACGTTAGTTTTTTACTCGCCAAGGTGATAAATTTCAATTCAAAAGCCTTCAAAAGCCTTTTTTTGCTTCCATTTAGAATAATTTTTCCGACCAAGATTTTTTAATGGAGGAGAAACAGTGATATCGTATACCTTAGTTATAAATTGATGTCGTTTCTCTTTTCCAAGTTTTACACTAAAACCTCGGCTCACCTTTTTACAATAGATACTTCTGGCAATCTGATGAGTTGAAACCTTTAGATTTCAAGCTGATAAGATCTTTAAATCAAAGTAACAACGATAGATAGAAAAGTAACGTGGTTCATAAAAACATCGGTGAAATTTCTATTGTTGACATTGTAAAAATATGCTGCTTTTAAACGTTGCCTTATAGTTCCTCCAAGTTCATGAAATCCAGGTTAACATCTTCCAAAATAAAAGATTCCATTCTGTCAAAGAATCTCAGTGTATCATTTGAAGTAGAGAAGTTGAAAAAAAAGCAAAAAATTAAAATAAATAAACATCCACATACAAAATTCAATAAAACTATTTCCGTATAAACTATAAACATTCGATTCGATTCTATTCGATGACATGCATTTTATCGGCATTAATTTTAAAAGATAATCATACTACAAAAAAAACGTTTTGAATAAATTTATTATTTATTAATTTAATTTATAGAATTCAAAAACATCGCAAAATTCGCTTATAAAGCTAACAAAAAGTATAATGAAGAAAATAATACGAAATCACTGGCTGATTTATAAATTGACTTCTCAAATTCTCTTTCTATATCCATTCCAGTGTCGTTTATTGATGAATCCTTTTTTAACGTCTGCTTCATTAAACTATCATTTGAACAATTCTGCGAGACTATTTTAAAAGATCGATGGTTCTGAAACGACTGATGGCCGATTCTTTGAATCTAATAGTCGCAAATTCAAATTATCGAAGTTCAGAGAATCGCAAATGTGGTTCCACATCTAAAAAAAAAAATAAAACGATATAATTCCAGAGAATGAATTCACTAAATCCTTTTTTTTGTGCTTCATTCCTAGATGACTCGATTAAAATCTGCAAACCGAGAACAAACTTACAATGACTGGATCTTCCTCATATCCCGATTCAAATCCATCATTATCATTACCATTATCGCCATTAATGCAAGCAAAATGAGTCCATTGAGCCAAGACATATCTAGCCTTGAGAGATAATTGGTCCTCGCAAATAATATTACTGCTCAAACCTCCTTCAGGCGCTTTTTTGAGATATTGTTCAACTGCAGAAGATCTCGACAAATTCATCAAAGAATCTCGAATCTGTAAAATTTTCAAAAAAAAATATAGGAAATGAAAAAAGATAAATTTAATTGTATTACTTTATATAATATAATATGATCAATCCCATCATATACTATTGCTATACTGCTCATCATAAATTCTTAAATAGAATTATTATAACTATTTCTTCAGTCAATATTGCTTTTACCGAAAATAATTCCCTGTTAAATCGATGAAAATAGAAAAATCAAAAATTTTGTTCAACAAATCTGATAATAAATGAACCTCTTTTACGGTTCTGAGACGGTTTCGTGCGATGCTCTCAATATTCCAAAGAGTATAAAAAGATCGCAATATATTTTGGTGGATAGAATCATCCAACTTTCGAGAGAGCGTATTCGCTGGAAAATTAATGACTGTATCAGCATACTTTTTCAATTTATCAGAAGACTCGACATTGCTTTTGAAGTTTTTCTCGCGTTGCCTCATTTCATTCCACCTTTTCATTGCATCAATATAAGTCTCCCACTTATTGTGCTCAAATGATTCTTGATTCCTTATCGACTATGTCATATATTCAATAAAAATTTGGTGCTAAGATTCATTTTCCAATATTTTCTTGCTTATAAACTTTAAAAAAAGAAATTTTTACAAATATTATATAAAATATTTATTACAAAAGTAAATATAATAATGAAAAAACTAACAAATGAAAATCGAAATTTTTCTTAAAAAATGGAAATTTAAGAAATTTTTTTGTTCAATTAAGAAAAAGTTACCGCTCTAATACAATTCCTTATTAGAAATGGAGGATTTTGTCTTCGAAAATTTTTCTTTTTAACATGCTTTCCAGAATTTCTTTTTTTCAACAAAATTTTCGGTGCTATTTCTACCAACAAATAGCTAAATTTATTTATTTATTCAATTATAATAATAATAATGTGCTAAAAATTTTCGAAAACAGGCAAAATATTAAGAAAGAGGTTGAAAATTATTTCTTTAAAAAAAATTTTTAAATTTTATATTTCATATAAAATTCTTTAACCAACCGACAAATACGATTGATATTATCAGCTTTTTGTCTATAACAACTATCATAAGTTATAACCGCTCGTTTTTTCCAAGGTTTCGGCTTTTTCATGTGATAAAGAGCCATAAAAAACGGTTTGTTTGCCATTTTCCGTGGTCGCTCTCACAGTTCGAAAATTAAATGATGCTAAAAATTATACTGTATTAGAACAAACTGAAAAATAGGCATGAATTAAGAATAAAAAATTATTTATGGAATGGCAAAAAAGTGCCATATTCAAATTCGGATATATCCCTATTTGTCCAAATTTGTTAATTTCCTCAACACTATTTCAAAGCTTATATTGCTTTTCAACTTCCCATCATATTCTACCATAATTTCCATTTCCCCTTAACAATGCCAAGCCCGCCCATATATATCCTTTGTAATTTCTCATATTGCGACCATCAAAAGTGCATCATGAGATGTAATCTAGTAAATGAATTTAAGGAGTTGGTTGTTGTTATGGTGCTGTTACTGGGTCTGACGAGGATATAGGAGTAGAAAGATGTTAGTCTACCAGCCAACACTCTTTTAGCATGAAATGTTACTAATAGGCACAGACAAAGTAATGAGTCGGAAAGAAATAATGGTCTCAAGCTTAAGGTAAGGCAAAGGTAAGAGAATTTAGCAAAGTTTGAGATTTTTAACGAAATATTGCTGTACTACGACGGACAGTCCTTTCAGAACTCACATAGCACCATATTTACAATCCCCACTGCTATCTCAAACTGCTTGTCACCAAGTCAACGCGAATAATGGTAAACACTAAACAAGATAATTAAAATATATCGAAAAAAAATAAAAAATGCGAGTGGAAATCATAGCTAAAATATATTCCTTCAACAAGTAAATTGGAGGTATTTTTTACTGCGAACTCCTTTCGTTTCGCTACGCAGCATTAAAGAGGGATCTTTTGGATTGCATAAAATTTATTGTATAGTTAAATATAAAATATAAATCATATGCATTAAGTATAGTTATATAGTAAAAAAAAATATGGAAGAAATATGGAAGAAACTTCACTTGTTTTTTATGTTTTTATTACATTATTAAAAGAAAAGAGGACAATTCAAAATCAGAAACTGAATTTTCCTTTTGGTTCCATCAATGATTTAATTTGATTTAATCATAAAATTTTAGCATTTCAAGGCTTTTTTCGAAAAGATAAACGACATCACTCCATAACCAACATCCGCACTTTTTAGGAACACGTGGGATTCCTTCATAGGGCCACATACGGCCCTACAGATCCTACAGATTGGACGCCACTACTTCACTAACGAACACACTCAGACGAAGTGAAGAAAGAGCGAAAACGAAAGAAAGCATTTACGACCATCTCTACCGATACTGTCTTGCAGTGGTTCAGTTAAAGCACCCGCCAATCGCTTCATTGCATTCTATTTGCCAATTCTACTGGATAAAATTTAGAAAATTCAGAAATAAAAGCCTTAATAAAATATGAAAAAAAATCACAAATTAACGCCCAAAATATTCAAAGTGAACATTCAAATAAACATGCACTTTGGTTGAGCTATAGCCATTTTTTCTGCCAGCTGATTCCCGTGAACCCTTTCAGCTCAATTTTGACCCAAAACCATCTCAGATCAGGGAACTGCTAATTTCGAAATCTTAGAAAAAGTACCTATGAAGAAAATTTAAATTTAATGTTTACCGCGCTAAGAGTTTGCCTGCTTAAGCACAGGTATAAACCGCAGAGGCGTGGCTATCGGAATGTTAGTTCAGTTGATAAAAGCATCTGCGTCGCTAGTGGTACCTCTTGGTTCTGATTTAATTTTTTAAGTAGTTCTTAACGAATCTCGATTGTGCTATGCAAAATTCCCTGATCTGAGCATAAAACGATTGAATTTTCCCATTTTTCCCCCATTTTTTTCATTTTTTAATTTTTATATTTGCGCGTCTTCAAATTATTATTTATTTCAGTCCATTCTTTTTGCGCATCTTTTGAATTTTCAGAAATGCTAATTTATATGTCGAAACATTTTTTTATTTAACGAGGATTGAATTCAAAATTCAACAAAAATATGAAAACAACGGAGGATAATTTAAATGAAGATGATGAAGAATTTAGTAAAGAAGTAAATGTCTCTTTCTTTCCGTTGATGAGATGAGAATACATTGTAAGATTATCGTTTTAAAGGGAATTCCGCCTCGGCTCGTTGTCTTTGTAGAAGGTTGGCCCATCTACCTGTAGTTTTTTCCGAAAGCCCTTATCATTAGTGGTTAAACCTGCTCCGCTGGCTTGTCGCACTGGACAGATATGCCAGGAAGTCCTTTGACGATGGAAATAGAGGTGAGTCGCCAGCACCACTCGGATTTTTGGACATTCTTGAGAGTGGAACCTCAGCATTGGCGCTCGTAATTAAACAACAAACCATTGAGTCATTCTACTAGCTGAACTTAATGTACTTTTATCGCCATGTGATTCCTTGACAGAAAATTCTAACCGAACTTACTTTGCTACCCTAATAAGTAATAAGTAAGCATCAGCCCATTTATTATCATTTATTATTAGTATCTGATCCATTGAAATCGCAGTTAGCGACCTGAAAAGCAATTTTGCAATTTTTTCTGTAAAGGCCTTTTTTTTATTAAAAATAATTAAAATAATTTAATTATTTAAAGGCTTAAGGTTTAATAAAAGTCAATTCCCTTTTTTTAATTTATTGTTATCTGTTATCAAAATACTTGAATTTAGGTTTCATTTCAGGTTTCATCCATTTTTATGAATGTTTTTTAGGGAAATTTTCTTAAAATGCACCTGAAAAATAATTTAAAGAACCGAATAACAAGAAAAAATCTGAAATTTTTGGAAAATTATCACTTGTCATCAGAAAATTGGCAAGTATAAACGAAATATCAGTTAAATTTCTTCAGAATTAGGGATAATTTATAGTGTTTCCAGAATTTTACCGAGAATTTTTCTTTCAATCTGTACATTTTTCTGCAAGATCGCTTTCAGTCTTTGCTCATTGTATTTATAAAACTAAATGAAATTCTGATCAGCATGCGCTCTTCTGGATAGGGTGTTGTTCTCTGATGTTGTTCCTGCTGAAGCCACTTTTCTAGTTTAAGTGTCATAGCTCCATTTATTACTGCAGTTACATTGATCTTCATTTTTCAAATGGATTCGTATCTGCATATATGTGAATATATAGCATCAATGATTATTAAAAGCTTCATTGATAAATATTATGTTTTTCATATATGTGTGCAATGAAACAATTTGTTTAGTACTAGTTTTTTATGCGTGGTTTTGATAGTTTGGATCTTATTTGTGGATCTTGTGTAAAAATTTTTCAGTTAATTAAGTTAATTTTTTGCGTTAAAAGTTGTTTTTTATTTGTTGGCAAATTTAGTAGTTGAAATTAGGTGTAAGGTCCTCTCTTGCGATGGTGTACTTTGTATTAAACTTACACAATCAAACAAAAAAAACCATTATAGCCATTGTAGTTGCAAAAGCATCTCGTTTATCTCGTTTCATTAAGCAATCACTCTCAAAGTCAAAAAAACGAAGGAAGTACCAGAAAAATACAAAAAGAAACGAGGCAAAACCCAAGCAAAATTTTCAAAATTATACCATACATTCTTAAAAAACAAAAAACTCAACAAAAATAAAAAAGTCTTATCAAAAATAAAAACTAAAAAACCAAAAGGAGAAGAAGGGAAAAATGAGAAGGAAGGTTTCTTAACTGGGCAGGAATGGCTGAGTGGTTTGTTGCTTAATTAGGAGCGCCGATACCGTTCTACTCCCTGCCCTAAATCTGTTCAAAAATCCGGGTGGTGCTGTTGACTCACCTATACTTCTGTGGCCAAAGGCCGTTCTGACGGATGAGGGAATCTTTAAAAAATTTTTTTATATATGATGCTGCTAATAATCTATAAGAAAGAAAATTAATGTATTGTTATGATACACACATATACAACCACTCGTCCGCGATTGATTCTGTCGGTGATCATATAATTATTTCAAAGGCTAAGTCAAGTAAAGTTCTTAGTGTTTTAAATGGTGAAAGTACGAACGGTTCAATATAGTTGTTATATATTTGATTTTATATATTTGTTGATTTTATCTAAATGGTGAACTATGGTGTTTCTGGAGTGAATATATGCACCAAGGCTCTTTTTATTGATAAGCGCGTCTTTTAGACTAATACCAGTCGAGTTTTATACGGTTCATTAGTTGGAATAGCTTTGCTGATAGTGGTCTAGTATCGGCGACATATCTATCAGGTATTTGTCTTATCAACTTTAGATGGTAGTTTATGTGCCTACCATGGTTGTAATGGGTAATGGAAAATAAGGATTCGAATTCGAATAAGGAGAGAAGGGGGAAGGAAAGAGGGAACTACTATTCCCAAGAAAGCAGCAGGCACGCGAATTATCCACTTTTAGCAAGAGAAGGTGGTGACAAAAAAGAAACCGTTCTCATTGAAGTCAGCTATCGGAATGGGTACAATTTAAACCTATTAACAAGGATCTATGAGAGAGCGAGCCTGGTGCCAGCAGTGGCAGTGACTCCAGTTCTCAAAATATATGTCGTTATTGCTGCGGCTCATAGGAATTCAATCTGATGACATGTTCCATTCATTGGATGTGAACTATGATTGTAGGCTCATCTAAGTTTTTCTTGTTTTCCTTGGTCAGTCGCGTAAGTTGGCTAGTGAGTTTATCTTAAAAAAATTAGAGTGCTTAATGCAGTGTTTAGAGTATTTAGAAGCCGAATAACGGAATAAATAAATATATAGAGGATCCGAGATTGAGGATGAGCATAAGAGGATAAGAAAAAAATTTTTTTTTATATATAAGGTGATAATAATCGAATTTATTTAGGTGTTATCAGTCATTGAAAAAATTCCCCTACCTGAATTATGTCGAGCTGATATGGATGTTGTGGAGCAAATAAATGTTTTATTTCCCACAGAACAGTCGTTATCCCAATTGGATTCAGTCATGAAAGCGATTGATAATCAAATTTTATCATTAGATCAAGAACTTACAGAACTAGTTGAAAGTCATGGTAATGCAGGCTCTGAAGGTGAAGCAGCTTTGGCACAAGTATAGTATTTACTTGTATTTGAGCCATTTTAATGTGAATTTTAGGCAAATTCAATAAATTTTTCAGGCTCATATGGCAATGGCTGAGCTTGAAGAAAGGGTACGCTCAATACGCTTAAAGACGCAATCATCAGAAAGCGTTGTGCAAGAGATGACACGAGATATCAAGCAACTTGATGTAGCAAAAAGAAATCTTACAGCCTCCATAAAAGCATTACATCATTTGCATATTTTACTTACGGGAATTAACTCACTCCGTAAATTTTTAATATTTAATATTATTTAAATTGTTTGATAATCCTGCTTTGTTATTTCATTTATTTTATTTTTTTTATTTTTAAATATTCATTTGTTCCAAAAGATTTTTAATTTTTTAATTCTTAATCATATTTTTTTAGTTCAAGTATTTCGATATAATAAATTTGAGTTACTTTATTTTGCAAATATATTTATTTTTTAATTCTCGGTACTTATATTATTTGTGCTTTTTTTCCTGATATTGCAATATTTAACGAAGCTTTCAGACACATGGGCAGAACAGCATCGTTACGGCGATATAGCTTCTCAGTTACCGGCTGTTCTTAATGTTTTACAACTTTTTGATTCTTACATGGAAGTAGAACAAATCAAGAATGTTGCCGAACAACTCGAACGTTTGAAGCAACGCTTAGCTATTCAAATTGTCGCAGATTTGAAGCACTCATTCCAAGTGAATTTTTTTATTGAAGGATTGATAATAAGTTTTTTATGAATTTGGAAAATAATTTTGATAACTTAGACATTACCTTTACTTTCGTCTGTTAGAAATTAATTAATGAAACTAAATTAATTGTTAGAAATTGTTAGTTAATTCAACTGCAGGAAAAGGCAAAATTCGAAAGTTAAAAAATTCTTAAAAAATAATGACAGAAGGATCTAAGTCCAGCGCCTTGCATTTTCACTCTTTCGTTATTTACTTCAAAAACAACCAGGCAGAGCGCCATATGCTTGCATTAAAAACAACAAATGAGGGCCAAATGAAAGAAAATTAATGATATCGATAGAAATAAGACAAAAACTAATAATTTAAAGAGAAATAATACAAATAAAAACGAATTACATAAATAAATAATGCAATATCGAAATTTGCGAATCCAACTGAACATAATACTGGTGTCAGACTTCGTGCATATTGTAAAGCTATTAAATATCTTGGGTGATGGTATTTAATCATTTTTTTAAAAATAGTTGATGCACAAATCACGTCATGCGGCATAAACTTATTCCAGTAATTAATGGTGTAAATGAAAAAGTAATGAGTTCTCTTAATTTATTTTACATACAGTTTTAATAATTCTAGCCAATTAGATCGGATTTAAATGTAAAATTATATTATTTTTGAGCAGTTTAATTTAACGGCCATCAGTGTCTATACTTTAATTTTGTCGGTAGACCGTAATAAAGATAAATTCTATGCGGAATTTCAACTTCATCAACCAGATTGATTATATTTTAGTCAATCGCCGTTGGAAGAGTTCCGTATTAGATAGTCGTTCCTATTGGAAATGGGCAATCTTTATGGATCTGACCATGTTATGGTTCGAGCCAAGATCCGCATAAAATTGACAAACTCAGAAAAGAGAGTCCCCCAAGATTTTTCAACTGTCTCAAACTAAAAAATTCGAGGATAATGAGAGCATTTCAAACAGAATTTTTGAAGCATCTCAGTGGTACAATATCAGTAACTTTTCTGGAACGGCAGGTGAATGCCAGCTCAAACTAAAGGAATGTTTTCGAAAGTTAGCAACTTCCACGCTAAGGCATACTAGTAGGGAGGCATCGGAAACAAATGTTCAGCTCTCTGATATGGTTGCCAAAGTACGCATGTCAGGTGATCCTGGCTACCGGATGTTTCGAAGAATTGCAACGAACAGTAGCACGGTGGGACAGAAATTGTTATTGGAGCAACATGGCCTTGAGAATAGAGATTGCGGCTCGATTAGGTGATAATAGGAAGCTATTCCGCCTTCTTCATAAAGCAACTATAACTCGAGAACGATCAGTGAAATGGTAAGGGACAGCAGTGACGTGCCGATCAAAAGTATTAAGTACCGCCTCATAAGATGGAAAGAATTCTTTGAGGCCAAACTTAACCATAAAGTGCCATCTGTTGCCACTGATATAGATGATATGTTCGCCCAACCATATCGTGGGCCTCCAACAGAAGAAAAAATAATCTTCGTTATCCACACGCTGCCAATAAGACTACGGGAAAAGATGGTCAACGGGCTAAACTCTTCAAATGTTATCCATCGTCTTTCACAACGCACCTTCAACAAATATACTCTCTAGTATAGAAAAAAGACCGGATGATATTACCAGATGATTGGAACAAAGCAATTCTGCTCCCAATTCTCAAGAAAGATGATAGGGCATATTGCAACAATTGTCGAGGAATCAGCCTATTAGAGGTCTCAGTGAAAATTTTTGTTTCTGTTTTATTCAACAGGCTTATGGAAGTACGAGATAGCAGAATGCGCCCTAATCAGGCTGGATTCAGATCGGGTTGCGGACCAAATATCATGTTAAGAAGGGTATTGGAACATCTCTTCAGATATTTGCAACTCACTGTCACATGTTTCATCGATTGCCTTTGATTCAGTTGATAGAGTGACATTTTGGAGGATGATGTAACGAGACGGTGTTCCAGAGAAGGCCGTTCGACTTATAAAGGCATTTTATGAGTGTACGTCGGCCTAGATTTGTTTATATGGGGAACTGACAGAGTCTTTCGAAATATGAACTGGTGTCCGCCAAGGCTGTGTCCTTTCCTTTACAATATTCAACAATGTGATTGATAATGGACTCACGGTTAATGTAAATAAAGTCTTTTGATCCTGTGTGGAAGAAGGTAAAATGCCTCTTTTTCATTGCTGGTTGAGGAAGTGGCCGATTTTAAGTACCTTGAATCCATTCTAATACCAAATTATCAGGAAAAAGGTGATACAATTCGGATCACGGCTAGAAATGCGCTAAACCTTCATCGTCGTGAAATCACCATAAGAACGAAAATCCTCTTCTATATAGCCTTGATTCGTTCGATCACTATATCATATTGCTATATGGCTGTAAGATATGGCCAATGAGAGTGGAGGATATTAAGAAGTTATCTTCCCACTCTTATCTAAGACATTTTACAGATTCCTCGAGCGAAAAAAAGGAATGGTTTCTATTACTGTCGATGATGGCATTAGACCACGCCGCTTTTTAATATCTTACTCTTGTAGCTAGTGGAGCCAGTATTGGTGAAAGTTGTTAGAAGAAAAGTATTCTTGAGGATTTTTTCACTGTGGTTCTGAAGGTCAAAATCAAGATTTTTATCCACAAAAATGTCAAGAGATTGGACATGTTTGATTTTTTAAATAATTCTTATTCAATCATGTACATATATTCTTATTCAATCATATACAATACTATAATCATACAGATGCACTTGCATACATGAATTAAATCTTCGACGAATCTTCTACCTAAGCGGGTATATACCTCCACTTGCATATAAATGCGTGAAATAGATGTGCATGCACCAAATACGCAGATATATATTCATCTGCGCATCTTTTTTAGTTACACATATGAGTAAAACATATCTGCAGAAATAAACACATGATTTATATTGTATGCTTGTACCCTAAAATATATATAATATATATGTATATGCATATAAAATTTTAATTTTGAATTTTGCATAGAGGTGCTATAGGGGCGCAACATTCATATCCAGGCACATAAAATTTGACTAAAGTTTAACTTATTTAATTGAAATTTAATTGGAACTTTAATATTTAATTTAAATACAAAAGAAATTTTGAAAGGCTGGAGCACTCAATACATCGGTTACTGATATGTGTAAAGTTGCTTCTTGTTTGGGTGAAAATGTTCAGATTGAATTTTCTCGTTGGTTTATCGATCATCAACTATCTGAATATGCAGTGTTATATGGAGAAAGTGAAAATATCGCATGGATTGATAAAATTGATTTGAGGTTTAGATTAGATTATTACTACGGTAATTTCAGGTTTAAGACGATAAAAATCCCCGTTAAAGCCACTGCTTTTCTGCTTTCTAGAAGCAGAAAAATTGTTCGAAGAATTTTAAATTTTGTACCTGGGTTTTTTATATTTATTATATTGAAAGTATAAAATTGAATATAATAATTCTTTTCTTCAGATATCGATGGTTCGTACAGAAATTGACAGAATTCGAGAAATCTGGTGTATCTAAAGTATTTCCAGTCGATTGGGATATGGGTAGAAGATTAACGATGGGTTACTGTAAAATGACTAGGCTTGTTTTTTTATATAAAGATCTTTAGAAATTTGATCAAACTAACTTGGAATATCTAGTTAGCCTGATAAATTGAATAAATTGACAAGATAATCCTCTTTAGTTTCGACCATAATGCTATATTATATAGGGGAATGTTAGAAAGAATAATGTCCAAACGTCGTGCTGAACTCGATTTTAAGACATTGGCTCATGCTATAAACCATACGATAATGTTTGAAAATCTTTTATGCAAGCGTTTTCCTGCTAAGGAAGGATTTGTCTTTGAGAAGGTAAGGTTTTTACGGATTAGAGAATCTTACTGGTGATAATTGCAATGGAATATTTTAAAATTTTTCATTCTGGTAAAAATGCTTTTAAAGGTAATATGGGTAATATTTGATAATTATATGGATGTTTTTGTGTCGGCCCAGCAAAAGAATCTTGACAACTTCTTGGATGAATGTGTTACTCGAATTAGGAGTGGTGCTGAAAGGCCTATTCGAGAAACTGCTCCACATGCTTACCCTTTGCCTTCTTCTGCTGATATGTTTCTTTTGCTTAAAAAAATTATTGCTGAATCGACTAAATTAGCCTCGGATCCAGTTGCACTGTTGAGGTTTATTTTTAATTTTTGTTTTTTAAATTATCAAAATTAGTAGGAAAACGAAATATTGCGAATTCGCTTTAATTTAGAAATCTTGTGGAAGTATTGAGAAAATGTTTACGTGGTTACGCTCATGGCTGTCTCACTGCATTCTTACCATCTTTATCTTCCAATCAGTCGCCTTCAGCTTCTATATTACAAACACTTATGCGGTAAATTAATTTATAATTTAGGATTGCCTTCTTATCTTTATTTTTATTCATCTTTTATATTTATATTTATCATTTCTCATCTTTTTATATAGTTAATTTTGTTTCTTCTATAGTAGTTAATTTTGACTCATTGAAGCGACGAAATAACGGTTCGTTTAACAACAGATCAACAGTTTTTCGCATGCTGTATTTTGGCTACTTCTGATTGGTGCGCTGAAACCACATTGCAGTTGCAAGAAAAATTAAAACAAAAAGTTCAGGTGAAAATAACAAAAAAATCTAGTATTAATTTAATGACGTCAGTTTAAGGTGTACTGAATTATTTATTCGTTTATATTGTAGTGCGATAACTAATAATCACTCGATTTTTAGAATATTGATCTTAGTCAAGAGATGGAACTATTTTATAGTATTTCTAATAATGCTTTATCAGTGCTTGTCCAAGATATAGAATCTGTTTGCGATTCAGCACTCCAGGCAATGACAAAGATTAAGTATGTTTATTTTTTATTTTTAAAGTGTTCAAAAGTCCGTCTTTCGAAAAGGCAGAAGCTTCTCTTTAAGCTCTAAAAAAAGGCCATGATATTTCCTCAGAACCCTTCAAATTCTTCTAATAATCCTTTAACCTTATATAATGAATAAATAAGCGGTCAACTTTTTTCAACTGTTCTACTAAAATATAAAAAATATTATTATTGATAATCATTGGTTATTGATTATTGATTATGATTGAAATCTTCAGACGATTCAAATAATAACTTTTTTTTTCTTTTTGCTTTTCTTAAATTCGTTTTTTTTTTTAATTTTTAGTTTTCTACTTTATCTTCGATAAAAATAAACTTGTCATACCAAAAATCCGAGTGTCTTTTGAGGACTGCAACTCTATGCTCTAGTGATTTTATGTCAGATGCTCTAGACACGGCATCCATGTCCTCCAACGTACATGATACTCCCATCCCGGTGGTGCATACTGGATATACAATCCAGGCGTAAAATAGTATTAATAATTTCTTATATTTTAAAAGGAAAATTGACAAATCTGCTGATCGGTGTAATTGCTCGAAACCTATCAATTTTTTTGAATGCTTAAGGACATTGCAAGCCAAGCGACCACTGCTTATACTTTTTCTAAATATCGTGTGGATGTCGCCTATTTGTGGGAAGTTCGTCTTCCTCATTTCGGCTCTCGAGTAATTATTGAATCAAGCTCTGACAAAAAAATACCACAGTTATGAATAATTCAGAGATACTGACTATGTCATTGTGATGTTTCGGATAACTCATAGCGAAATGGCTTAGCGATTGTCATGTCTGAAAATACTCATTACGCTTTGGAAACTGGTAAGAACCGTATGGCCTGTGCCCGTTTCAAAGGTAAGTTCTGCAATATTTCGATCATCAGCGGATGCTCGGCGGAGATTGGAATGCTCACGTAGATCATAATGCAGCCGTGATGACCTCAACAATTGGCAAATATGGCATCGGAGACCGGTGTGCCAATGGGGAACGTCTTCTTCATTATGCCGAAGAGCATGAACTTTTCGTTACTAATTCTTGCTTCCGACATCATAAAAAACATCTAATCACGTGGAATCCTGGATCCAATACTTCAACCAGATTGATTATACCAGTTACCACTGGAAGAATTCCGTGCTAGATAGTCGTTTCTATTGCGACGCTGAAATAAGCAGTCTTCATGAATCTGATTTGTTATGGGCCGAGCCAAGATCCGCATAAAATTGACAACTCGCAAAAAACAACATTCCCCAAGATCCTTCAACTATCCCAAACTAAAAAATTCGGGGACAATGAGCGCATTTCAAACCGAATTTTTGAATTCCATCTCATCATTGAAAATCATTGAATTTTCATCTCAGTAATACAATATCAGTGACTTTTCTGGAACGGCAAATGAATACTAGTTGAAACTAAAGGAAAGTCGGCCACTTCCATGCTAGAGCATACTAGTAGGAAGTGCGGTAGTTGGGTATCGTAAGCAACTGTCCATCTGAAAAAGCTGCCAAAGCACGAATGTCAAGTAATCTTGATTACCGGATGCTTCGAAGATTTGTAATGACAGCAGTACAGCTGGACAGAAATCTCCATTGGAGTGACATGACCTCAAGAATGGAGGCGGCGGCTCGATTAGGCGACAATAGGAAGCTATTCCGCCTTCTTCATAAAGCGACTATAACTCGAGACCAAACTTAATCATGCACTATCTCTGGATATAGCTGATATATTTGTCGAACTATACGCTTGTGATTGCGTATTGCCAACAGAAGAAAAAATAATCTCCGTTACCCATAAGCTTAAGGCCAATAAAATTCGGAAAGCTGGTCCCCAGGCTGAATTCTTCAAATTTTGTCCATCGTCCTTCATAACTCACCTTCAGCAAATGTACGGGAGAAAGAAATATAACCAGATGACTGGAGCAAAGCAATGCTCTCGATTCTCGAAAAAAATGAAAAAAAACGCGACAAGATATTGCGATAATTACCAAGGAATCAGCTTATTAGACATCTCGGAAAAAAAAATTTTTGCTTCTCCTTTTATTCAATAGACTTATGGCAGTAGGACGCAGCGGGATGCGCCGTAAGCTGGATTCGAATCAGGACCAGGTATTTGCAATAATAAAGGTCTTGGATCATCAATTCAAACCTACCATTCACAACCCACCGGCACATCGATTTTGCGCTTGCCTTCGGTTCAATTGATAGAGTGGGCTTTGGAGAATGATGGCACTTAGTAGTGTTTTAAAGAAGATCATTCGACTCATAAAGGCATTTTATAAGCGTACATCAGCGCAGTTCTGTGTATATGGAGAACTGATAGAATCCTTCGGAATAAAAACTGGTGTTCGTTAAGATTGTGTTGTTTCCCCTACAATATTCAACTATAGACTGGATAATGGACAAGGACAACACTTCTCGGCACTCAAGAGGTTTATAAGGTTATAAGGTTTAAGAGGTTTATTAGTCCAGAATATCATATCATAGATCTTGATTATGCTGATGATGTAATCCTTTTTTGTTGGCATTTATAACGAAATGCAAGTAATACTAAATAATGTATCAGAAACTGCAGCAAGAATCAGACTCAGGATTAATGTAAATAAAAAGAAAGTCTTTTCGTCTCATCAAGAAGCTGATAAAATACCTATTTTTGTTATCTGATAATAGCTTGGATCCACTATAATGCAAAATGGTCGGGCAAAATACGAAATTAAAACTCTAATAACGGCAGCTAGAAATGCATTATTCAGGTTGATGAAACCTTTATAAATCACAAAATCACCATAAAAACGAAACTATATACTCGCGATTTACTGGATCTTGTTAAGTTACAGTATGGAAGGCTCGAAGGTTATATTGTAAGGATATAATGGATGTAATGGAAATGAGGATATCCATGGAAATTTTGGAGAGAAATGAGGCTGATTTAATGATTTTTTAAATTAGGATGTTTTCATGAAATTTTGACCCATTAGTTGATTTTTTTCGAAAGCACAAACATTAATTTGGGAATTTATTTAACAAAATAATCGTTTTTCAGTTGGAATAATGTTGAAAATGTTGGAGATGAATCGCCGTATGTTGTATCCATGCGTAACCATTTACGTACGAATGTGCCACTTATTCGAGATTTTTTTGCAGATCGTCGCAAATATTTTGCACATTTCTGCCTAAAATTAGCGACGCAGTTGGTTAATAAATTTCTGGGCGCTCTTTTTAGGTATATATGGCCAGATTAATCCATCTTATTAGCCAGTTTTATAAAAACTTTTATAGGTTGATTAAGATCCAATGTTTTTATAGATGTCGTCCGATGGGTATTACTGGTGCTGAGCAGTTGCTTCTGGATACTCATGCTTTGAAAACATTCTTACTTTCAATGCCATGTGTTGAATCATCAGTCAGCGTAAAACCTCCTACTGTTTATATCAACATCATTGTTAAGATAATGACTAAAGCAGAAATGATTTTGAAGGTTCTTCATTAATTAATTGGTCTCTGCGTATTTTAATTTCTTGTTTTCATTTCTTTCATTTTATTTAGTAATATTCAACGAAAAAATATTTTATTTATTTTTTGCATTCATGTTCCACAAGCACTTTTTATTTTTAAGTTTTAGATAGTTATGTCCGAAGCTGATAATCCAGAAGACTTTGTTAACGCTTTTTCTCGTCTTATGCCAGATTCTGATTCTTCAGAACTTCAGAAAATACTTGAAATGAAGGCATTACGCCGGCAGGAACAGGCTAATATTATTCAATTGTATAAAACACGGGTCGAGAGTCAAAATCCTTCAGATGGAAATGGTTTGATTCATATTAGTTTAAATTATTAAAATTTTTACGACATCAAAATATATAAAGATTTTCTGAGATCGATCATTTGATTATTGAAGGAAAAATCCCCTTTATAGCGTCGCAGTCATTAGCACTTTCTACGCTCGAAAGCATTGGAGATTCAAGTATCCGAAGACTGGAACAACTAGTCAAGAAGAAATTCTAAAATTTGAAATTCATAGTTTTATATTTATTGTGAAATTTAAGTTTCAATGAGGGTAGCATTTTTAATACTTCTATTATAATTTTTATTCTTGGTGGTTTTATTTCTTTTTCTATTTATATTGGTGTATATATATTGGTGTATTTTTAAGTTTTTTTCATTTTTTACTTACTCTTTGCAAATAGAAGAGTGTGGTATTTTTAATAAATAAAAAATTTTTAATAAATAAAAAATTTTATCACAATTAAATTACAAATGTAATGAATACTTTAGTGGAATTAAGACCTTTCAACGCTTTTGGAAGTATATAGGTTTGCTTTCGACTGAACATAAGTTATTGCATTCATTGTATCTATTAGGTTGAATATGCTTTATATCCTTCTCTAGATAGCCGCGTTCACTAATGGCTAGATTATCAGTCCTAATTATGTGCTTTGCTTTGAAAGCTTAAAGTTCAATTTAATTATAATTATAATTTAAATATTGGAAATATTTACGATGCTTTCTTCATGGTTTTAATATTAAAATATTAAGTAATTCTGAAAAATTTTCGAAAAAAAAGCTTAAGGCTCAAAGAAATTAAAAAATACTCTTCTGAAGTAAATCGTTGAGATAAATCAAAAAACTTATTAAAATAGAACTATGGTTTTGTCATCTTCGTCATACATTTTTTTTTAAAATGACTGAGTATTTTTATAGTTTTATTAGAAATATCACCTATCGTCAATGCTAAAATTATTTGGAGGTTACCCATTATCACTCAAGGAGGATAGGCCAGGCCTGGATAAGGCCCACACGAACCCTTAAGTCTGAATGGTTAATTCGACTCATAACGTGATGACGGCTTTCATATGGTAAATTAAAAAGAATGCGAGGCTATTCCGAAACAAAAAATATCTCACTAATATTTAACAAAATTCAAAATCCTCGTGGTACATCTTAATCACTGGATCGGTGGCATAGGTATTCATTTCTGCACAAAGTTATCGTTAGCAAATTTTATGGGGATTACAGCTTATAATTTGAAAAATTGGCCTATTCGAGCATAGTTAATACAATAAATTTACTACAAATTTTTGTGAAAAATTTGTATAGTCACTCTAATCTATTCGTGGAAAGACTTTATAAACTATAAAAATAAAATATCGCTTAGAATCGCTTATAAGGCTATTAGGTCACGAATGAAAAGGAAATCCATCTGGAAATGCTCGGTTCTTTTATCAAAAGTCCTGAGATGGTGAAGCTTTGCCAATTTTTCGGTGATAAAGGACCCCAATATCCCAACAACGATAATTTTTAATTTACTTCTCCTCTGATTTGATTTGATTTGATGATAAAAAAGCTTTTTTTATAATAGCACAATTTCTAAATTCGATCCGCTGGCTTATCCACCAGGCAAATTTTGCCATAAAGCCACAAGGACCAGCAGAATGTTGGAAACAATTGAACATTACTGATTTGGTGGAATGCAACCTATAAAGGCCAATCGCTATTTGTTCATAGTTTATTTTGAACTTCAAGCTTCCTATATTTTTTGTTGAATTGAACATAATTTTTATTTCAAAATTCTATCTTCGCAAGAGTAGAAGGTATTGTATGCGGTTTACTGGTGGATCAGCCATATTCTCTTACAACTAATGCAAAGCTAGAAGGCGCAATTTTTTGATAATGTATTATTTTATATATATATATATAATGTATTTTGTTCATTTATTATTTTATATTATTTATTTATAGCGATCCGAAAAAACCTTTTCATTAAAATACAAAAATTATGAAATATAAATTTGTTGGAAATTTCGGGGCAATTATGGCAAATTCAAAATTTTTTTCGATCGACTTGGACGAAATCCCGAATTTTAGAGGTTTCAGCGGAAGATTACGAAAAATATCACTGAATTATTATTGAAGTCAAAATTACAAAAATTTATTCAACTATTAATTCGAAATGTTCATTGTTCATTGTAAAATGTGTTGAATTGTTGAACTGACTTCATTGCTTTCCACTGAGAATATTTTGATTAATTGCGCTGTAACAAATAAAAATAATTAAGAATATAAAATATAAAAGCAGAAATTCAGCGATACTGTATTAAACTGCATTTTGCCCAAAAACCAACTATATCTTTTTTGTCTAACTATATGAGTGTCTAAAAAATCGAATCGCACACAACAGAAATCAAGAAAGCTGCGAGTTTGCACAATACGTTGCTTTTTCATAAGCCTAGCAGCACAGTTTGGACTCCAACACTTGGATTCCAGTAATGAAACTTTCATTAAAATGATCCCTGCCTGTTGTTATTTAATTACGCTCTATTCCTTATCACTGTGAATCTCAGGAGAAAGAATTAAATCGTATTTTGGCATGTTATGTTAAAATATCAGAAACTAAATATATTTTTATAATATTATAAATATTTTGTTAAATATTAGTGAGATATTTTTTGTTTCGGAATAGCCTCGCATTCTTTTTAATTTACCATATGAAAGCCGTCATCACGTTATGAGTCGAATTAACCATTCAGACTTAAGGGTTCGTGTGGGCCTTATCCAGGCCTGGCCTATCCTCCTTAACTTGAGTGATAATGGGTAACCTCCAAATAATTTTAGCATTGACGATAGGTGATATTTCTAATAAAACTATAAAAATACTCAGTCATTTTAAAAAAAAAAATGTATGACGAAGATGACAAAACCATAGTTCTATTTTAATAAGTTTTTTGATTTATCTCAACGATTTACTTCAGAAGAGTATTTTTTAATTTCTTTGAGCCTTAAGCTTTTTTTTCAAAAATTTTTCAGAATTATTTAATATTTTAATATTAAAACCATGAAGAAAGCATCGTAAATATTTAAATTATAATTATAATTAAATTGAACTTTAAGCTTTCAAAGCAAAGCACATAATTAGGACTGATAATCTAGTGATTAGTGAACGCGGCTATCTAAAGAAGGATATAAAGCATATTTCAGATCACGCATCTTGGAAACTTCTTGCCAGCTAGCTAACTTAATTAATAACTTAATTAGTAATGGTGAGAGTAAGAAAATTTTCTGCCACATCAATAAACAAATCCACTGGAGAACAGGGAAAAAATAAGCATGATTTACCCACATCATGTATCTTCTAATTCTCCAAAATTATCTTAAATTTTGATAAGGAAATAACTCCAACAATTCGTGAAATCTAGGTAACTGTTCAAACATATCATTTTGACAAATAAATATTATTATACTTCTTCTTCTTCTAACTGATTAACTAACAACTCATTACAACATTTCTGGTTCGGTTGGTTCCATTAGCTAACAAGCACGCCGTTTGAATCCAATGCAGTATCTGAAAATAGGCTAGTAAAGGTATTTATGATAATATTAATATTATAATATTATAGACATTATTATATATTACAAAAATATTCAATATTTAATACTGAGGTATTGGTGGAACTTTCATATGAAGCATGAGGTTTTCAAATTAAAAAAATTATGATTGATTTGAAAAACTTGACGCGAAAAAATTTTTTTTACTGATTATTGGTAGCAAATAAATATTAAAGAATTGAAACGTTCAATATAATTATCATTTGAGCCTTAACCACCCAATTAATCCGACTGCTCTTATCACTTCATGAATTATAAGTTGCTGAATTTGATCAGCAAACAATCAATAATGTGCCCACAAACTATAAGAAGAAATTGTGTCCACTTTTTCTTTGAAATATTTCGAATCAGGCATTAGGCAAGCAAGACCACGCATCTGCACCAAAGTTTTTCATTGATCACTTTTTGCAGATATTGCTAAACAAACCATTTTATTTTAATGGGATTTGCTAATGAACGTGGTGCATTAAACGGTTTAAACGGTTTTATTGCACAGTCGTCCAACCCTAATATTGACAAATTTTATTCTTTTTCTATTCAGTATTCTTTTTAATTTTTGATTTTAGATTTTTTCATTTTTTGGGTAATATTTCTTAAATATATTTACTATTCATTAACAACTGAAAAATTTTATTCAAAGAAAAGAGAAAAACGATCAAAGGAGTGTGTGCCGAATTGTGCCGAATTCTAGCAGTTCTAGCAGCTAGGTTATTGTTTCGAAGCATAGTGGTTAGGCCTTCATCTCTGGCAGGAATGCCCTCGAAAAATCTGGGTGGTGCCCAAGGTCGATATAGTAAGTAGGATTCTCGCAGGACTCCCTATCAACGTTATTTGCCTATTTTCTTGCTTCAAATCAAGCAAGGAATTTAGTTAATAAATGGTGAATTTTTATGAAATTTCTTTCTTTATGAATTTTAAATGATCTTTGCAAATTTACAGTCGACAGTGTGGATGTTAAAATGATTTGTTTTTGAAAAGGGTCCATTATAAACACATATCAATATCACATATTTATTGTGCAGATTTTAAAGAATCTTCTAATCGCAGAAAATTGCTGTAAGCTATTAATTAAAAAGTTTGAAATTAACTAAATCAAAAACAGCAGCCAGGCGTATACTCAGAAATAAATTGATTTATTTCTAATAAATCTATGGAAAATTGAATTCATTCGTTGAAAATCGCAACATAATACTTGAAATGGCTCGTAAAACTATCGTTCCAACTAAAATAAAAATCGGAAACATTCTATCCCATCGTCATTGGTCCTGGAATGATAGAGCTTTGTCAATTTTTCAACTACGGCAATTTTTAATTTGTTTATAAACCGTAGTTCTTCAAATGGAATCATTATTCCTGGCTTGGCTTGCCTCACTGAATATCGTGAAAAGTTGCATAGGCAGAGATGGGTTTCGCGATGACCCTAACTATCGTTCATATAAACTACAATTACTCAAAGACGACGAAAATTCTGGAACCCCACTACGAAATATCATGATCTATGAGAATACAACCTTGTCTTAAATTATTTTTCTATATTTTTTCTTCCATATTGTTTATTCTTATTGAATTTAATCTTTTTCAAATTTCTTTTTTAGAATGATAGGAAGTGTTGTGCGCGATATTTTGATAGGTAAGCCATATCAAAAGCCATAATATAGGTCTTACAACTAATGCAAAGCTAAAAAATATTAAAGCAATTCTTCTTCTTCCAAGTGCACACGTAGTTCTTGATGTTTTCATCGGCAGGTAGACTTTAATCTTTTCCAGAGAGCCCATAAAAAGAGGACGAAGCTCGTGTATAACAGGTTTTAACTTTGATGCTGTCAAAAAAGATTTAAGACATTGCAATTTTTTAAAACTATGCCAATGATTGGCTGTCAAGTAAATAAAATTTTTGTAGCCAATGTACTTAGGATGAGTAATAATAGATGAATTCTCATCAAGCAGATCAAGCGAAGACGTTTAGAATTTATCCAGACAAGAAAAAAACCTTTACATATATTTGCTTTTTAACGCTAATTATAGTGTTAATCTTTTTAATAATTTGAAATTTAAGCAAATTAATCATTAAAAATCGAGAACGTCCCCGAGTGAAACTTTGCAAAAATTTTTCATCGTACAGCTAGTGGAGAGAGCCTAAGCCAGAAATGATGGGTTACCTATGATTTATTCACTAATGGATATTCCAGACGTTTCTCAAGAAAGATTAAGGATTCGCTTGTAAATGCCTTTCGAAGTGCTAAAGGAAAATGAATGGATACCATAGCCTATAGTAATTGGTCGGTCTCTCCATAGTTTCTTTACCCATTTCATCTCAAAAAAATCTTTTTGGTAGTGAATATTTATTTGCAAAAGAATTGCAATGACTCCAATGAAGTTTAAAATTTTAGTTTTTTGAGTATTCAACGATAAAGTTTTTTTACAGGTGAACAATTTTTATAGTAATAAAAAATTCTAAAAATATTTTAATGATTCTTCAAGATTCTATTCGAGATTTATATATATTAATATAATCCGTTATTTTCAATTTTTCGCATGAATTGTCCTCCTCGAGCTTTGCTCGAAAATTCAACTTTGAAGCGATTCGAAAATCTTAAATTAAATTAAAAGTAAGCTGAAAAATTTAGTGCAAAGAAAAAATAATTTAATTTATTGATAATTAGAATAGACGAATATCATAATTTTTTCCGAATTTTCGAAATTTCTTCATTAATAAATTTAGAAAAACGCTAAAAATATTAAATATATGTATTTGTATTTATATAGAAATTTTGCAAGTTACGACTTTGGAAAGAACTAGAAGAAATGCGATAGATATGTTAAGGTTTTACCGATTATGTGAATTGGACGGATTACTTGCTTTTCCTGAAGGTTGTGAAAATCGGTGCAATGAACTACGAAAAATCCTCTTTGGTCTAATTTTGGCCGTTCAATCCGTTCATTGGTCATCTTTTTACTGTTTTATTTACAAATACGTGATATCGATGTATTTTTTAAAAGGACTATTCTTGTAATTTTTTCTTGTAATCTTTTCTTGTAATTTCATGTTCATCTTTCAAGCATTAAACCAACCAGCTTTTTATTTGAAATGCACCAAAATTTTTCGATGCATTTTCTTTCAGATATTACTTAACCAATCATGCGAAAAGCACGTTATCATTTATTCTGAACAGACAGTCCGGTTGAAGCGATTGAAATGTGAAAATCGTTTGCCATGTCTGAAGGACTTTTTCTAAATCTACCATCTATCTGCAACATGGGTAATCTTAATTTCATAACCGTATGTTTATTTGGAAGAATTTCAATTTATTTGCACAAGTGCTTTGGAACTCGCCAAACATACTTGGAAAGTGACGAAGTCTATTTACAATGGTTGTATATATACCAGCTTGCTCTTTTTCCCATCACCAACAGAGCACTTAAAGCTTTCATTTTTGCGGAAAGAATTGATTTGTCCAATATGACTCGGTTTCGATTCCAGTTATACAGACTTTAGGAAAAGATTTACAGTTCTTTTTTTTCCAATACATAAAATAAATTTTCTGACGGGTGCAGATCTGTTATTAAAAAAAGTGCAGTGACGACGACCCATCTTATTTTTGCCAGTATTGCCAAGTAATTTCAAGGTGCTAAAAAATTTTTAACCTTACTAGTAGTCAGCAGAAATAGATTCTAGCGTAAACCTCCACTTTTTTGCAGGAACAACTGAAACTGCAAAACAAATGCAGGCAATTAATTTAATATAAATTTCTAATTTAGCATAATTATCAAGCGAATAAGAAAGAACTTCTCGCGGCACTGAAAAATATTCCAAGAAAAAAGAAATCTGTTAATAAAAAGATGACCATAACCGAAGCATGGCTATTTATTTCTTAAATTCTTTAAGATTAATTCAACAATATTTTCTGGCTTTCAGGAAGTTCCTAGTAAATCTGCGTGCTATTGTTTGGATAAAGTTTATTTCCAGTTTTCGCTTTCGTTATTCTCTACTTTTTATTTTTCTGTCTTTCATTGTCAATGTGTAATTTAACCGAGCTAAGAAAAGAGTAAAATTCCAAGTTATGAACTAATGTCAAGCGCGGTACGCAAAGACATTTCCAAAAAATTTTTTGGTTATTATTATTTGGAAAACAGTTAAATATTACAAATGGTTTCGTAAAAGTTTCATGAAAATATTTTCTTCTTTTGGCAGAATTCAAGTTAAAATTTCGGGCCTTTATAGTAGAATTATAGCAAAATCGCGCAGAATTTCAGATCTTGTTCAAAACTTTTAAAATTAATCATTTAGATTCAATTTAAGTGAACTGAGCTTCCAAAAATATTTTCGGGCCCTTTTAAATTCAAGCCTTGCTATCAATTCTCGAATTCGAACTAATTTGATCCATTATTTCATACAATAAAATGAAATAAAGCTGCACTGGAATTATTCAATTCATCTTATTCAACTGCTGGATCGTTGCCACCAGCACAACCAATGAAACCATCAACGGTGCGAGTCAATTACACGATCAATTCAATGAGATAGCGCGAAATTATAATTTACCACTTATTTGGATCTTTTCGCGCTTTTATTTTATCAATTATTTCAGTTCTTTTTTTTACACACATTTATTATCAAAAGAATTTCCAAAATTTCCAAAATATCTGTTCCAAAATAATTCTGGACTTTAGAAAAATATTAATCTTTGTGTACGACAGGCTTGTTTTTTCTGTTGTTAAAATTAAGGAAGATAACACCTTAGACGACGATTAGACTATAGTTGCTAAAAAAGAAACTTCTTCAGGCAACCGGTATTATTAATGGCCACGCTTGTTTTAATGGTTACAAGGCCTCTCAGTCTAGTTACAGCACAACTGAAACTTATAGAACAACTTTTCAAAATAAATTGATATATTGTTAGGGATTCGAATTCTCTGCCGACTGCATCTATCCAGGTTTGACTGGATGGGTCTATGACGGCATTTATCAGAGGATTTAAGATGTCTGTTCGCGTGTTATGTCTATTTTTAGCATGTTCCTCTGGTCTAAATGATACGAAAGGTGGTTTCTGACGACATATTTTGTACAATATTTTTAAAACATCTTCAATTTAAAAAATTTGGAAGTAAGAAATATAATAATTTTATCATTTTTATCATTTTAAATCATAATTATTTTGAAATAAAATCATTTTTTTCGAAATTTTTTAAATTGAATTGAATTTTAAATTTTTTAAATATTGGATAAAGAACAAATAAAGAATAAAGATTTAAATAATAAAGAATTTATTCGCTGAATGTCAAAGAGTATCACTTAAATATGGATCCAATTACTTCGAAAATCGATTCGGAATAATTCAGATTCATTATCAATTCTCCAGAAATGAAACTCATTCGTGAAATATTTGAGACCAACAATTTTCAGTTACGGTTAGTGATTAACTAAAAAAAATTAATTAATTGTAAACGAAAGATTAGCAAATTGATTAGCAAATAATAGAATATTTCAATTTTTTATAAATTATAAATGCAAATACAAATTCCGATTATCATTTGTTCTTATTTTGGCATCTGAGGCGATAATCTGAACAAAATCAACCTGCATTCCATCTCTAAGCTCGAATTTTTTACTTCAGACGTTCTTCTATCCCTGTACATTTCAGATGATATTCTTTTCAGAATAGTTGGCGGTACTGTACGCGATTTATTAATGGATGTAATGCCGACCGATATCGACCTTTCAATTGATGCTAAACCGCATGAAACAGAAGTATTTTCTTGCTATCTTAGTATGCATGCGAAATTTTTTAGTTATTAGTTTAGTTATTAGTCATATTATTAGTTTTAAATAAGTAGCGATAGACTAAAGAATTAGAATTTTCATTTGTTTTTGTTGCATAAATGTATATTTAGAAACTTCTTTCCGATGCAAATATAAAAGTGCATGATGGAAGGTTTGGATATATTTAAGAATTAACGGCAAAAGCTTTGAAATCACTACTTGTGGGTAAAACCATCCAATTTTACCAGTTTAGATTAAAATGGTAGTTTAGTAATAAATTTTTTCGTAATCGCAAGGCTTGGAAATGCTATGCTCTTTTGGAGCTGCTGTAGTCAGTCTAAACAATAATAGTGTAAGCCAAGAATAACAGAAGAACCGCATGATGAAGAAGGAGTATATAGGAGTATACCACATGCAGTGAAATGAATTTTTCGATGTTAATCACCAAATGCCATTGGATTATGACTGTACGATTTTTAAGGCATGGTCGTTCAAGCAATCAGGAATATACAAATGATTGGCGGATTGGTGCAAGCAGACGAGATTTTACGATCATTTCATTATATTTAGATGATTTTATAGTAGCAGATCAAAGATAAATACTTGTTTTTCCGTATATAATACGTTCACTTTTACATTTTATCCACAGATATGGATAGCACTGTTGTCGATTATTTTGGTGGCATTGAAGATATCAAGCTAAGGCGGCTGCAATTCGTCGCTAGCGCAAAGGAAAACATTCAGGTACAAATTTATTACTGGTGTTAACTTTAATCTTAATCTTCTTTTTCTTGAATTCTTGAATCGGACTAATCGTTGATGCCCGAAGAAAGGACGGAAAAAGATGGGAGAGCACTGTAGTTGTTAATCTACTTGTGTTTTTGTGTTTTATTACATTTTTATCGTTATTCATTAATTTTATTTTCGTCGTTTTAATGCTTTCAGATTTATTCTTCTTTAAACCTTTTAACAACTTTGCAAAAAAATTAAAATTTATTTATTTCTATAGTTGTTGCATACCAAATCCTTCAAAGAAGTTATCGCAATATATTTTAATGGAACGAGATGAAATAATGGAAACAGATCGTTCACTGGATGCCTTTAAAAATTTTGTTCTGCGCTCAGCGAATTCTGCTACAGGCAATTCATTTTCTTTCATCTCAGTATATCTTCCAGAATAAATAAAACGAATTTTGTTTTAATTTTGATAGATATTTTTTTCGGTTTTTTGTGAGGATTTACTACATAAGATAGATCCGAATTCTTCCCATCGATTTGCCAATAACAGAGAAAAATAATAGAGAGAAGGCCAAAGCATCATAGATTCGATTCCTGATCCTGACGGGATTAAATCTGGAACTAAAATATTATTATCGTTATCATTTTGTACTATGAACACTCTAAAAGTGAAATCCGAGTGCTATTGGTGACCCACCTTATAGGTCTTCTACTATCATATGATTCATTGGAGGAATACATAATCCCATTCCATATAGTCAATGCAATTATTTAAACCATAAATGGGTGATTGGTGTTAAAAATAAATGTTTTTATAAAAATAAAAACATTGGTGTTATAATTTTATGCCGAGTTGCAACTAGCATGAAATTCACGCACACTATTTTTAGATAAAATAAGCGAGATTCGCCACAATGCTATTGAACTTGCAAAGTACGTTATGGTAAATGACGACGTATTCAGCGAGTTAGTAAATTGGGAAGTTCCTTACTTTCCAGTCTCCTGAAAAGCACTAAAATAATACTTATGCAAGCACACAGAATCTCTTTGAAGAACACAAATGTTCTTCAAATTCGATTAACCTTATTCGATCTTTGGAAAAAGGTTTGTAATTCTCCTTTAAAATAGTCTCCGACAAGCATTTTGATCGGATTTTAGAACAAATGTTTTTCATGAATTTCCCCATTAAGAATGACTTTCAAATGAACAAGCAACAACTCCTCAACATATTGAAAAATATGCCAAGAAAAGAAGAAAGGAAGCGAAGAAAACCCAACTTTAGCAACCAATCCATGAATCTATCCCCCATCTTTATTAGCACTCATATTACTCAAAACCTTTCTTCATGTTCAAAACAATTTTATGTTTCAACCGCTATTGTAAACCGGATCAATCGACACTCCTTTGTATTTTTAAAATTATCATTCTTTACTACGAATGCTGCTTTCTTATTGCTTATTGGCCCTAATTCTTGAATCTTCTCCACATTGTTTTTTTTTAAAATTTTCAGATTTTGGCAAACTAATCTATCATTAGATTACTTTGGACGAATGAGAATGCGAATTTACTACGATTTCATTTTTTTTCAGATTCGATAAAGGAAAGTTTTAAAATTTTTTCGAAATATATTCATTATGATAAATTTCATTCAACATGATATTAGGCAAAATACAATTCCCAAGATAAAGCAAATATGGTCATCGTACTAAGTAAATATTTTAACAAGAATATATATATATATATAGATAATACACATGTTACAATAGTAAATATATGCCATATTAATGTGAAATGTGAAATTCCATCATATTTTAGTTATGCCTGCAATTCTTTTTTATTGGTACTTTTCCCTTTTTTCATATCATTACTCATTACTCATTAGAACGCTGGCTGCAAAGGTTCTCGAACCGGAGCCATATCTGAAAGCAACAGAAGCCATTTATTTCTCCACTTGGTTCGAAACTTATTTCAACCGTGTCTATCCACGTTTTCATTGGGCATACGAGTTTCATATATATATACATGAAGCTTAATAAACATATACTAATATAGCTAAATTATATACAGTATTAATCTGATTCAACGAAAGTACAGGCAAAATAATTTTTTGCTATGTTTAAGTCATGTTTAACAAAAAACAGTCTAAAATATCGACTAAAAACCGAACCTAAAGATTGATAAAATCAGCAGATAGAACGACGAAAAGCGATGAACAAATAATGAAAGAATTCCAACGAAATTAAAAATAATTCACATTGTTTGGAACATTATCCAGAGTTTTCATTATCGCTTTTTCGTTTTTTCACTTTACGATTAATTGACTGTTTTTCTTTGTATGAATTCCAACATTTCTCCACGATACCCATTTCAGTCAACAAATTTAATAGTTCATTTTTAGTCAACTTGCAATTATGCTAAAAATATTTGAACTCACGCATTATCTAACCGGTATATCAAATATAAAACAGTATATGCATTAAGCACTGTCATAAATTTATTATTTATAATTTTCTCTCTCTTAATTTCGCATATTTAACGCTTAAGCAAAACAGTTTTAGTAAATTCAGCTATAAAAAACCTTTCTCCAAATTATGAACAAAGTGGTTAAAACTTCAGACATAATCGGACCGCTGGAAATAAAGTTTAATAAATCTTTTCCATTAACTGGAAATTCCGGAATATGCCAGTTATCAAGCTCTTCAAGAACTGCATTATTCACCATACAATATTTCGCCAATTCCAAAACCTTCGTACGTCTATCCAGAGTCATCTTTTCTGGAAATTGACGATTCTCCCAACCATATCAAAAACAGAAATAGAGGAAAACAAAATTCACCTTACCATATCCAGGCCCGGAACAATCCAATAATAATTCGTGAAAAACTTTCGATGAGCGGTCAGTTTTCATCATTTCATCACGTTTTTCAATGATAAACTGACTTAACAATCTTTCAATATTTGACAATTTACATCTTAAAAAAATTCTTTATTTAAAAATAAAAAAATTAAAATTTATGAAAAAATATGGACCCAGTGATCAAAAGAAAATAGTGATTTATTTTCGTAATAAAACAATAACATTAAATTAGAATTAGAATGAGTTAACGATAAGAAAATAAACAATTTTCAGAGATTAACAACTATCTAAATAGTTTTAATTTTTAAAAATATAATACCTTAAATGAAAGACGTTAAGATCGTCCAGATTCGAAAATAGTGAACTGATCAATGTCATTGGTTGGACGAAGCGATCAATATTGGAATCATAAATTTTACGAAATTCAGCTAGACGCTTCTCACAGTGGGGAGGAAGACCAAGCAAAGAGGATAAATGGCACTTTTCCAACATAATCGTGACAACTTCACCACCCAAACGACCAACACAAATTTTTTTCAGCTCTGACCAAATTCGTTCTCCACTGACACTCTAAAGCATAAAACGTTCATAAGCCATACTTCGAAAAATCATATTTCAGTCATTTTAAAATGAAAAAAAAAATATCGGACTTTGACTGAATAAGCAAGTGAGACAATCCCCCTAAGAACAAGAATTTATCATTCTACTGGCAGCAATTTTCTGCAAATTTTGAAAATGCTTACATCCAGGCCATCTTTATTTTCGATAATTGCTTGAAGCGTTGATTCATCATGCGCATCACATGACAATGCAACACGACCGAAAAATCGAAAATAGCGAAGTATTCTCAGATAATCTTCCTTAAACGAGTGATTATCAAAAAAGTTTAAAATGAGAAAGGAGTTATTATATGATAATATCTTCTAAAATAATTTCATTACAAATTATCATTTAAAAAATTTGGAAGGAGTTTAAATAAAAATAAATCAAATAAATCTTTAAAGAAGTCCAAAATTAAAAATAATATTGTAGCAGCGATTCATCTTCTGAAGTTGCTTAAAATTTCCAGTAATCTACGGAAATATTTAGTTTCAACAAGTGACCACCAATAATTAACACCTGAATCCTTTGCCGTGCATTTCCAACAAATACGACTCGCCTCAAATTGATATCATTAATACCACCAAAATAGTCAATAACCGTACCATCCGTATCTATAAATAAGTGAAATATACAAGCAATCTGTTCTTATGAAATGTTAAATCCAAAATTTACCTAAAAATAGTGAATTTATTGTTAAATCTCGCCTATTAGCATCCAGCTGCCAGTCTGTTGTAAATTCTACTTCGGCTCGACGTCCATCACACAAAATATCGACTCTACAAACATTTTTTCCTATTATCTGATAAATACAGCTAATAAATAAAAAAATCAAAAAAACTTGTGTAAGACCAAAGTAAAAACTATTAAGGTCTAAATTTAACAAATTAAAAATTTGGAATTGGAAATTTAAAAAGCAAACGAAAGAACAATTACCTGAGAGTTGTAATCTCGAAATTTTCCTTATCGTTGATTCGACATGATACCGTCCCGTGTTCTTCTCCTTTTTTATTAAAAATTCGCACATTTTCTCTCATAAATATTTCCTGCAAACAGAAGAAATTTTTAGTAACATAAGATATGCAACTAAAACTAATGAGAAAATAGTAACTCGGTAACATCAGGAATGAAAATCATCACCAAAAATTGCAAAAGAAAAGGCAAACTTTCATCTGCTCTGGTGTGGCATCAGTCGCAAAATCGACATCCGCTGGAGTCATTCCCATCAAGAGATCACGGACAGCACCACCAGCAATCCTCAACAGCTTATAATTTAATAAAATTAATTAAATAATTCTTAATTAATGCTCAAGTATGAAACTATTTCCTTGAATAAAAGTGGTTTTGAATAGATAAACAAAAATTTAAGAATCTATTTAAATAATTAAGTCCATCCAAAATCGATTCTCCTGATAAATTATTTCAACGGATGGCTCTTTATGCGCTATTATGATAAAGCATATTACAGGTGAATTTCCAGTGATAAGCAAGAAACCTTTCCTATCGTATAACCGAAAAAAACCAATATATCAATTAAAAACCATTCTAAACTAAATTAAAAAGAGGTAATTTATGTATAAATTATAAAAATAATCTCATAAATTAATTTTGCCAGGGCCAAAATGGTAAAACGGTATGTTGTTTCGATTAAAGTAAAGAATCTTCGACACTGTTCACTGTTAAAAAGTGGAATGAAAGTTAAAATAAGCATGAAATTGGGAACACGCTGGGAACGCACTTGTATTTCTATTCTCAAATGGCTCGCTAGGCTCACCTTAACTAAAACAAAAATAATAATTACTATGAGCAATTTAATGAATAAAAAGCGGGAAACCTTAATTGAAAATTGTTGCTTTTAAAATAATTCTCTAGAATTCGTAATTCTGGAGTTAAAATTAACTGCAGTTGTGGCGAATTGATTTTCATTGTAATCGGTGTTCGATGTTTTGCTGTTCCCATTACTGCACGAGACAAACCCTTCGATATATCAAACGTTGAAAATTTATAAAACTCCACGAAAATCCCTTTCGATAGCAACGTTCCAATAATCATTCAATTATAAACTGAACATGGCTTTAATATGGCTATATTAGCTGCTAAAACTTTTAAAAAAAATTTAGAAAAGGAAAATTTTTAAGAAGTTAAGAATACTATAGGAGATTTACGATTAGATATCTGATATGCCTGGGCCATATACTTGTCGTTCGTCTCAATAATTACTCAATAATATAAATCTCCGCTATATTCACTATACTTCTTTTTCAAATCCTCGCTATTTCCAGCTTCTCTCAACATTATTCCAATTACTTCGACCTAACGAAAAAAGACCGCAAAATTCAGAAATCATCTAAACTTTCTTTCTCTTTTTCGATGCTTCCTCGCTAAATTTATAAACAAAAACCGCAATCTACAAATTTAAATATTTTAAAGTACCACAACACAAATTTGCACTATAAAATTATACATCAACTGTCACTAACAATAAATAACAATAAATAATGAGAGCCCCGAGATGAAACGACTAATTATCGGTCGATCGACTGATTTAAAAATATATTTATTAATATTAATATTTTATGCAATTATTTTGTACCCCTTGTACCAGTCTATTGTTGATAAATGTTTGAGCATATCTTTAAATAAATGGGAAGGAAATGAATAGTCTGACTTGGCTTAGTTGAAGCAATTCATTTTTTTCTAATATTTCACGAGGTTTCCTCGCATTTGAGTATTTAGAAAATGGCCTAATTTATCTAAAATCAAACAGAAATGCATGTCTTGAAAAAAATAGATCCAAGCGAAAATCTGATGGCTTCGTGGCAATGATCCACACTGTCGTGTTAAGAGGAAAGGATTCAGCCTGTGCATAATAGAATGTTCCTGATGACCCAATGTGCCTCTATGACCTGGAAAAAAGTTCCAAGCACACCAAGAATAAGCGGACCAATCACGTTATAAACTCAATTCAAAACTCATAATGAACACCAATTTAATTCAAATTCATGCAGCTAGCAAAGAGATTAAAATCAGAAGAAGGCGTGGCCATCTTCAGGGTTTTTATCTTTCATTTTCCCCCCAAACTTTTTCAAATTTTCGTTGATTTCAAGTCTGCTATCCTTTCCCCATGCTTGTTGTATTTTCATAACGGCTATTCTTATGCTATTCCTTATAGTGGAAGAGATAAGGGCTAAATAGTAATAGTAAATAGTAACAGTTGACGGATTCATTAGTAGGGAACTCGTGAAAAAACTACGAAACTACGTAAATATTAGCTGGTCAGTATACGTAAGACGATGCGCGCGAGCATGCACAGATAGCGACAGGGCAGGGAAGTGAGCCGTGCGGGCGGAACAACATTCCTCTCAAACATCGCCAAACTGTCTTGCCCACTCCTTTTTTCCCCTCGCCCACACCTTACTTGCCCACCATGGTCTCCAAATTACCAGCAGTGGTAACTCGGCAATTTATTATAAAACTTGCGATGTGCGGAGGAAGTGGTTTTCTTCAGTTCTTCTTTCTTTGCCTCTCATTTTCCGAAGACGGTTGGTATATACATCACTCAATTGGGAGCGCAGATGCTGAGGTTCGATTCCCCGCAGGAATAAAAAATCGAGGTGATGCTGGCGACTCACTCGTATTTTCGTAATTATTGACTCTCATAACGTTACTGGAAGGAAAGAAGTATGTCGTAAACGCGTTTCATTTTTCATCGAGTTTCAATAAAATTAGAAATTAATGTAAGGGATTTATAAAGTTTTTTTGAAAACTAGTGCATCGTTTCGTACTACTCTGGTAAAGCATTATTGTCCACTGATTCTTTACGATTTATGTACATCCTCTTCTGTGCACATATTTAACTTTGGGAAACCTGCTCAAGGCGAAAGAATATTTAATTGTTATAATCCTTCATAATAACATAATATAGGAAATATGGGAAATAATAACCCCTGTGCAAACAATTTGGCCAACATGCTAACTTCACTCAATTTATCTTCTTTTTCTAACAGCTTTCACCATTACTGATTAGGCCGTCTGTGCCTTCTACAAGGGTAAGACATCTCCATGCTGCTCCATGCCTTTTTGCATCATTTAAATCAATGTATTGCTGGTCCGGCGTTCAAATTTTTTCGTGGCGGTCCAGGACTTGATTGGCTTCGCTTTTGACACCATCAAGTACAGAGTTTAGTTTAGCAGATAACGAAATATGTGTCAATTCTTGTGGTAGGCAACGAAGAACGTGCCCTAACTAGCGAGGACGACGTTCTATGGTGGTAATGTTAATGCAAGTGACAAGCGAAGGTGGATGCGATCATGTGAGATTTTGTCCGCTCGACAGAACTACATCTTGGACAGTGAAAGGCAGCAACTTCGTAATATCCTTCATTCTCATCGGCCATGTCTCGCAGCCATATAGCAAAATCGAGAGAACTGCAGCTAAGAAGTATTTATTTTTTATGGTGATTTCACAAATAATGACTTCGTTAACCGGAAGAACATTTCTAGATACCATAGACACCGTTATCCGGATGGTAAAATTTCGTCTTTTGTTGATCATTTTTGATTAGAGTGGATTGAAGATAATCAATGTCTGGCACTCCCTCAATCGACAAGAATTGATAAAAATAGGTATTTTTACAGCTTCTTGTGCACAAGACTTTCGTTTTTTTTTACATTGTTCGTGAGTCTGACTCTCGCTGCAGTTATCGACACATTATTTAACATTATTTACATTTCGTAACTGTCAGCAAGAAGCGTCAACGTATTTATCAACGTATTCAAGGTTTGTAATATGCTCTGGACTTGCAAACCTCTTGAATGCCGACAAGCGATGGTCTATTATTCAGTCTATCGCATAGTTGAATATTGTAAAGAAAAAGGTTTGACGGACACCAATTCTTATATCAATAGGGTCTGTCAAACCGTCATAGATTTATGCCGATGTACGCTGTTAAAATGCTTTTATCGAATGATCTTCTCTGGAACACTGTCACATCCCATCACTCTCCAAGGTTCTTAACGTGAATATTTGGTCAGCACGATCAATTATCCGTATGGATCCTGCTGTCTCATACTACCATAAGCCCATTCAATAGGAAGGAAGAGAAAATTTTCCCGGAGATGAGGAATAGGGTTTCTTCGATAATTGTCGCATTGCGTTCTATCACTTTCTTGCGAATTAGAAGAACTGTTTTGTTGCAGTTATCTGATATTATTTCCACATCATTTAATGAAACTGCGTTATGAAGGGCGATGGGCAACATTTAACCGGAAGTTTTATTGGCCATAACAGAGATTCCAGAGATTCTCTCTTCCGTTGGCGTTTCGCGTTTGCAGACTCATGACTGAACGAATCAGCTATATACCGGATAACAGAAGGCTTATCGTGGTTAAATTTGGCATTAAAGAATTTCTTCTACCTTGACGCGATCTTTAATAGTTTTAACAGGCACCATTACAATCCCATATCATTTCTGGCAGTTCCTCGTGTTCACGATATAGCTGATTTCGATATGGTCCGAAACATATCTGTTCTGTTGGTATCATAATTCTTCGAAATATGTGATAGTCAGAATCTTCTGACATTCGTACTTTGGAAGCCTTTTTAGACACTTGAACAATTGCTTCCCATACTCAATAGAACATTTCCTCTAGTGGATCCTAGTATGGAAGTGGCTAACTTTCGGAGATATTCCCTTAGTTCGGACCAGCATTGGGATTATCTGCCATTCAAGAAAAACCATTGATATTTATATTATTTATATTTATATTTATATTATTGAGATGCTACAATAATTGCTTTATGAAGAAGATGGAATTACAATAATATAAATAATTTCCTGTTATCGTCAAATCGAGCCGCTGTCTCCATTCTCAAAGCCATAGCGTAGAAATCACTGCAATAACGATTTCTTTTTACCCGTTCTGTTGGTATCATAATTCTTCGAAATATGTGATAGTCAGAATCTTCTGACATTCGTACTTTGGAAGCATTTTTAGACACTTGAACAATTGCTTCCCATACTCAATAGAACATTTCCTCTAGTGGATCCTAGTATGGAAGTGGCTAACTTTCGGAGATATTCCCTTAGTTCGGACCAGCATTGGGATTATCTGCCATTCAAGAAAAACCATTGATATTTATATTATTTATATTTATATTTATATTATTGAGATGCTACAATAATTCGATTTGGAATGCGCTTACTATCTCCGGATCTTTTAGTTTGAAAGATCTTGTTTCTTGCAGCTGTCAGTTTTATGAGAATCTTGACTCGAACCATAAAATGGTCTGGCTGATGAAGAATGAAGATTACCAGTTTCAGCGCTGCGGTAGAAGCGACTATTTAGGGAATTTGGAATGAATTTGGAATTCTTCCAACGGCGACTGATTAAGATACAATCAATCTGATTGGAATATTGGTTATTAGTTCCATGTGATTAGATTTCTTCGTATACTAATAACAAAAAGTTCATGCTATTCAGCAAGGTGAAGAAGGCGTTCTCCATTGGCGTGCCGGTCTCCAGTGCCATATTTGCCAGTTACCGAATTTATCGTTGCGGCATCGTGATCTCTGCGTCAATTCCAATCTTACCTGATTATAGAGTTGAAATTCCGCATAGAATTTGCCCTCGGTGCATAAAGTTGAAATATACATACATTGTTATACATTGTTGACCGAAATACTTTTCATTTACTAAAAAATTACTCAATGGAAACGAATAAGAAAATGTAAAAATGATTGTAATCAATGAAAAAATTGTCGTGGCTGCACAATATTTCTTCCTGGCCGCAGCCGAGATTTCATACGTTTCCATTTTGATGACTTTGGTTTTTTAAGAATTTTTCGTAGTTAATTTTATGTATGAGAGGAAGGTGAATCATTGGAGGTGGGGGTAAAACTGGTAAAATTGACTTGTTGTCTGATAAATCAACCCACTATTTCTCGAATTTACTGATAATAAATTTAATAATGTTTGCAAATTTTTTTGGACTAAAGTCGTGATTTAGCAGATAATTCTGTGGAAAAAATTATACGTCTTTCATCAATTAGGAGTATCAAATTTTTTATTTCGTTCCAAGTATTTTGTAATTTTTTAAAATTCATTCTGCTTCATTTATGCTTATTGGTTATCTAATGCTTGAGAAAGTAGCATATTGATAAAAAATTGTTAAAAAGTATTACTGCTTGAAAGGAATAACTGTCAGATTTCTAAAACTGCTCACTATTTTTGGTGGATCATATAAATTTTTGCAAGAAATCACTGGCGAAGGAAGTAATTCGCCAACACCACCAGGATTTTTGAAAGGCAAGTCGTTCTTGTGTGGAGTAAAACCCAATATCGGCACTCAAAAATGAGACCACACGAATACAAATTATTATAAAATTTTAGATTATCGATGCGAACGGTTTCGCTGGTCATATTTGGCGTATTTCATAGTCTTTTCAGTTAATTTTAATTTTAATTTTTTTTTTTTATTATCAGAGATATGGCATCTAATCCAGGAGAATCCGCTGAAAAGTCGCAGAATAAAGAAATTGCAAAACACGCCACTGAATCGACCAATTCTACCATTTCATCAGTTTATTATGCTCCTGAAATTAGAATGCGTCGTAAATTTATTCATTTTATTCTCTTTCTTTGCTTTCTTGTTCTCAAGAAAAGGTTAAAAAATTAAAATTTTATGGCGTAAATTAGACGATATAATAAATGAAATTGTTATACAGTTGTGCGATACAAGAGATTTTAATGGATTTCAAGTGTAAAACTTTTAATACATAAATTTCATTTTTTTTAAAGATCCTGAATCGAAAGCAGATAGTAAAATGCTTATCATCGAAAATTGCTTATTCTCGGATTTGCTGAATCCATGGATCTACTCAGTTATGAGTTTGGCTGATCATTTTACGACAGAATTCAGAAATCCGGCTGATAAAACTCGCCTTGCTTTGGGGTTTACTTGCTTTTCTGTTATTTATTTATAACAGGTCTCATCCTTTTTTACTGTTCACTTTTAATCACTTTTTGAGGAGTGAAAAATATTTTTGGGGACTAGAAAATAATTTTGTTTTCAACTTAAATCGTGCTACTTACTGGATTGAAAAAATTTATTATTGCAGAAGAATTAAGCTTTATTTTCTCTATTATGAGAGTATGTTCGACTGTATTATTAATTACCTCAAACGTATTCGAATCTCTCGTCAACCGAAACTAATAATTGTTGTTGCATCGTGTAAGTTTATATTTATTTTATTTATGAGCTTCGTGTATTGTTTGGTATTTTTATATTGCATATAGCGATGTTTTAATTAGAAATGCTAAATTGTTAAATTCTAAATTCGGGGTTTGAGAATCAAATTTCGTAAAATTTTTTTATTTTTAAAAAATGCTATTATCTAAAGAGTTTAAAAATAAAAAATTAAGCGAAATTCATATCATCAAGGAATCGAGAACTTTTGGAACCTACAGAATGCGTTGAACCTTATTCCAGTATGTGTTGCTTGATAATGCGACGAATTAGCTCAGGTACAACTGAAGATCAACTAAGAAACGCTTTTGCTGATCGTAAAATCGAAAGTATTACTTTCGAGCTAAATGAGAAAAAGTTGGTTCACCCTTGATTTTTATTTTATTCTTAATGATCATTATATCCGGAACTCTCAGGATTGTTCAACTTTTTATTCATTATAAACATATTTTGAGGCTTATTTTCTATAGTATCAAACATTTTATCATCTTCAAGATCTTTTAGTGAAAAACGAGCCAATATAATTTTTACCTCTGCTGATGAAGCGGTTCATGCTCATTTTGCTCAGAATAATATGGATTTTAAGCTATTTTCTGTTAGTAATTGTCGACCTACATTAAATTTTAATTATGGTATGTGAATTTTAAAGCTTTTAAGCTCTCTTTTTTATATTCTTTGTCTAATTTTTTTTAATGCTCATTGGAGATTCTGATTTTTTTTTAGTTTTAACTGCAAATTAATTAATTTATTAATATTAATTAATTTTTCCTGTCAAAAATTTTTATGATTTTATGAAAATGTTTTTGAAAATAAATAGGTTTACTTAATTTTCAGAATATGAATTTGATGAAAAGACGGAAAAGCTCGCAAGATTAGAGAAAAAAAAAAGCACTGTAATTGCAATGGGGCAGAAATTGGGCAAAAAGATAGATGAAAGCAACATTGCTCGAGGCGATGAGAAACAGAGCGTTCCAGTGCTGAAAAGAAAAAATGCTGATGAAGAAAAATTGGAAGAAACAAAAAAGGCAAAACAGAAGCAGTTAGTGGATTTTGGCAGTATTGGATTAGATAGGATTTACTGCATTAAATCAATCTGTTTAATGTTGATGGATGTTATTTATATTTGCAGGCAGAAAAGTGCTCAAAAAAATGCAAATATATTTTCAAAACGATCTCATCGTACAAGCCCACCATCGAAACCATATAACAACCAATATATGATTAATCCGTAAATTTTTTTTTTTCACGAGTAATTTTGAAATTCATAAATTAGCTCGATTTGTAACCTTATGCTAATTTTTCTTAATTTCTTTTTTCCAACCTTGTTGAAAAAAATGTTTTAGGTGGATTCACGCATTTCCTTCTTTCACTGGTCCACCTCGCCCCCTCATGTCAGATTCATTAATTGACATAAGAAACAATGTAACAGCAGCATCAATACCGTCATTAATGAGCCCATATTTATCATGTATGTTAATATTTTTGTGAACCTTAATATATTTATGTAATATATTTATTATCCAAATCTATTTCAGTGATATTTTATCACTTTTCAGCAGCATTGGATGATAGTTATTCTAATTATTCTCCATCATCTTTGAATTGTGGACATTTAAGAAGAAGTGCAGTGCCCAAGAAACTTGTTGACGTCAGAGATTTTCACCGTACTCCTTTAGAAAATTTTCGGTAAAAGACTTTGTTTTCTTTTTCATCATGCCATAAAATTTTTATTTTTTATAAAAATTTATGTATAAAGAATGATTTTGTTTAGTTTTTATTATTTAATTTAAGATGCTTATATTTTGAAATTAAATAATTTCTTCAGAGTCTCAATCATCGCATGATTAGTTATTCGAACTCAATATGTCTATAACATATGCGATATATTAGTTTAATGAATATTTTTTTATTGTTTATATTTACTTCATATCATAATTTTTAGATCTCATATTCCATCTTCAATGGAAAATTTTAATTCATCCAAAGTTCCGCAAGTAGATAGTGGTCTTCCATCGTTGTTATCAATTGGAAATTGCAAAAGGCCAATGAGGTTATCAGAATTTCCCTAAAATTGGCTTAAAATTATCGTCTTTTTATCGTTTTATCGTTTTTTAATTATCAATATTTAATAAAGATAATAGCTATAATAATAATTTTCATTTTTTTAAAAGAAATTTTGAATTTTAAATTTGAATTAAATTATTTTTTGCCATTTGTCTTTAGAGACAGAATCAGCAAATGGTTATTGCTTAAATTATCTTGGGAATCAAAGGTTCATACCCTACCTCTAGCAAAAATAAATCTCATTGAAAAATCCACGTTGGTCTAACAACTTGCCATTTCTGATGCTAATAACCAGTGGAGTAAGCCTAGCCAGGAATGTTGAATGCTAGCCGAGCCGCTTGCTTTATTTACGTTTATTTTTGCCTTCTGGGACCCTTTGATACGAGGAATTTTTTTATTTCATGAGATTTTTTTTCAGTTTCTTCAAGAGCCCTTACCATGGAGTAACTCGACGATAAAATGAATCCGATCCATTTCGTTGAATCTCATTTCATTTTTTTTCATACTTCATATGTATGGATTCATCTGAATCCTTAGAAATGGTGTTTTATATATTTCAGAATATTGTTCTTTTATTTTGCCTCAGCTTTTTTTATTTCTTTATTTTTTACCAAATTTTTTAATTAATATGTGTACAGAAATAAAGTTGTTTTTTTGTTGTGTTTGTTTTTTTAGTTTCAGATGAATTGAAAAACAAATTTCCGAAAAATTATTTATCGATCTTTATAAAAAAAATAAGCGATTAGAGACCACCATTTCTGGTTGTGAATTTTTTGTTGAACTTGTTAAAAAATTTCTGTTAGATATAGATATTTCTCCAGCATGACGGGATTTCTTGATGGCAGATATATCTAAGGATGTTTAATTCTGAATTCTGGCTTGATTCTTGAGGCGATAATTGACCATCAACCATTGGACTGCCCTGCTTTAGTCGACCGTTGAACTATTTTAAAATATTTTTAAGCAATATCCCCGACAAATTTCGTTGTTTACATATTCTTCGATTTTCTTTGGTAATATTTTTTTTGCACAGAACATTAAATGATGAAAAAAATACATCAAATTGATCGTCAAATTTTAAAGGAAACAATTACGGTGGAAATTTTCGATTTAATATCATTTAAAATTGCGAACGAAAAGAAGCTGCATCTTTGTTTTTTGTCGTATCCTTAAGGTGCTTTGAGATGTGAAAAAATCCAAATGTTGGTTGAAATTTGGCGGTCATTTCATCGGTATCGGTATTATTATTTTGCTATCTGATTCATTTCTTATCAAAAGCTTTAATTTTCATATATTTTACGGTATTAACAGATCGAATCAACTTTAAGTGGGAATTTATGAATCGTTTTTATGTCAGAACGAAAATTTGTTTAATTTCTATATTTTTTAAATGACGATGTCACGTAATTTTTTAGATTATTTTCCTCCCCCATATTTCTTTTTTCCTTTCTACTTGATTTATTATTGTAAAATTCCATGTTTTCCACAAATTAATAATAAAAGGTTAGTGGGTTAGAAATGCTAAAATTTCGATTTTCAATTGGATTTAATCGATGGTGATTCAAACGAAAAGTCGAAAGATCGGTTAAATCTGTATGGTTTTATCAGTTATTGTTTATTTATTTGATGTGCGTTGGTTTTGAATACATGGTTTTTCAAATTTTTCTAAATTACAGGGAATCGCTAAAACGAGAGAATTTTATCAATAAATAAAGGATTTAAATAAAGGAAAACAATTTGATTATCCGAGAAAAAGTTCAAAGAAATGTCGCTTAATTTGGATATCCAAGAATCAACGTTATATACTAAAAGCGATGCAGATAGAAAAAACTCTGAATATATAAACGAGGATTTGGTTGATTTAATAGATCAAAACGAAGAGTTGCAAAGTCTTCTAACAAAAACTGATGCAAATTTAGTAAATAAAGGCGATATGCAATTGAATTGTTTCCGCGACGTTTCTTCCATTGAAAGCCTTCATTCTCGTGAACTTTATAATCAATTGCCAGTCGGCTGGGAAGGAGCACCACAGTTTCAGTGGAGAGGTTGATTTTTAGAAATTTTAGCTATAAAATGTGGGAAGTAAAGATTAGTTGCTTTCAGTTTGCCTTGAGCCAGAAGATCGTTGTTTGCTCATTATCCAGAATGTGGCATTTGAAGATTTGTTTCATCCTTGGATATACCCGGTTATGTTGCGAGCACAGCGGACTATCACAGATTTTTCTCGGATGTCTTCAGGAAAAAAAAATTTAGGGTTGCTTTTTTCTTTTTATTCTGTTCCATGATTTCATAGTTTCATTAATATTACGCAGAATTTTTTTTGCACTTTTTACTTATATTTTTCATTCGCTTAGTCTATATCGCTTTTTTTCATGAATTTTTTTTTCAGAGAAGTTGGCATGTATTTCCTGGATGATCATCCCATTTCAACAGCTGTATTGTCTCATCTTATCCATGTACGGATTCCCCAGCGTTGTTTAAAGGTTTTCATTCCTTTCAGTAAGTGCTTCCTCGTTTTTATTTTATTATTGTGCTTTCTTCTGTTTTGCATAAAAAGTCATGATTAAATCATTTTTTCTTTTAAAAATAGCTCATAAAAGTCTTGTAAACTTTATTACAAAAAAAAATTTATAGTTTAATGGTTTAATAGTTAAGATTTCTTCCATAGATTTTATAAATCTCCTAGTATGGTATTTGTAAATAATATTTCTTATATTATCCATTTTTGATCATTTCAGCAAAATGGATGTTGAAATACAGTTCGATTATAGAAGAACGTTGTGGGCTTATTCGAGAACCGGTAGAGAGTATGAAGTATTTGGTTCTGAAGCCAGTAGCTAAATCGGTGGATCAAAACATAATAAAAGATGTATTCAAAAATCATAGCATTGAAAATACTATATTCGAAACTGATGCTGTGGGGTAAATTGTTAAATTATTTTATGAAATAATATTTTTATTGTAATGGTGAGAATTCTGCTATGCAGTTTTTTTACTATGTTTTAGATGGCGAATATTTAGAGGTTTTTCTTTTGAAATCTGGAAGTTTAACTTAATTTTTTTTTTATTTTAGGCAGAGATGTGCGATTTTAAAATTTGCCACTGCTACGCGAGCTATTGCAGCTCACGCTTTAAATAATTTTGTTCCGCTTGGCGATGATAATCGATTTATTAGAGTATTGTTTGCTTATGGTAAGCCAATTATTCTTTTATTTAAATTTTTTTTCATTCGACTAATAGCAGTAGCATCAATTGTTCTCACTGAAATAATTAATAGCCTTGTTTATCTCGAATATTAGGATTTAAAAAATGAAATGTATTAACAATTTTCCGCTTTAGAAGATATAAGGAAATTTGGTCTTGGATTATTGGGAAATGCAATCAAACCAGTTGATTTACTGACACATAGCGAATTGAAAGAAAATCAAATATTCATTGATGATGTAATGCGTAAACGAACAAAATGTGCAATTAATTATTATCCTAAGGCGAAGCAGCATCGGGAGTTATTTTTTAAAATTATTATGATGCAATAATTTTCAAGTTGTGCTGGCTGCTTACATGTATTTCAATCTCTCTGGCAAAATTTACATGGTCTGATAAGCCGAGCGATTTAAAAAAACGATGGTCGATTCCCAAAAAAAAATTTTTTTTGCAGTCTTATAGTAAAAGTGCTTATATTGTCATTTTTTTTATAGCTTAAATGAATGAACATTGAACACTAACTTTTTTTCTGGTTACTTGAAATTTTCAATAGATTATAATCATTTGGTAGCAGAAAACAGAGATAATTGCAGTGTTACAATTGCTTAGTTTGTGTCAACATAAGTTCTGGCAAGAGTATCTCATTCAAAAATTCTGGCGATACTGGTGATTCGACTCGTTTGTACTTCCATCGCTAAATTTTCTGATAAAAATTTTACTATATTAGCAGCCAGAAGAGGCACCTCAACCAAAAATGAGATGAGTTACTTTCCACTTACTTATTTGACGTAAGAAACCAAACTGTTTTTAGATGCCATGAATCAATTAATAATAATAATAGCGAGAAAGGTAGCATTTTACCTGCAGTGTTAGATGAGTCTGTGTTGAACTTTACCGGAAAGAGGAAGAGATTTGCTTTTACGCCAATCAGTGAATCTGTTATGAATTGGTAATTTTTGTTTTTTTCATAAAATCTTTTGCTTTATGAAAATTTTTGACGTTATAATATTAGGTATAATAATCGATAATCGATTTATCTATAAGTGGAAGTGGACGGAATAATTGACCGTCTTTTTTCTGCACGTATATTTTATTTAAACTATTCCGCTGTTTCAGCCAGCCAGTTCCGTCGTTATCTCAATTTTTCGAAAAAAACTTGCAGAATGTGGGCAAACGTACTCGTGCAAATTTTTCTGCACATTTTTATCCAGCCCACTTTTTATCTCTTCCATCCTCTAATTTTTATTATCATCATCCACCAAAAAGGCTGTAAGTTATTTTATTATTTTTATTGATTTTTAAATCAATACTTTATTACCATCTTAGTATTCAATATTATTTCATATAGTAAATGAAGAATGGAAAAATCTCTTGAGCTATATTAAGAATGACTAAAAACAATTTTATTTAATGATATTAAGAATGACCTAAAAAACAAAAAAATTTATTTAATGATAAGGTTTTAATGATATTTATAAGGCTTGAATTTTAAACGGTTTAAAATTTTTATTAAATTTTCTCATAGATTTCGACATGGTCGTGGTGGTTATCGGTTAAATGTTGAAAAAAAATGGTCGATTAATCAAAAGAAGCTGTTTGGATAGTCATTACATTCTTATGAAGGGATGATTTGGTATGATTTATTATTTCTATCTCGCTTTTATTTTAGTTTGATAAATCTTGAATTAGAAATTAATTTTGAATTGTTTTCGCTGAAATTCAGCTTTTACTACGAATATGATTCATATATGTATATCTTTTTAGAAATTTAAGCATTAAGTTTAGTTCCTTCTTATTTTTCATTTATTCCTTATTCCTTAATCTAGATTATATTTTTTCAATTTTTTTCATTGACTATTAAACCGAAATTAATTAAATTAATATTAAAAATGATCAAATCAATACTACTAGAATTTAGTGAAATGTTTTACCATATCATCTTTATCTATTTTTATCTATTTTATCTTTTCTCTCTGGTTTTTGTCAAGTTCAAGTTGTAGTATAATTTTTTAAAAATTCTTTTAATGTTTTACTCAGGTATTCGCGAATTAATTTTTTTTGACGTTGCTTGTTCACGTTTGTTCATTTTTTTTCATTTTTTTCATTTTTATTTCAAATTCCATAAATTTTGCTTGTTCAATAAAAAAAAAGATTTGTTCATATCATTTTATTTCTTTTTATTCATGAATTTGTGAAGGAAATTCAAAAATGTTTTTAAATCTTATATTTTATCAGGCATTAATTTTAAGCTTTCTCACTATTTAAAATAAACAAAATGAAAATCAAAAAAAAATATCGTTTACTCAATCGCTTCTGGTATTTCGCTTGCCCATGGATATGATTTTTGAGTTCCCTTTCGTTGCACAGAAATTGATGCAACCAGTGTTGTTCTTCGAAGTTGCTCCTCGAGAGATAAATGTGGCATTTTTACAAAGAAGTATGCCAATGCGCCACAAAATGAGTCTCCAGCTCCCTTAATATGGTAGGATAAACTTGAAGTCGAATTTTCTCAATGGAGAATGAGTAAATTATTGCTTACCGTGGTGTCGTTAGCGTTTACTTGGAAGGCTTCCACATGAAATTTTCTGATAATTTTTTTATCGTCTCTGTGCGCGATAATAGCACCTTGAGCTCCCAGTGTAATTATAGCCATCGATGGACCTAAGTTTAAAAATGATTCAGCTTCCATTAGTGCATCGTCGGTGTTCATCACCTGTCGACCTGATAGGCTTTCTGCCTGCAAAATTTTATTCAAGCATTTGAGCAAAAATTTTTTTTAGATTATTCGAAATATTCGAGTTATTTATATATCAAATTGTTGGGCAAATAAATCAATGGCTAACGTCAACCACCGTTTTTCTCGATAATTTTAAGTCAAAGCTTTGAATGGCAAGGTGGAAAATGAGAAATCGGATATGGTGAATGTGTTCAAATCAAAATAGATTTCTATTCCGAGTTCAAATCAACTGAGTAAATCATTTTACCTCAATTTCGTTAACGCATAAAATATCCACATTTTTCAGCATATCCTTATCGAACGTCGGTGTGCACGGTGCGAAATTTAAGAATGTTTTTACTGGAAGTAATTTTCACTTAATGTAAATATTTACGCGGATTTAGGAATCGGAGTTTGTGTGGCAGTTTTAGAAAAAATTTTGTAAGATCTAATAAGTGGAATGAAGATGGGATTTTCACCGTTATTTTTCTTAGCAATTTCCAGTGCCATTTTCGTAGCATTATTGTCAATTTCATTTTGGCAAAGTATGATCTTTGCTGAGGCAATAAGTTGATAAAGTTGCACCGCTCGATCGGCTTTCATTTCCAGATTAGCGCCAAGAGTAATCACAATCATATTTTCGCCTTAAAATTTTTTAAAGACTTTTCTAAGATTTGGCTGGAATAGCCAATTGTTCCAGATTACCGTCTTGAGCATTCCCATCCTGCATGCGATAGGAATGAATTTCCACTGAAAATCCCTTGTGGCGCCGGAGCTCTATACATCTATACTTTTCTTCGGGTGACGCTGGCCTTCTCTTCTCTCGCCAAGTGACGAAAATTAATTTCATCCTTTTTCTTTTTTTAAAAAATAAATTCTTTGAGTTGTATACCTTTCGAATTTTCCTTTTTTCTTGCGCTTAAATATTCATTCGTCTAATAATTAATTTTAATCTATTTATTCTCTCTTTGTTCAATGAATTTCAGTTTATTAAAAATAATTAGATTCAGTGAAAAGTAAAAATATTAAAAATATTAATTAAGAAATACATACATCAAAATATAAAGGATAGTTTTTCTTCCTATTTTCTTATTTTCTCTTATTTTTCTCATTTCCATCGAAAATTGAAATACATTTGATTAAAGTTACGAAGGGAAATGATTCGAAAATGCGCAGAATTTAACAAAAATCTAAAAAATCTAAAAAAAATCGCTTGCCATTTCCACTGGTTGATACAATTATTGTTGCAGTTGCTGTACGAGCTGTTGTACTTTTTTCGATAAAATCCACCATAATCCCACTTTGTTCAAGATTTTTGACGCAGAATTCCCCAAAAATATCGTCACCAATCTGGAAGTTAGCAATTAATTCCGCTATCTCATTTGGTATGAATCGGTGATGACAAGTGAAGAACTAATTTGCTCGCGCCTTTCCAATCATTACAACTTTAGCTCCCAAACGTGCCGCTTGTATCGCTTGGTTGGCACCTTTACCGCCAGGTGAAGCTTCAAAAGAGATTCCTGTTATCGTTTCTCCAGGTCTCGGCAATTTTTCGGTGTAACTAAGATAATGAATGAAATATTTTAAAAAATGAGGAATCGATAATTTTTTTCGACATGGTAATAACTTAAATCAAAATTTAGAAAATTTAGATGAAAATTTAGAATCGTTTCATTTATTTGATAAACGAGTAATCCAATAGTAGCCTTCTTTTGTAGGAAATAGTTCGTTTATTTCGAGTACCTTTTTCGGTATTTTCTAAGAAATAAACCAACCTGATAAGGTCGTGAGCAATGCTCCCGAAAACAATTATGTCGGCGTTCATGATCGCAAATTTTTATCGCCACTCTTCGATAATAATTAAATATTTTGCTGTTTTCTTGTCGCAAATGCTTTGCGAGAATTACTTTCATAAATTACTGTCTTTCGGCGTGAAAAATCTTTTTAATCGTTTTCGGGAAAGTAAATTCATTTAAATCGAGAAAATGTTCTTTCTATTCTTATTCTTATATTATTATAAAAATTATAAAAATATTCTTCACATAATTAAAAGTGGTGTGAAGCAAGTTGTGTTGCAGTTAGGCTTATCGAAATTTATTAACAAACCAGAAACCATTTTTTAGAAGGTGCGGACAAACCGTAGTCTAATTGTTACATCCATCACCTTACATCAATTTATAAATAATAATAATAAATAAATAATAAATAAAATTCTGCCTGCGAGTCTCTTCAGAGACTGATTTGCGTTTTCAGTTTTATTCATTAATAGATCGTCAGATTCGCAAAATGGTGCAATTTCCATCAGACAGAGTTTTTAATGAAGCTTTCAACAACTAGGAGTACCTAATTGAAGACAAACCTTTTTGCCGCAAGTAATTTTTTCTTCCACTAGCAGTTCGCTATTTCTAGTTTGGCTTGCTTCACTGGCTATTAAGAGGAGATCGTCTCGCTAGTGAATCACTTGGGGATGAAAAAGTAGATGTGACCGCTGCATCGCCCAGTTTGAAGTGAAGGTGTTTAATTTGATTTATCTAATTCAGTGGAAACTAATTTCAAATAAGCATTTAAAAATGATAAAGCAATCAATTTGTTCAACAAATAGTGTTACTGGTTTGGAATTTTTATGTGTGCCATCGTTCACATTATTGTAATATTGATTGGACATGAAGCGTTTGCTGATAAAAATTAAAAATATTCGTAATAGAGCAATTTTAGAAAGAAATAAAACGAGCAAGGAATGTAGATTTCAGACAACGCAAAGCAATGCACAGAAGCCAATTTCTTCACGTTGTGGGAAAAGGATGCATAACGATTGATGGAAGGAACGAATGAAAACGGACTGAACAAGTTGATTCCATTTGCCTTATATGTAGTCAGGAATGGTAAAGTCAACTACAGTGGAATTTTAGAAACATGTTTAATTAATAAAGCTATCACTGGTCACAGAAATGAACTGGTTGTCTTATCCAAATCATTGAAAAAGTCGAATAATTTGAACCCGGTGATGAAACCATCTGAATTCAAAGGCTAGGCTGGCGAATATGATCATTTGAAAACTATTCCAATAGATTCATTGAAAAGTTTTTCGAAATTAGAATTGTCTTCTAATATTGTGAAGCATACTGGGCGTGAAATGGCTCAGTGGGTTGTTGCTAACTATGGAGCGCCGATATAGAGGTTCTACCCCCACAGGAGTAAACCTATTCAAAAATCAGGATGTTAAAAGAAGATAGCTTCTTAATATCCTCAACACTCCTTGTCGCAGCCACATAGCAAGATCGAACGAATCACGGCTATATAATCCTTTTTTATGGTGATTTCATGACAGCACCATAAAGGTTTTCGTCAACCGGAGAACACATTTCTAGTTGCTTTAATCGTCTTTTGTCGTCTTTTGCTTGGCTATTCGGTATTAGAGTGGGTCCAAGATATTTAAGATATTTAAAACCGATAATGAATTTATGGGAAGAAGCATTTTATCAGCCTGTCGTACATAAGACAGAAAGGCTTTCGATTTTATTCACATTGATCTTGAGTCCAATTCTCGGTGCAGTTGCTAATACGTTATTTAGCATTATTTTCATTTCGTTACAACTGTCATCTGAAAGGACTGCATCATCAGCATATTCAAGCTCTGTGATACGATGCTCGGGGCTTTGTACATCTCTAGAGTGCCGACAAGCACTGTCCATTATCCAGTCTATCGCATAGTTGAATATTGTAAGGGAAAGGATACAGTTGACGGACACTGGTTTTTATTTCGAAGGATTTTGTCAGTCAGTTTTCTATGTATGCTCCTATATATAGAGCTTCTCCTACGTACTCTTATAAAACTCCTTTACGAGTCGAATGATTTTCTCTGGAATACTATCCATCACTCCCCAAAGCTCTATCAATTGAAGGTAGCCGAAAAGTCGATGCAGTCTAAATCCAGCTTGATTAGGGCACATCCTTCTATCTCACACTTCCATAAGTCTGTTGAGTAAAAGGGAAGCAAAAATTTTCGCTGAAACGTCTAGATTCTTCGATAATTTTCACAGTATGTCCTATCAACTTTTTTGAGAATTGGGAGCAGAACTGCTTTGTTCCAATCATCTGGTAATATTTCTTTTTTTATACTAGAGAGTAAATTTGTTGAAGATGAAGAACGATGGACAAGATTTGAAGAATTCAGCCCGAAAACTATCTTCTCCCGGAGTCTTATTGGCCTTAAGCTTATGGATAATGGAAATTATTTCTTTTTCTGTTGGAGGCTGGCAAGCATATGGTTCGAAGAACGTATCAGTCAGAAACAAGAGCGCATCGTGCTTAAGTTTGGCATCAAAGAATTCTTTCCTTTACAGACACACCATTGCCATCTCTTACCATTTCAATGATCCTTCTACGAGTTATGTAGACGGAATAATTTCTTATTATCGCTTAATGGAGCCTGTCCCCATTCTCAAGGCCAATAGTGTTTTCTGTCTCGCTGTGCTACTGTCGTTATAATTCTTCGAGGCATACGGTAGTCAGGATCTCCGTGCTTTGGCAGCTTTTTCAGATAGTTGGACAATTGCTTCCAATGCCCAACTAGCACAAGTTTGCCCCTGCGTGGAAGTAGTCTTTCAGAGATATTTCTCTATTAATTTCTCGCATTAGTTTTCCGTTCCAGAAAAGTCATTAATATTTGTACCATTGGGGTGCTTTATAATTCGATTTGAAATGCACTTACCCAAATCTTTTAGTTTGAGATGTTTCTTGTGAATTGTCAATTTTATGCGAATCTTGCGAAACTCTTCCTATAACATGATCAGATCCATGAAGGTTGCCCGTTTCAGTACAGCGATAGGAACGACTATTTAGTTCGGTGATCTTTCAACGGCGACTGCATAATAGATCTGGTTGAAATGTTGGTTATCCAGGATTCCACGTGATTAGATGTTTTTTATGATATCGAATGCAAGAATTAGTAACAAAAAATTCATGCTTTTTCGGCATAACGAAGAAGACATTCCCCATTGACCCATCGATCTCCAATACCATATTTACCAATTGTCTAGGTCATCGCAATGACGTTATGACCTATGTGCGCATTCCAGTTATCCCCCAATTATGACCATGTCATATTTTGGTAGAGACTTGTTAGCAGTTGAATTTCCGCATAGAACTTATTTATATCACGATCATCTGCCTATAGTGTCGGAGCATTGATGAGCGAGAACTGCAGAACTGCAGAACTGCAGACCTGTGGGCATAGGACATATGCATCCTTATCTGTTTCCACTCAATCAAAGTAGAATGGACCTTTTCAGACATAACAATCAGTACATAATTTGCCAGAAACATCACCAGTACCTCTGATCGGAGCCAGGTTCAATAATTACTTTAGGCCCGAAGTGGGAAAGGCTGATCTCCGACAAGGGACTTCCTAGCATATTTGTCTAATGCTACAAATCGGCGGAGCAAGTTTGATCAGTAATGTTGAGGGTTCTCAAGACAAAGATGAAGAATTATGGAGAATTACGGTTACCCTTGTCTATTAAACTGTCCTTAGACATTCTTAGCAGGCTCAATCCACTTACTGCTAGTATGAAAATTTCTCGCCAGAGAAATTTCTCGTTTCAGTAGTGCAGTGGTTCTCGAGTATTAAGAAAAACATATATATTAACATATATATTATATTAGAAAAACAGTAATAAAATTACCTTAAAGCTTTTAGTTTATTTGATCAGTTGTGTTAAAATTTTAAGATGATTAAGATATATTCTTTCTTGGTTTTATGAATAAGCTCTGAAATTTATTTTTTGTTTATTTATTTATTTATTTTAATTTATTTACTAGTTTTTGGTTAATTTTTGAAATTAATGCATTGCTTTCTCCTACTTCTAACAGCATTTTGCCTAGCACTGACTTTTACGATGCCATCGCTTGCTAGAGGGTGGCAAGCACATGGAACTCGCATCACCGCTGTTTCTTTATCGCTATACTGTTTCTGTGATCTCAACATATTTTCTACAATTTTTTCAAAAGAGGAACAATTTTTTTAGGATTTCGAATGAGTTTTTTGTTGCTTGAGCAAGCTTATTTTTATCGCATTTATCAAGTCGTTACTACAACTTTGGGTTAATTTAAGTTTTATGTCTCTTAAAGTCTCCTTATTCTTAACAGATGAAATTTTCCAAAAAAATTTTTCTTCAGTTTACAAATAAATTTTTACTTGTATTTAGTAAACTAATGAAACAATTTGTATTTTTATTAAGAACATTAAATTATCTATCAAATTTATTAAATTTAATCTAATTTTTATCAAATTTATTTGTCTTAACTTAATTGGAACTAATCAATTAATTAATCATAATTTGTTTTTCGTAAATTATCTTTTTAATTTTTTATAATTTAATGGGAGATTAATCCAGTAAATTCCCTCAAATATAAGGCAGTTACAATCTAAACAAATCGTTTTGCTCACTCTGAAAAATTCTGTGTACCCGTAATTCAAAACTACTTAAAGAAACCAGTTTTTCGAGATTCGAATTATGAAGGGCGATGGGCAAGGCATTTGAAGAATTCGGTCCGAAAACCATCTTCTCGAGGTGTCTTATTGGCATTGCAGTAATTGAAACTGTTGAGGCTGGTAATGAATCAACTGCGAAAATCACCAAATTCACTATATCGCACTACTGGCAAACCGATCAGTTGTCTTAATATTCTTTATAGGAATCGAAATCATATTTAAATTTTAATGCCACTTTAGCCTTACTTATTCTGCTTGCTTATTGTTTTTAAATGAACAAAAAATAAAAGATTTCTATTGAAAAAACTATTTAAGTTACAAAAAATTAGCCT